GCAAGCGGAAACGCTAGTAACAAGGTACGCAGACATTTTCGCATGCTCACTATCAGAAGTTATCCAGGTACCGGGAGCGAAACATAACCTCAACATACCGAAGGATGCAACATTCAAGCTAAGGGTCCACCAACGCGCGCTCACCCCTCCACAGACTCAGTTTTTACATGGACGCATTGACGAAATGTTGGAAGCGGGCATCATCGAACGAGCGCCGCCAGACGCGGTAAAGTGCTGTGCAACCACAGTGTTAGCCCAAAAAGCGCATGAACAGAAAGGTTTAACACTTGAAGAGTTAAGATACAGGGTCAACGAACAATACGCACAAGAAGGACAACCACCAGCATTCACACTCCCCGAAAGGGAAGTGCCGAATGAACCAGTTGAACGAAGACCAGTAGCACCGCAGAAATGGCGTATTTGCCAGAACTTTAACGAAGTCAACAAGCACACCCTCATAGCGCCAATGCCGCAAGGTGATATTCGAGCAAAACAGCAACGTCTGAGTGGACACAAGTACGTATCAGTATTTGATTTCGCATCCGGGTTCTATGCCGTTGAAATCCCAGAAGAGTCAAGACCATACACGGCGTTTTACATAGAAGGGCGCGGCTACTTCTGGTACAAACGGATGCCAATGGGACTCACAGGAGCACCATCAACGTTTGCAGATATGACGGCGACACATCTACACGACCTCACAGCAAAGGCAATAATGGAGCTGTTCATAGACGACGGTGGGACCGCAGCAGATACATTTGGTGAGATGCTAACGAAGCTAGAACAAATCTTCGAACGATGTCGGGAACGGAAACTATCACTATCACCAACGAAGTGCCGATTGTTCATGACGGAGACAACATTCGCAGGCGCAACAGTTGGACCTCAAGGCATCCAACCTGATCTAGAGAAGCTTACCGCAATCGTTAACTGGAAACCACCCACTGACGCTCTCAATTTAGAATCATTTTTAGGATTAACAAGTCATTTCAGGGATTTAATACAGAACTACGCCAAGAGAGAAGGGCCATTACGCAACCTCGTGAAAGCAGCACCTCTCAAAACTCCGTATTCGAAAGCAACGTATCGACGCACGCTAAGAGACTTTAAGCTTGCAGAAAAATGGACTACTGACCACATAACAGCATTTTTAGATCTAAAATCAGCCTTAGTTTCAAGACCAATACTGCAAGCACCGCGCTACGACGGATCAAACTTCGTAGTCACGTCCGATGGGTGTCAAGAAGGCTTCGCGGCAGTACTAAGTCAACGAGTCAGCAAGCAAAAGCCGTCGGGCAAGTGGACAGAACGCTTATTACCGATAGCATTTGCGTCAAAACGAACGTCGAAAACGGAACAAAAGTACAAACTGTTCTTACTAGAGTTTGCGGCCCTCAAATTCGGACTGGATAAGTTTTCTGATACAGTATGGGGATTTCCTGTGGAGATAGAAACTGACTGTCAAGCGTTACGAGACGTCCTACTAAGTGATAACCTCAACGCGGCACACGCACGTTGGAGGGACGGGATTTTAGCGCACAACATAGTGGATGTAAGACACGTACCGGGAAAACTGAACGTAATCGCAGATGGCCTCAGCCGACAATGGGAGGGTCAGCCACGCAATGTAGACGCGGAAGATGGAAGCACTTGGACCGTTAGCGAGGACTGGGAAAAGAACAGCGGCTTGATTAATGATATGCTCCTCATAGACAAGAACACTGATTCAGACACCTTTTCTAGCCTACGGCAAAGATTTGCCAAGGAACCCATATTCCTTCAGGTCATAGAGTCCATTGGACAACTAGACGCAGACAAGCCACTTCGCGATCGCAAAAGAGCAAAACATCAAGCATCGCAATACCTCATCGAGGACGGTAAACTTTGGCGCCTACGCGGAGGTACAACAATCCGAGCTCGAAGCAGGGTAGAATGTGTTAGCAGGGAGGAAGCGATGCAAATGGCCATCAAGCAACACGAAGGAAAGGGACATTGGGGGAGGGACGCCATCAAGATAGCGCTCACAGACAAGATACACAGCCCCGGTCTCGACGCGTCGATTATGAAGGCAATTTCTGAATGCGCTAAGTGCAAGAACTTCGGAAATCAGCATTTGCACTCACTTCTAGAACCAATTACTCGTAGACATCCTTTCGAACTACTAGTAGGCGATTACTTAACGTTGCCGAAGGCAAACGGGTACCACACACTGGGAGTGTATCTCGACACGTTCTCCCAACATGTATGGGTCTTCAAGTACAAACATGCTGGGACAGCGAAAACCATGATCGACAGTCTCGGACATATCTTTTGGGGTTTCACAGCGTCAGAAACATTCATGAGTGACGGAGGACGACATTTCCACAACTCAGAGGTCAGAGAGTTTTGCGCAAAATGGCTATGTAAGACGCACGTGGTAGCGGCCTACTCGCCATGGGTCAATGGGCTCGTTGAAGGAACAAACAAGCTGCTCCTACACGTTCTCAAACGGTTATGTGCTCCCAATCTGGGGGAAGACAAATACGAAAGGATAGCATGGGAAGATCTACCAAAGTGTTGGCCAAAGTATCTAGATGAAGCGGTGACAGCGTTGAACTATCGAATCTTACCCGCGTTAAAATTCTCACCGAAAGAACTTCTTTTAGGGCAGATAATCAACACGCCACGAACGGACATCACGGAAAGCACATCGGCATTAAGGCTATCAGATGCAAACGCACACATAGCCTACGTAGGACAGCAGCAGCTAGATGGATACGACGCCATTGTGCGGCATGCTATCAAACGAAAGGCGGCATTCGACAAACGGGTACTAGCTCGATCTCCAAGGGAAGTCATTTTCAACAGTGGACAGTTGGTTCAATTTTTCCACAGTAACGCGCATAGCACCCTCGAAGCAAAACGCAAGCTCCTACCGAAATGGTCAACGCCGCATCGTATCAAAGAGCGAATACGCAACTCGTATCGCTTAGAAACGTTAGAAGGAGAACTCCTGGCGGGAGAATTCCACGCACGAAGGCTGAGAACATTTGTACCAAGGAACGGCACAAAATTAGTGGAAGAACAAAAGGAGAGAGAAAAGGAAAACGACAAACCAGAAGAGCAAAGTGACGAAGAAGACAATCCCACAATAGAAGACGAAGATGTAGAACACGGAGGTGTAGAAACAGAAAACGAAGAGAGGCACGAGAATATGTTTAGAGGCACAGAGTAGTAGGCGACGAGGACGCCGCCGGTTCTTTCAAGGGGGGCACATGGAGTAGGGGACCCCAGGGGCAGCAGCATAGCAGCAGCCGGATAGCTCCGTAGATTAGTCAGCCACTTAGCGCTCTTCGGGCTTTGCAGTAGTGTAGAGGGATACCACTTCTTCCCTTGCATTCGATACGCAGGTGCTTAGTCGCGGATACACCGCTCCAGTAGGATTTACAAGAATATCGCGATTAGAAAGATACACGCATCGATGGTGCCCAACAATCTGCGATCCCAATGGATGCATCGAATGAATGAATTTTAGCCATCTAACGCTCACATGAGCTCAAGTACTGCATTTGTGACTATTAGAAGCCTGAGCGCCGTAGATAACATGTAACAATTCACAGACTAACCTCATGCTGATCAGGGGCTAAGTTATATCGGCCAAGTCGCCATCGGCGGCGAAGAACGGAGTTTAAGAGTTTGCAGTTGCCGGTCGTGCCGGTCGAAGTAGTCAACTTTTGTTCCCGCGCAGATACCATTTGCTCCATATCATCCTTCGCCACTGCAGTACGCTCCGCCTGAATGTTTGACTTTCGCAAGCTCAGCGTCGAGTAAGCGAAAAGGAAAGTTTATCTCCTTGCTGGAAATACTCCGCGGTCGCGCCGGTATGCAAATGATGGTCATACTGCATACCATTTCAGAAAAGCTGAGGGATAGATTTTTCTTACGCTGGTGCACACTGCAACAGGCAGGTTACGAAAACCTCCTGTGGACACAGGATGATCAATGATCATGAAAATGCCGCTTGACAGGCAACACTCTCATGTACACTCCAGCCTGAGAGTGTCTCAACATGGGGCCCGCGAGGGTTGCGATCATCACGATTGAATGGAACCTATCCATATTCCTCGAATTCTTTGACGTGTAATCCAGAAGTCCAGATTTCACGCAGAGAGTGATATTCAGCGTACGTTATCATCCTGAAGTAATTTTAGAGGTATGATAACTGTTGATATCAATCATCTTGTCGGGGGTGATAAACAAATGCAGCGTATCTTTCCGGAGTCTATTGCAGCTCGAAGGCTGTCTTCCTGCAAGCAATGATATGAGAGCCTTGACCTCGGATGCTTTGTGCCTTTCGAGTCAAGATCAAGCTTTGAATACTTACTGGAACAGGTATGGACATGCACAGTGAGTAATACTCCGTATTTCGCCTGCCACGCCACTCCGACCCTATGATGACAGCCGGGCGTTACCTTTCTTCAAAGTCCGTGCTTCCTCTGGTACTAGTCTGATCATCCTTCAAACACACGTCATTCTCTAACTAAACCCACCAATTGCATTGCGAATTCGTTGTGCAAGACCGCGGAGTCGATCAATCTTCCCAAAGGAAGTTAAGAATTGCGTTTGAATGGGTTTATCACTTTATTATAGTCTCTCGAGGTAAGTCCGCTATAGCGACAGTTATGGTGCGCCTGTGATACATAGGTGTGCATGCTACATAACATATGTCTGATATGTCTAACAATCGAGAGTACCAGTCTCTGTACATTCGAGGCCTCATACTCAAATATTGCACGAGGACGTACTTTAGCCTTCACGGCATCATGCACCGATTCAGACAGAGATAGATGAGTCGTTGTTCGACTCGTTTGGGATCCGAGCATCGCTGCATTGCTCAAAAATGGAACGAATTAGTCATTGCTAGCATTGCAAGGTGGTTTAGATAACGGCTAGCTGGGCCCTAAGGCTAGGAACATGAATCCCGAGGTTTAGTACATGTAACAGCTTCTAGCTGTCAACCTCTCACACTCTATAATGATGGCTGCAGATCATCGATCATCGACATGCATCAGCTGGTTGTCAACGTTAACTATAGCAATAATACTCAGAGTCCGTGGCGTCATGTTATCGGGTAACGAACATCAAAAAGTAGACCACGCTGAGAATGGTTAGACAGTTACAGCAGTGAGTAATTTCGATGCTCGGTCTTACGGTATATGCTAAATAGAATTCTTTGGATAGGCTTTGCAGCCCAGACACCTATTATGAGTCTTTTTTGCAGCACAACTCCGCACTGCGATTTATCTAGAAGGCGACTACCTGCGTTTATTCGTGCTCGAAAAAACTTGCCTTGGTCGTATCTCCTGTCTAAATCTGACTCGATTGGTCCAGTCACATTAGTGTATTCATAATGGGCATACCTCTGGACAAAGCTTCATTTTTAGCTTTGTTCCTCGAGACTTTGTTTTATGGTGCGTTGCCGACCATCGGAATAGTTGAACTCGAAGTCGTGATGTCATCTCATGCATTCAATAGGCGTGTTCTTTACTTTATACTGGTTGACGCTATTCGTCTTGTTCAAGAAAACTGGCATTCAACAACAACTTCTTGTCCCTGTAGCGACCTTGCTGCTCTGTATTGCAACAGCTGTGAGTGTATTAATAAAACCTATTGGGAGAATTGCTCAACAAAGTCGCCTTCAGCATCTTATGATCGATTTTGTTCGAGCGCTAGAAGCTTTCGTATTCAAGGTAGATACGATTGGTGCAAATGCCTACTATTCAAACCTTGCTTCGCCATTGGATCTCGCATCAAAGGCACTTTACATTACGCAAACCACTCTTGCTGATGGTGTAGTTGTAAGTTTCTCCACTTGAATATTTGATCTCCCTTTGAGTAGAACAGGTTTGGCGATGTCATGTGCTTAACCATAAAAGCCGCTTTGTTGCCATTCCTGGTTGTATCGTGCTAATAGTCAATGCGGGTAAGGGTTTCGAAGGGTATTATTCAATCGACGTCTTATCTCGGTGTTTTGCAGCTACCGGGTACTATGTTGTCTGGTCCCTCTCTCGGGCATATGCGCTGTCCAATATTTCCACCGCTACTTCAGGATGTATCACTACATTCTATACATTGACCATGTTTGTCAGCGTCATCTGTACCGGTACGTCTATTGCACGTGCTCTACTGGCTACTGATGACCAGAATAATGATACAGTTTCAATTGCATGGCGAATTTATCACACTCGCCGTTCTATGCCAGGAGGCCTTGCCAATCTTTTACCCGTTTTCATCGTCGTCATTGAGAGCGGCGCTTTATATGCCACGAGTGTGCTTGCACTCCTAATATCATTCTTGGTCGGATCCAATGGCGAATACATCATGCTGGGCATTATCCCTCCAATTGTAGTAAGTGCAATGAATCGGTTTGTACACATGTTCGAGTTGTTCATGACGATTTCCAGGGAATTACATTCTGCCTCATCATTCTTCAAGTACACTTCCACATCGGTGGCAGCTCCTCGACTGAACAGTCCTCTGATGTAGGTGGCATCTTCACCAACCTTTTTCGAGGACGAAGTACGCGGGACCATCACTTCAGCATGCAACGGGTGGCTGTGCACATCACTGAGGAGGAGATCGTTCAGTCTGATAATATGAGCGGGAAGAATAGCCAACCGGTATCGGGGAGCGTCTTTCAACTGTAGATTATATTTCCCCTCAACTATAATCGGATACGTTAGCTTTGTTTAAACGGAAACTTGACATGGGACTACAGATGGTGAGCAGTTTGTTCAAAATTATTGTACCCATGTTCCGTCGACATCCCACATAGTTTCTCATGTTATCAATCGCACACTTAGCGATGTTCTACATTCACTCAGTTCACTATCAGTATACAACTGTCGATACTCGTAACCAGTCTTTACTACGTCTGAGATGTTAAGTGTTTGACTGGTTGATCTCGGAGAAGGCGAAGCATGGAGTTTTGATTTTAGCAGGTGCCAGTGATACTCATCATGTAGTTGGAGAGGCATACAGTACTTTGTACGATGTGAATGAAGGACTTGTGTGGTCGACGCGGCACAAAAATTTGAATCATTGCCTAAAGCGGCACCACCCGGCTGCTAAAATTCAAGCTCCGTGCTTCGCCTGCCAAATTTCTTCGCCACTCGACTTGTCCGTGGTAATACAAGCCTACTATACAGGCTTGCTACATTGTGGTAAGTAACCCGAATCATACAAGTAACCACACCACCCGTAACCACTTGCACTGCAGGCCTTGTCGTGCGCTACTAAGTACACGCATCCACATGCCTAAAAAAGCAAAGGAGAGGCTAGAGCATGATGTTGACAGGCCGCTCCGAGTCTGTCAGTCGCCCATGAAGAAACCTTGCATTTCTCCGATATTCTTACGAATACCGCATGTCATCTAACTATACCCACCTAGAGGCGGCCTAAGTGCATGTGCTCACCAATTGCCATTCACTCTCCCGGGCTTGAGATTGATGCCACGCTCAAACGAAGTTGGAGGTCATCTGACACTTGACTTTGGCATGTCTCGACGACAACATGGTGGACTTTGAATGATATAGATGGTTGATATAATTGGCCGGACGTCAAGTCGGTGATGACGGCGGCCCCAACAGCAATGTCTGAATTCTTTAAATACCATCACGCACTCAATGGTTTATTCCCCTTGCTCAACTCCTTTCATTCTCAACGTCTTTCGCGCAAACAATGGCTTCTGGATCTGATGTCAAGGTCGAATTCGACCCCAAGAACATGCCTTTCCGCAGGCTCGGCCCTAGTGGTCTCCGAGTCCCTGTCTTCTCGCTTGGTGGATGTATGTTTTGTGTACTATTTCGTGTTTGACGGTTCTAAATGGGAACTTATCTAGGGCTTACTCTTGGTGGAACTGTGATCGGTGACCCAGTGAAGGTGAGCATTAATTAAACTCCTCAATCTTCACAATATCAGAGGATCTAACCCCCATCAAAAGGATATAATTAAAGTCGCATTCGACAATGGTATCAACATGTTCGATACCGCGGAGGCTTATGCAAAAGGCAGGTCCGAGGTGGAAATGTGAGGTTCTTGGACACTTTAGCGAGCGCTGAAGCTGACTGTATGGGAAGGGGTCGTGTAATTAAGGAGCTCGGCCTCCGCCGGACAGATCTTGTCATTACTACCAAATTATTCTGGGGTCTGCGCACTGGTCCCAATGATGGTGGTCTCTCGAGGAAACAGTGAGTTGTTAGCAATTGCACTTTAGAGAGTGCTGACCTGGCTGCAGTATCATCGAAGGAACCAAGGAGTGTCTCGAGCGTCTTGGTCTTGACTATGTCGATGTTATCTTTGCGCACCGCCCGGATGTCTCAGGTATGGTTATTCATGTATGCCGAAGGGATCAAATTAGCTCAATTCAATTGTTTAGTCCCCATGGAAGAGGTGGTACGCGCATTCAACTGGGTGATTGAAAATGGTTTGGTATGTCGTTTGACTAGGAAAATAACAATGAGGTACTCACGGTATTCTAGGCATTCTACTGGGCAACGTCAGAATGGTCTGCATACGAGATTGAGGAAGCGCAGCGTGAGCTCTTTTGTGTTAGGGAGTTGTGAATACTGCTGACGAGTAATTGTAGACATCGCGACGAAGCTTGGACTCCATGGACCTATCGCTGAACAATGTCAACACAAGTAGGTGTCCCTCATTTTTGCGACTGTAGATTTCTGAGTCCTTGATCAGCATGTTCCATCGCGAGCGCCCTGAGAAGGAGTACCGGTGGGTTACTATCATATTCGTTATGATCAGTGACTGAGACGGATGTACCGCAGTCCTTTGTACAAAAAATACCAGCTGGGCACCACCGTCTTCTCCGCTCTTGCTAGCGGTCTTCTTACTGGAAAGGTGTGCTACTTCCGACAAGCCATCAATCATTTTCTCATGTTGGATGCAGTACAACGCTGGTATCCCAGATGGGACCCGTTTCTCGACGCACTCCAACTTTTTCAAGGGTACAGTGGACAGCTTGCAAAAGGAGGAGGGTCTCACGAAGATCCGCAAGGTCAACGAGTTGAGCGTACTCGCAGAACAAGGTATTTCCTCCCTTTGTTGTCATACACGATTGCTCGAACTGACACGCACCTGATAGAGCTTGGTTGCAGCGTCACGCACCTGGCACTTGCGTGGGTCGCAAAGAACCCGAACACAAGCACTGTCATCCTCGGGGCCTCGAAACCTGAACAGGTTGTTGATAACTTGAAGGCTCTCGACGTCATTCCCAAACTCACCCCTGAGATAATGGACAGGATTGAAGCAATTCTGGCGAACCAGCCGGCTGACCCGGTAAATGCTTGCCTTTGATGAGTAACTTTATGAAACTGAAACTTCATGCTTGTAGCCAACATTTGGTCGCCCGGCCCTGGATCCCAACGGCCGTCTGTGAGAAGAGATTGACGGAATCCGCCTCGTGGTCAGAAAATAAATTCCCAGTATCAATAAGTACTAAGTAGTGTCGATGTGCTATATAAGTGCCGTGATTGACCTATGTGAAGATCAAACATTTGAGTCCGTCCAGCCATAAGGTGGGGGAATACGGAACCCCGTTGTTGGACAGATGTCTTGTGCTCTGGATCCGAGAGTAAGGTTTACGATAGCACATGAAGGTAAGTATGATGCATGAGTAAGAACTCACATCTACCAACATTTGGAATATACTCAGGTCGGAAACCTTCGCTTCGTACTTACAGCGTGTTGGGCCTTGGCGTTTATCGGAAAATCCTTAATTAGGTGCTATCTAGAATTTCTATATTTATACAATATTCACCTACAAACAACGGAAACTGGTGAGGTGTCCTGGGAGAGAAAATTAGTACGAACAGCTAATGATCCGTTTTTTTCTAGCTTGCGCCTGGGCGTCCATGTGGACATTAACGGAGGACTTGAATCCAAATACGTTCCCATCTAAGACGCTCTCCGGCAGGGAGCATGTCGGCTGGCTGACAAACGAGGCCGAGCCGGTGCGCTCCGAAACAACTCGTTGATGTGCTCTCCACACAGACGTACGTACTACACACTATTTGGTGTTGCGCCGGGTCTCTGCTGGCATCCTGAATCAATTACAACTATGAACGAACGATGCTACATAAATAATTTGGACTGTACGCGTACCCATTTATGTCATTGCCGCATCTGTGAATGACACCCCTATCAATAGTGTCATTGCGTTTTGACACGAACCGGAGACAGTGTCGCTTAGACATGTGCTATGTTCACATACATATATAACATGAGTTGAAGCCATTGTAAAGTCCCATGCAATAGTCACCTTACTGCACACCACACTGTATCAACCATGTCCATCAAAACAGAGTTCGACCCCAAGAACATGCCCTTCCGCCGTCTGGGCCCCAGCGGCCTACGGGTCCCGGTATTCTCACTTGGTGGATGTGAGTAGCTTTCTAATTAGGACAGTATTGCTATGGTGCTGAGAATATGTCGTAGGGCTGACGCTGGGAGGAACCGTTGTTGGTGACCCTGTCAAGGTAAGGGAGCCTAAATATTGAGTGAACGGGGAGCCTCAACTCGATTTCACAATCAGGAAATCGTCAAAGTTGCCTTCGAGCATGGTATCAACATGTTTGACACCGCTGAGGGCTACGCAAAGGGTCACTCCGAAGTTGAAATGTGCGTGCTAAGGGAATCCTCGTCGGATGAGTCTAACCTGGTCTCTACACAGGGGTCGCGTCATCAAAGAACTTGGCTACCGTCGCTCCGATCTGGTCATCACCACAAAATTGTTCTTTGGTACCCGTACCGGTCCGAACGACACTGGTCTTTCCAGAAAACAGTGCGTGTCAATAAAACTTGAATCAGGTCACGTGAACTTATCGTCGGCCTAGCATTATTGAGGGTACCCAAGAGTCACTGAACCGCCTTGGCCTCGACTATGTCGATGTCCTCTTCGCACACCGACCTGATTATACAAGTATGTGTCAAGTTGTGAACACAACCATAGACATTGAAGACATCATTGCTTGCAGCACCCATGGAGGAGATTGTCCGCGCTTTCAACTATGTCATTGAGAAGGGCTGGGTGAGTCTCGAGTCTCGAGTCTTTTTAGTCCTGCTCAAGATATTTGTAGGCATTCTACTGGGCCACGTCAGAATGGTCTGCAAGGGACATTGAGGAGGCTCATCGTGCGTTTTATCTGCTTCTTGAATGTCCCAAATTTAATGTGCTGTCCAGACGTCGCTGAGAAGCTCAACCTGATCCCTCCCATTGCTGAGCAGTGCCAGCACCAGTGAGTCGACAAAGATATTGTGCTCAATCCAGTTTACTGATGGGTATCTAGCATGTTTCACCGTGAACGCCCCGAAAAGGAATACGCACCTATCTACAAGAAATATTCCATCGGGACCACCGTTTGGTCTGCATTGGCTAGCGGCCTCCTCACCGGGAAGGTAAACGACGTTCCAAAGATAGCCTGCAGATCAGACGCTGATGATTCGCGATCTTCAGTACAACAGTGGTATCCCGGCTGATTCGCGGTTCGCTGCCCACTCCGATTTCTTCAAGGACACTATGAAGAGCCTCAACGAGGAGGAGGGTCTCTCCAAGATCAGCAAAGTCCAAGCGCTCTCCAAGCTCGCTGAGACGGAGTTAGGATGTAGCGTCACACACTTGGCGTTGGCATGGATTGCAAAGAATCCGAATACGAGCACCGTCATCCTCGGCGCCTCCAAGCCTGAGCAGGTGGTCGATAACTTGAAGGCACTGGACGTCATTCCCAAGCTGACGCCTGAGATCCTAGACAAAATTGAGGCAATCCTTCAGAATAAACCTGCATCAACTGTGAGTGATGGTGTTGGAATTTGATTGAATTAAATTGCTGATCGTTACTGCCCTGCCAGCCTACCTTTGGCAGGCCACCACTTGATGCCTATGGTCGTCTATGAAGTCGATGGTTTTCTGTCGGATTTTATGGTACGAAGGATTGACAGCCAGACCATGAAGCCGTATAATAGATGAGTACACCTAGGACTTTATGACATTCCAGGACGTATACACATCAACAACTTCTGAGAGAAGATTGAGTATTGAGGACTGGTTGTTGGGAAACTGCGATGTAACGAGAATCGAGGCCCAAACACTCTGTATTCCAGGGTGATTCAGTTAATTAGAGTCTGCACCTGCCGCTTCAGAATGATTGTCCAGTTGGCATCAATGCACTTTCTTCTAAAGAAGGTGGCGCAGAATTTTGCCAAAGAGGCGGTTGTGCATCGCCCAATACTGGAAGTTCCTCTTGATTCTTTGTCCGATCGGATACAGCCTCCAGATGCGTATCCCACACCGCCCACATCACGTTACCATGCCAACTGCACAGCCGACCAGAACACGCGTTAAACAATACAATACCAGGAAGGCAAAAACAAGAACAGGGAAGATGATGCTGGTACAGGGACGACATTAGGTAGGTGAGCAAGTAATTGGTTGAGTAGACGTACACCCTCAGGAGGAACATGTTCAGGTCATAAAGATTAGAAACAACCTAAACCAGATCGATGCTCCAACCAACATGAGTTAGCTTACGGCATCCTCTGCAGAGTGCGTGCGATTATGACACATGAGAAGCAAGCCTAGAATGATCGCATTGACAATGTTGATAGTGGGTAGATAGCTGGATATTCGGACGACAGGATTGACGTTAGGGTCATCGAGGAAAACGATAATGGCATTTGAGATCACTGTGGACTGCAACAGAATCATGGAATCATCAAACATGTGGTAGATAAAAGAGGTAACGTACGTATAGGGTGAAGGCCTCCCATTCCGAGTTGAGTTCGTAAATGAACTGCTTCCGTAAGGTGTGGTTTACGGGCTGGTCCACGCATATGCCATTCAAGCCTTGGGCGTGGATGTATGGTGCACCGAAAAGAAGGGGAGACCTATGGCAAGGAGGATGGGTATCAGGCACCGGCCTCTAGGTAGATAGTTTGGTCAGCATCCAAACGAGCTCTGACTTACCCACAGAAGTTGAGTGAATGTATGAAAGACCTGCAAATCGTGAGCATGAATCGGGCTAAGACCAATCGTATTGTTGATCAGTACTGTTTCAAACATTAAACCAGAGGACGCACACCCAGTACACACATCCAGTGAGGGTGAATTTCAACAAGACCGATCAGCTTTGGAGGGTGATTAATGAAAGAATAATAAGAACCTTCAAGACACTAGTAATCTCCAGCATTTCACTCAGGTCGTCGCGATCAAAGGGTGCAAGCGAAGTATCAGACGTGATAGTGTCTAGGGATTGACTAAGTGATCAAAATTCAGCATCCACATCGCATGCACGATAACTTCCGTCACTTCAAGAATGAGAGGCTCTTTGACAAATTGGGCTGCAAGATTCTGAATGCAATGTTCATCAACACGAGAATGTGCCCACCTGTTCGGCGTTATAAAAGTATAGAGCGTCCCGGGTGGGTGAAAGTTTTCCAGCCGAGAGAACAGAGCGTTGTACACAAGCCTAAAGTTCGGCGTGAGACAAGTATACAAGAACAAGACACTCCCTCGGAGAACTTCGTCTGTGAATTCACTAATATGAGCGAGGTGGTCGATTGGCGGACTGTTTAGACCTACATTCAATTTTTATGGTTGTATCTCATGACTGACATGCAGGAATAGGGATGAGGTCGCGAAGTATTGTTTCCAGAGGTCGCTCACGAGATTCGATTCTCACCCAGGGCGTTTGCACAGGCAGAGTACTCTCAATGTCGGCGTCCAACGGGTCATACGTCGAGTGCACGTGCATTGGCAGTGAAGTCTGACTGGGCCCGACGTTGGTCATTATACGCGATCCCATTCTGAAAAGCAAGGAAATGATTCGAGTCGGGATCTCCAGGGTGACCGGGCAATGAAGAGACAACACGTTGAGGGACCTGGCGCAGTTTCGAAAGCTGGAGCCTACTGGGTATGACTCCGATGGGCTCTATTTCTTGGGAAAGTGCCCTCTCCCTTGGATCCCATTCCAGTGCATAGAATTGTCACTCCAGCGAATCATGTCAATGAGGTCTTGAGCTCGAGGCCTGAGGCTCCAGACTTGGACAAAAAACGTCCTATCGCCAAAGAATCTTGTGCTCAAATTTTGTTGATAGCTCTTAATCATATATGATATCGGAGAATTCTGACGAATCAAATTGTCAATTATCAGTTGATGAGGCTCTGCAGTAGAGGCATGATAGAATAAATTGAAGGAACGTTTACTAGTCTGCCTGGTACCAACTTGACAACCAAGTTGGGATTGTCAACTTGTGACAATGCTGCTTCTCATTTTTGCTGGATACAATTTGAAAGGTCGGCAGCCCGACTTCCATTACGCGGTTGCTACAGGTTCTGAAGGAAATGTTGTTGGGCGTCTAAGTCCTGCTGCATGTCGATGCGGCTGTGGGTTCCGGAATCCTTTAATCAAACGTTATTCTTGACATGCCAGCAGAGACCTGCCTGCTTTCACAGCAAATACCACAGCTTTAAATACCACAGCATCTTTCCTGTCTGTATACCCTTTCAACGACAGGACACCAGCAAAGCAACCTAGGCCACTGGCGTAACATATGGCGAGCAAGGTTGGTTCCAAATGGTTCCAAATTAGGCGCTCGCACTAAGAGGTGTACAGACAACTAGAACGCCGAAGAGAGTAGAAGTAAACCAGCGTGCGCTGGTCGATAAAGTGCTCGCTCGATATCCCGAAGAGTTTACAGGTCCGTCAAGCCACTATTCTGGGTAGCGCGGTTGACTAAATGTGCTCAGTGTTCCGAGAACTATTACAGAATGCAGACGACGCTAGAGCCAAGAAGGTCCTAATAGAGTTTCAGACGAAGGACTACGCTACACATACTGCGGGAGCGAACGGCAAGACAAATGGAATCAATGGCACAACCGATTTCCCGGACTTGCTCACAACGAAGGTGAGCTCGGGGTGGTGCTGCCCTCGGAATTACTAATGCTCAGCATCCTAACAGTTGTACAAATGGGTTGTTCGCAACAATGGTGATTATTTCGAAGACAAGGACTGGGGACGACTGACGAAGATTGGTATGATGGTTCAATTCCCAAATGATTCACGCTGACTTTTACCCAGCGGATGGCAACCCGGACGAACAGAAGATCGGGGCATTTGGAGTTGGTTCGTAGAGTTATGTATCGCCGTCAATTGGCCTTCTCATGAAGTTATCCTCTATAGGGTTCTACAGCGTCTTCGGTATCACCGATAGCCCGCAGGTCTTCTCTGGAGGTAAGCGCCAAACTCTTTCCTTGACTAGATCCACCATGCCAATCGGAACACCTGATAGGTAAAAGCCTGTCGATATTCTTTCAAGGCGATCAGGTATACTCGGAAGCGCCATAAGCTCGGTAAAAGCTCGCAATACTCATATATCTCTCCAGCTATATACGTTGGACGATACTTGTCCCCAGAGCGAGTGGACTTCCATCGAGATGCAGCTGAAGGAAGATATGCAAGTTCCCGTCCCGAAGCCATTCGACTTGGCCAGGTTCTTGGCAGCTACTATGACATTCATGTCATGTGTGGAAAATGCCCATGTTTCTTTCAACGACAAAATCTTCATGAAGATCGCCAAGTCCAGACAAGTACCCAGCTCCATTCGTGTTCCCAAAGATATGATACCGAGGAGCAAGGAGGACACGATGCATATCAAGGGACTTTCAGTAGTTAGTGGGTTGCACGTCATATTCTCGGCACGTGAAGCATACTGATTTGCCCTGACAGCCCAAGAAATTTCTGTTGAACTCGCGGAATGGGCACGCGCCGCTGGAACGAAGATGATATCTACGCATCGCCCTGGCAATGAAAATCTATCAAAGGATCCTGTGAAACGCAAAGGTTTTTGGGATGGCTCAAAGCGCGAAGTCCCAAAAGTCGCCAAAGTCACTAAAGCTGTATCTCGAGCGTCGACTTATGATCACCCGCCCTGGGTGACCCATCGTGCCAAATACGCGGTATATTCAGCTGAAGTTATGACTACTCCTAACAAGGACCTTCATAAGGGCTTACGAGCAATGACGAAGAAGGATCCTCCTTCCCACTTTGATTTTGAGATGGTCTACGTGAGCCTTCCAGCAACCTTGTTCTGTACTTTGTACTCATCATAAATACAGTTCTCCAAAGAGGAGCAGGATGCAAGAACGGCAGAGGAGAAGAGGGATCCGGACTTGGGAAGCATATTCAGAGGACCGCAGGGTCTATTTCCACAACTAGATGGGTATGTTACTTGTTTTTTGTTTGTTTCTGTGCACATCGTCATGTTGTCATCATGTTTTAGGGAATACATGTCCCGGATCTTCATCGTAGGCTCTACATTGCAGTTAATATGAAACGTGCTGATGAGTCGCAGGGCCAAAGTACAGCGCAAACGACTGGTATTGGTGGGCACATGTCTGGCCGGTTTATTCCGACTATCGAACGAGGATCCATTGATCTGACGTGGGTGCACATTTTTTGCACGTAAAGTTATCTCACGATTGTTTAGAAACGGCCACATTGCAAGTTCGTGCCAGCCTCCCGGTCGGTTCCCGTTGAGGTGTACTGACAATTCACACAGAATGGAATCAGGAGCTCCTGTATGTAGGTGGATTCCTTGCGAGGCTCGTATATGAACAGGAGATTCGCAAGGTCTGGGATGCTTGGCCTACAATCAACGGTGTTGCTGTCCCGACTGCTGACGCTCGGGCGGCAGCTTCAAGAGAAAAGGCCTCATATGCTATGCGCTACTTCACGTTCCAACCGTCCACTCCGGATGCCAAAGTATCGAAAATCTTGCAAGATGCATTTTATGACTGTTTCGACTATTCCTCCAACGTTCATTTCCCCATCTTGACGAATTCGGGTATCTATCACACCAAGGACGTTCGGGAGATTCACACTGACTTTACCTCCTTCATGAAAATGGTGCCTACACAACTTCCGACGTCACCTGGCGACCCACCTAATTTGGTTGACACTCTCCCTGAGAAGTATGGTGTCCGGATGTACACATTTTCGGACGTGGTGAAAGAACTACAGCGAAGGATCTTACAAGAAGAAGAAATGATCGGTTGTCTGCGGTGGTGGGTCAACTTCATAAGTTCGCTTGAAGACGATGAAGAGAGGGAAAGAACTCTCATATTTCTGCCCAATCTGACCGATAATGCCAAGTCGCGAATTGGGAATTCAATGCGCGTCATAGAATTTCGCAATATCACCAAGTTTGTCGATTCCAATATTTGGCTCCCTTGGCTTCAGTCGGACGATGCTCTTCCCCCAGACACTATTCCGTTCTCGTTTACCAGACCTCTCAATCGACAACACATTTCCCCATCTCTTTTGTGGCAGCCAATGACACTTGTGGACTGGCTGACTCATTTGATAAGCCCTCAGATAGACGCAGCCCATGACATTCGCAAAAACTCTACGTATTCCAACCGTGTCTTGGGGGTTCTGGGGAACATCTGGCCCATGATGTCCAGTGACATAAAAACTCAGGCAAAGGATCTCATGCAGGACGTCCCATGGATCGCAACGAATCTGGGATTCCGGCCCCCTGGTGGAGCGTATTTTCCAGAAGCAGACGTCTTCCATGACTTGCCTGTTGTCTCTGTCAATCTGTTTGATCCACAGATTCTCACTGTACTTGGTGAGCTTGGGGTCAAACGTCATCTTGACTTTGAAGAGTTGTTTGCCAAGTGAGTTAAATTTCAAGACCTTGATTCAACATTGTTGATCAGTTTCCAGGGCGGACAAATTGAGCACGTGGTCAGCGATGGAGATGATCAGGTATCTTAACACTGACCCAGACGCCATGGAGAGGCTGGAGGAAATAAGGAAACACGCTGTTTTCCCTTGCGATAAAGGCAAGAAATACTGCATCACTGACTTGTACCTTCCACATGCGGAGATACGTCCGTTGGGCCTACCAATTCTCGATTGGTCACGCAGGATCGATAAAGATTCTGAAGATGGTACCTTGTTTCCTTCCCCTATATTTTCTCTCGCTTTCAGCTGACTCTACTACAGAGCAACTTCTGACCGATATGGGATTCCTTCGACACCCGCCTTTGGAGAAGCTTATTGAGATTGCTGGAGACCCCGACCCTAAAGTTCAACGTGCTGCCTTTGGGTACCTTGCAAGCAAGTTCGATGAACTCTATGATACAGAATATGATCCTTCGAAATACGACGATATGCCGTTTATACCAGCTATCCGAGATGGTCATGAATGTGTCGGCGCTTACGAGGAGGTAAGATCTTTTGCTATTTCATGGAACTGATACTGGAAACTCGCATCAAGGTTTATTCTGATTCATCATGGGCGTTGATGGGGTTCCAGAAAGTCCACCCTTCTGTCGACAGGAAGATCGTTGGCCGACTGAGGATGCGGGAAGCGCCATCGGCAAGACAAGTGATCGATGTTTTCAGGACCAGTCCGCCCAAGGATCCCAACACAGCGATAAAATGGTTCGCCTTTCTTGCAACAAAGCAAGGTCAGACGCGCTACTTGGCTAACTCTCAGTCTCTAAACGGTTTCCTCTCCTTATAGTCCTCTCTCCTGGAGATCTTCAGCAAATCGCCGAGATTCCTATCGTTCCCGTCGTAGAAGGTTCCGTCGAACCTCGCCTGGTGCCACCTCGAGAGTGCTTCATTGGTGGTAGTCAATACGGAGACGACCACCTTTACCGCCGACTGTTTACCTTCGTCGACTTTGAGGAACGTGCAAATCGGTTTCTGAAAGCTTGCGGCGTCAAAGCCAAGCCAGATTGTTCCGACATCCTCCACATCCTAATAAAGGACCCTAAGGAGTTCCTTAGAAAAGCTGGTGCAGACCCTGAAAAGTACTTCAACATTCTGCAGAATCACCCTTATGCTCATCGTCAATGCAGATATCTTGTCGAGCTTCGTGGAATTGCGGTTGGGTATGAGGGGCTCTCCGAAGAGGATAAGAAAAGGATGAAGAATGCGCCGATATTCGTCGGCTATCGCACAGTAAGGTCCTCGAATTCAGATAACACCACTCTCGTCGTCAGGGACGAATTCCAACTCGTCACAGCATCTAAGATTCTACTCGCTGATGACATGGAAAACCGACGGATCTTTGGAGAGTTTGTCTGGTTGGCTCCACAAGATGAGTTGCTCGAAAGTAAGCTAAGCTAGTCTTTCTTTGAAAGTGGACCCAGCTAACCAAGTCGCAGAGCTCTACGAATCTGTGGGATCTGGATATTTGAGCGCCCATATCAAATACAACGTGAAACCAGATAGCGAGCAACATAGGTGGACTCGCTGCGAGGAAGTTCGAAAGGCAATTTTGGAGAAGTTACCCATCTTTATGCATGAGTTTGATGAACAACGTCTCAAGCAAGGCTCGGTGCATCGGAAGTGGGATGATAAATCACGCTTTCTCGTGAAAGGATGCAAAGATCTCAAAGTGGACAAGAGACTTGAATCTAATTACTGTATCTCTACTGAACGTCAGAGAGAAAGTAATGAATTCTATGTGTCCGCCGAGATTACTACAGAAGAGAGCGGTCGTGTTGTGCTATGGCTCAAGAAAACGGACCATCTTGACATGTATGAGTGAGTGAATTTGAATTCAAGTTCCTCCACACATTTATCACTGATGGGATTGCGTTAGCGTCGCTGTCGCACTTTGCCGTCTGCTTTTCAAGACTCACAAGAAGCACGATGTTCTCAGTTTGATGACCATATTGGAGACGGACAAGGAGGTCTTGAGGAAACGAGGCTACGATGGTAATTTTCACGACTTTTTTGCAATGTCTTTGTCTCACTTGTAGCAGTGGATAGGATTGAGCAAGCTCACGAAGCCGCTAAACTTGAGGACAAGAAGAAGGAAGAAGGTATTCGATAAACTTCGAGTCGGCTACTCGGGCTTATTAACCAATCACTCTCCAGAGCGCGAAAAGGCAGCACGCAATAAGCATTCAGAGGAGTCCGGCGGAGGGCAGCATATTGGTGGCAGTATCCACCTCCGGTCCAGATTCCTTGATTTCTTCAGGTGGCAGTCGGGATCCAAGAATGCCAATAGAGTTAACGTCGGCGAAATTGGTATGTCTCGTATTATACCTCAAATACATTCGCAAACTTGTTTCATGCAGACGATGCGATCAAGGAGTTGATGGAACAGTGTGCCAAAGGACAAGCTACCCCAGAAGAACAAAAAGAGATCCGAAATAGAGAACACAGGGGTGCAGGCAGGAAGCAGAAAGACGTTCAATACTGTACTGAGCTGAAGAGCACCGCTCTGGAATCCGTCGGTACGTGGGTCGTTGTTAATAATCATGTCTTGATATGAACGAACTCCAGATGTGGGTGGTGCTGCCGGTCTCATACCCGTTTGGCGACAAAGTAAGTCCCCTCGTTTTTTGGCGTCAGCATTACTAATAGTCGTAGTCACTGCACAAGAGGCAATTCCAGGCGAACTAACAGAGTTTGCAAACATAGTCCATGGACTCAACAGAGTTTTGGACCTGAGTAATAACGAACACGGCATATTTAATATCTTCTGGCATCCGGAGGATCGTGACTTGATGGGATTCAACCGCAACCGATTGATTTTCTTAAACCTTGCACACTTCACCCAACGTAAGTAAACCTTGATGCTGTTTATCAAAAACCCTTACATGATATGGTCACAGACTCGCACATGACGCCCGGTCAGGCATACATTCACTGGTACGTAGATGTAGAGAATCGCCGACCACGACGTGTTCATACAGCCTTACCCCAACAGGTACTATATCGTCGTGCATGAGATAGCCCACAACAAAACGCCTTTCCACGACGAAACTCACGAGTTGTTGGTTTCGGCACTAAGCGCTCAGTTCCTGCCACGTTTGCACGACGTGGTAGAGGTCCGCGAGTATCTCAATTGCGCAACGAACATTTCGTAGCGGATATTCGGCTTGGTTGCCACGGATGGGACTCCAGAGGTGTATTTATAAGTTGTGTTGTGCATTAGCATTGACGGCAGCGACCTTGTTCCACAAGTGTTGTGTACCATCGACACATTTTTTGGGGAAGACATGTGGATCATTCATTATACATCAGCGGTATGCTAATATTAACAAACTTTCAAGAGTAGCGAGCTGCAGTCATAATCAGGAAAAACTATGCCAATTTTGTCATCTGAATACAACGTGATGCTACATTGTTAGTACAACACATGACGGTTTCTGATAAATGGTTGTGATCAATCGTTACATGCATGTTGTTTCGATTCGGAAATAGTGTTTACCATCAGTCATGGAAGGTACGTGAGCTCGTTTCTTTCCTTTGAAAGGAAGGCCCAGCGCCCAGTTGGCATCGTTTCAGCAGACCGGAAGGCATGCTGGCCCGGGAAGGTGGCCGTAATACGATCGTCTCGCGAAGAGCAGCATTGAAAATGTGATGTTTAGGCCTTCCGATGCTGATGGTAAAAAAAGCTAAGTGTACATCATGCAATTTGCTCTCAAGTTGAGCTAACGGGATGAGTTTGCAATCTACCCTCACTCACTGGTTGTGTCGGAAATTTGCGAAAACGGTTGCAATGAGTCCCTATTTAGATGTCATTGAAATGTTGCCTGAAATGACAAGGCAATGCTGATTACGCGTTGAAATGGTAAGATAATACTTATGACTGAGTTTCAAATTACATCACGGATGTGCCCTTCCCATTATCATTCCATCAGCGCCAGCAGTGATCTTTTTCCAGTTTCTCCGTCCTTCAGGTCTCTGTATATAATCCTGTGTTAGTTCTATCATCAAGAATGGCCCCCAACCGCACAAGGTTCTGCGACTTATGTGGTCAGGACATCAAGCCGCGAGGTTGGACTACTCATCGGAAAGCTTGTGAGACAAATGCAGACAAGTGGCACCGTGATCAGGCCATTGTAGATGCAATTCGGCAGGAAAAAGGTGCGTTTGATTGTATGCCCAATTTCAAAGCTAATGATTAGTATTCCAGCACTGAACGAATCTGTGCTTGATGGACAACGGACGGCTCAACCTAGTCGCGCTCACACACCAAGTATGTTTTCTATCATTTCAATGTTTGTCTTTTTGACTCATCTGTCCCTAGTCGAGGCGAGAGATTACCAGCATGATATTGCACATGACTTTGATGTGGACTTCAGCTTGACTGGTGAGTCTATTAGTACATATCTCATTGATAATCAATTTCTGGATCGCTATTACTGTAACTATGATCAATAATGCTATCGATTTTTCAGACCATTTTGAGCCTGAACCTATGGACGCTTCAGCACCACCCACCTATTCGCTCGATGACATCAAGGTCGAGCATCACCCAAATAGTGGCATCAAGGCGCAAATCTATCCCTTCAACAATTTTCATCGTCGTCCTGCAACATCTTCGGCTTACACCACTCCCAATAACCACCCTTGGCGCCCATTTCAATCTCGACTTGAATTTGAAGTAGCCGAGCTTGCTCTTGAGGTCGGATTGAACAACGAACAAACAGACCGTCTCATCAACATTTGCCATCAATGTTCTCTCAGAAAGGATAGTTTTACGCTGAAGAACCATAAAGACATTCACAGCAAGTGGGAAGCAGCGTCCCATCGGATCACAAAGGTGATTCCATTCATTCTTTGCTGTATGGACTCCGAATTTGACCTTTCTCGAAGCGCAGTTCACGAAAGATGTGATCTCAGTCCCCTACGACGGCAAGATGCAGGAATTTGATGTATACTACAGAGATCTTTGGGATCTCGCTACTGACCTACTTCGGGACCCTAACCTCTTCCCTCACTTCCAGTTCGACGCACAACACTTATCGAAGTTTGATGGGCAAACCTTCGTCCGCTTTGTAGATGAACCTTTCACTGCGGAAGACTTTTGGAATGTGCAAGTATGTATCCTGTAGTTTCAATCCTTGTTGTATGTATGTGAAACATTGTGCATTTGTAGTCGCAACTACCACAGGATGCAAAGCCACTAGCTTTCATCCTATACGCCGATAAAACAAGATTATCATCATTCGGTACTGCGAAAGGATACCCAGTTGTCGCGCGCTTAGCAAATCTACCTACTGATATTCGGAACGGACGAGGTGTAGGTAGTGGTTACATTGTAGGATGGCTGCCAATTGTATGTCCCAATGTTTGTCTCATTGTCGATGCTGATGGTGGGGTTGTATTGTATTAGGTGACAGAAGATAAAGAGCATTCTGGAAAGTCAAGCTGGGTCAACTTCAAAAATGCAGTCTGGCACGAGTCATTCGCGAAAATCACCTCTTCGTTGGCATCGAAATCAAGGACAGGACAATGGTACCCCTGCCTAGATGGCATTGATCGGTGGTTCTTCCTTTGTCTACTTATTTTGTCAGCTGATTATGAGGAACAGCAAGTACTATCATTCTACATCGTGTTTTTCCTAACGATAATTTACAGGTGCGTTATGTCACTTACTCGAGGGGTCATGAGCCTTTGGCCATGTCCTATCTGTCTCATTCCTCGAGACGAGCTTTGGGATACGTCAAAACAATATACCCACCGAATCGCCGACACATCGCGGGATATTGTACTGGCTGCACAGGAAATGGACACCCATGAAGAACAAGAAGAGCTTCTCAAACAACATGGACTTCGTAATGTTACTGTGAGTTTTGTGTCTACTATTTGCGACGCTCTTAGATTAACTTATTTTTAGAATTCATTCTGGGCCATCCGATATTCAGATGTACATCGAGCGCTATTGCATGACCGGTGTCACTACAACCATGGCGGTCTTTGGTCCCGTCATTACTGGGTCGAGCTGCAAAAGCACTTGACGAGCCTCGGAAGGGCAAAAGTAGCCCAAGTTGATAAGAAGTGCGTCTCTTTCCCTCGATTATGTCAATATCTAACATGACATCCTCTTCTACTATGTCATCAGTTTTGCAGCATTTCCCCGATGGCGAAATTTGAAGCATCCGAACCAAGTAATGAGTATTACATTTGCAGACAGCTCCGTCCATGAAGATATATCAAAGGTTCGTAGTTATTATTGTGCGCAACTATCTCGCTAACACATTATTTCACTACAGATGATAATATATGCTACGCACAACATCCTAACAGAGGAAGCCTCTCCGCTTGGGTACCTTCTAGTTCGCTGTGTACGCCTTTACCTCGAGGTTGACATGTACGCTGCCTTTGAGGTTCACACAACGAATACCATCAGCGAGGGCAGAAGCGCCATTCAAGCCCTAACGGCATTCATGAAAGTATGTCTTAGAACTCTCTACTTTAGCAAATGAATTGACAGTATTGTAGCAATATATCATGGCAACAGAGGAGGATGATAAAAATTGGAATTTTCCAAAACTCCACATGATCACGCATCTATTTGACGATATAGAGGCTAAAGGGGTCACAAGGAACTATAATACGAAGCCAAATGAGCAAATGCATGGGCCATTGAAGGATTGGTACCAGCACCGGACAAACTTCAAGAACATCGCAGAACAGGTGAGTAATACAAGGCAACTTTCGCATTTATCTACTCATGGGACATCATAATTACAGATTCTTCGTATAGACCACTGGCTACTCGTTGCGGATGATATCCATCGTCGAATCTTTGACTTGGATGAATACGTAATATCACAACGCCAAGCAAACGACATCGACGAAGATGCCAATGAAGATGATCCTGACTCCGAGGTATTGACGAACCCCATAAGACATGTTTTTGGCCCTTTGGATGGGTCTATGCATGTGAAATTCGGGTCGAGGGAAGCTCCGCAGACCTTTGGTCTCATTGAGAATTCCCACAAGGATGACATCGCGTTTTCCAACTTCCATGTTAAGCTGAACTCGTTTTTAAACGTATTTCTACCTGCAAGCAACATACCCCTACCAGATGGGAAGAGAATCCATCTCTTATCAACTCACACAGTAAGTTTGTTCAATTTAGTAGTAGCCCTTACCGCACTAATCACACAAGACAGATCACGACATGTCGACTGTTGCGTGTCAACTACGAGTCAATGGTGGACTGGCGACAATATACCGATTACCTTCGGTGCAATCCAAAGTTCTTTAATGCACCACGTTTCGATTGCATGTTCATCCAGACCAACCAAAAGGTCATCCTTGGACGCCTGCTCTTGCTTTTCGAGTGCCCAGTTGGAGACAATGTATTTCCACTTGCTCTCGTCCACCCGTATGACGCTCCCATAGGTGTACGACTTCGAAAAGACAAGCACCTTAACCTTCTTAGAGTTCGAGCAAAACCGCGGGCACAGGCAGAGTTTTTCTCCACCAGGTCTATCATCCGCGGGGCACTTCTAGTGCACGACGAAAACCTCGATTACTTTGTTGTCGATACAGTTGACACAGATATGTTCCTTCGTGTGAAGGAAATGCATCTGCAGGCAGGGCATGTGGTGCGCATTTGACTGGTGAGTAGCATCTCTTTGACATGTCTGATTTGTATTGATACATAGCTACTAGGTGTTGTTATGATATCTATGCTGCTTGGCTACTAACTATTTGATTTATGTGATACTAGGGATGATGCAGATAGGTCTGGTACCGTCCTACATGATTCGTTGTCGATTAGGGACGATACCTTCATTGTGATGGCGGTGCTTGATATGCGTACATTCGTGCATGTTTTATTACTCGTGGTGGGTACTTCAACGCTTACAACTGATGGATCACTGACCAATATGTCTTGATATAATAACAAGGTTTCGGTTACATCTATGAACATGTAAAGTTGCTGCAAGCAGTATTACGTCGAGCAAACACGAGGTGATAGCGCAGTATCATTTAAAGTGTTGTAGTGATACTAATTGTGTATTCTCGCCCCCTCATTCAACAAAACTCTTCTCCAAAGCCTTCTGTTTGGCAAACATGTCGCACATCATGCAGTCACACTCGCACTCAGACACAGACAGTGACTCTGATGGCCAGGGCGGCAATCCTACTCATATCTCTATTCCGGCCCCCAGCGCTTCTAAAGGGGAGCTTCTAGAGGTAAGATATGATCCGTCTGTTAGCGCTACTTTCTAACTTGATTTGTTTCAGGTGCTTAAAACACTGCAGGTTCAAATGCAGCGTCTTCAAGACGAGAACAAGAGCATCAAGGAGGAGAATAAGACTTTGCGTGCCGAGAAGCCGAAACGAAAACGGCGCATGGACACACAGCATGAACTTAGCGTTCATGAGGATACTATCACCATCTATGCCCGTAAGTATGGCATGATGATGGAGATGTTTCCTAGTAGCGACCTTCTCAACAAGAAACTCCCGGAAGCTCCCACTCCATTCGATAGCCCCGACCGATACAAGACTGCGGCAACGCAGGACTCTGCATTCTTACACGAGCTTTATCATCATTTTCCCGAATCATTGCACAAGATAATGGAAAGCTCGTATTTCAGCGATATGGTATGTAGCTTGTTATTAGAGTTACCATGTTGAATCACTAATGCAGCAATATTAGGTACTGAAATGTATTCCTGATGCTCGCGCCAACGAAATCAAGAAACTTCGTGGCGTTGCTGGTGATATTTTCAACCTTCCCTCAAAGTATTTCACCAGCACCAGCTTCGAGAGAGCCACCATTCCCAAAATCCAACAGTTACTTGGCGTTTCGTCTGCTGCAAACCAGACATACAAGACTTTCCCGCCAATCTTGTTTCCAGGGTTGAAGGAAGATATGTCGCTGAAGACAGTGTTCGGGAACTGGGAGCTACTAGCCCGGGTAAGTCTTATCACTATTGTGTTGATGCTTTATCTTACTGAATGTAATATGATTACTTAGGTTCTCAAAGCTTCGTTGCGTGGTGTTACCTCGCTCCACCACAGGTCAAGTGGCGGCGGCGCGCATACTAATGCTCTCAAATGGAGCGTTCATCAAATCACGCCAGGAGCGATAGCATGGGCGGCAGTTATTGTAAGTCAGCATTTCAGTCATTTACACCTCGAGACTCAGTCATTTGTCATGTATTGTTGCGACAGGCGATATTTCTACTCTCGCCAGACACTGAGTTCTCGAGCTCGGGCCTAGGGAAGAAGTCAAACATCAATTACAAGACCTTGTTTTACAACTACAAGAAGGTTCTTGTTTCGAAATGGACCACCAGGTGTGTCACCTTGATCGTCGCCAACATCAACAATTATGTCTTCGAGGCTGTGAAAGGACCTTCTGTTGACCCATCAGCCGAACAAGATCATGCGAGTGCCATCAATCGTGCACTTGCGGCGCTGGATATGGACAGCAGCGAATCGGACCATGAATCTGATGCTTCGGCTCAAATATCTGCTGCTCTTTCGGTTGCTAATCCACCTTCCATTGTTTCTGCCACCCAAAGTCCAAGTGCTATTGGTGCAAGGCCCGACTTCAATCATTCCCAACCTGAAGCATCATCTGATATTGTAATACATGATGCACCGGTTGCTGATGTTGGTGCACAAGTTGTCGAGGAAAGCACACAGAATGTTGGAGATAGTGTCAGCGCATGAGGGCGGACAAAAACTAGAGGGTCCAGAAAGAAGGCAGCTCCGCAAGCTGCAGTTTCTCGCACAACTCGGTCTCGCAAATAGTTTCTGCATCAATGTTATCCTGTCGTCCTTCGAATCGGTGTTCCATTCCTGCACTTATTATGTTTCTCTTAGGCTCATTCTATTGCTTCTTAGCACTATTTTACATTGTACTAGGGGATCAGGCGCATTTAAATTTTTGAAATACCGACACGGCCTCCAATTTAAATAGTACCCAAATTCAGTTAAACATTTCTCCTTTTCTCTCCCACTATTCCAATGTCGCTTGAAAACCTTTGCTCCATCATTGACTTTTCATGACAACCAAATTAACATCAGATGCTCCTCACTTCAATTTGATCGCAATCTCACTTCAACCTGCTCTCCCGCTTTAGATTCATTGAAACACTATCACGCAATGTTTAAATTTCATTGACAAGGTATTGATTTTCTTGCACCCTGTTGTCACTTAAACAGACTCGGAATCCAATGATATCATTGCAACGTTCATCAACCACCTTGCACAAGAAGGGTAAGTAATTTTTTTATTCATCAATTCGGCTGCTGACAACATAATAGATCTCTCTTCCAACCCTCGTGCTCTCCGTCGTCTACAGACCACTTGCAAGTGTGCCAAGCGTACCCTTTCGTCAGCAACCCAGATTGCCATCGAGATTGACTGCTCCCCTCAGTCGTGCCCTTTTCGAGGAGCTGTGCATGGACCTGTTCCGCAGCATGCTCGAGCCTGTCGAGAAGGTCCTCCGGGACTCCTAAGATCGACAAGGCTAACGTTCATGAAATCATCCTTATTGGTGGTTCCATGTATACCCCCCATATTGTCAAACTCGTGTCTGACTTCTTCAACGACAAGGAACCCAACAAGAGCATCAACCCTGGCGAGGCCATTGCATACGGTGCTGCCGTTCAGGCTGCCATTCTTTTCGGCGACACCTCCGAGAAGACCCAGGACCTCTTACTTCTTGATGTCATTCCTCTATCGCTTGGTATTGAGACTGCCAGTGGTGACATGACCGCCCTCATCAAATGCAACACCACCGTCCCCACTGGTGTCACATCTGCGTCACTCCAGGTCCATTCCAGGATCCAGTGGACCCGCAAAGCCCAACTTTCGTCATTTGAGGGCCCGCCCGGCATGCTTGGTTTCTATGAACTCCAGCTTCTTCTCCTTGTCTCCCTATGTCTCATCTCCCTCTCGAGCGCCATGTCTCACGACAGAAAGAGCTGAAGGAGAAAGACCTGCACAGCGCTGTGGGCGTCTGGGCAGTACATCAGGTATGTTTTATTCTGTTAATTGCTTGTCTTGCAGAATACTAATGATGGTCTCGATATTAAGATCATATCAGACTTGGCGCAGACGAGGACAAGCAGGACTAGTTAGATTCAGACTCGTTAGTATTTAATTTTGAATATCTGAATCCTGTTTAATAGCACTAGTTTGAATAAATTGAAATCTGTCTTGCAAAAACAATATTTCTATTACCATGCATTGACTGTCTATTTGAATGGAGTTGCAACAACTTCGCAATGATGGTTGCGACTCTCATGAAAATCGTGATACAATGTCACAGTCTTGATTGTAATGACTCATCTATGATTGGCAGGCTATGGCAACTGAGCTTGCAACCGTCATTTAAATGATCATGACAATGCTAACTCTATTATAGCAACATATTTAAAGACGCGCCCTGCATTTGGGCATTGAAACCCGTTGCAAGGGGTTGAAATCTAAATTAAGAATTTCTGACACATTGTGTTACAAGTAACATCGGCTACATGGCCCCCCTATCATTTTTCCCCTTCGTCCTTGCCCTCGTATGCCTCCGGCTCGTACTTCTCTACCGACTATCCGTTGACCGGATCCTCGGGACCGTTCCCGTCCCTCATCCCCCTCCTATCGCACCAACGTGCGCACGTGCCTTCGGGCTATGACTTGTTCTGACTCGTGCCACCAATGTGGCTTTCCTTATCTTGTCTTATCTTTCCTTTGACTCGTGCATGATGCACATTGTATCATTTACCGTTGGTTCGTTCCAACGTTTCTCGGTCTCATTCCGCATTCGAACTTACATCACTAATCAGGCTCTGCTACCAGCGTACCTATACCCTTTCCGTTTCCCCTTTGCCCTTACCCACAGTACGGTAGCCTTGCCCTTAACCCTTTCCACTTAGTATAAGTAGTCGGTCACTCTGTACTAGATTCCCTAACTTGAATCTACTCAATCTTCCCTCGAACATACTTCCCTCTGAAGCCCCCTCAGCTTCAGTCTCTAGTATCTTTTTCTTAGGTGCTCATCGCGCCTAAGTCTACCTCGATCGACTACTCATCGTTCGGACAAGACTGTCCTTACTTTGAGAACGTCAGTGACTTTGAAGACATCCGTCTTAGAAGTCACGTGACACGCGCGTCTCTGATATCTGCCGACTCGACGTCGCCAGTCTCAGTCGCTACACCGGACCCTTCCGGTTACGTCACGAACGTTAGCGGACGACGCCCCTCTTAGGGCTCCGCATAACAGATCTATTTGAGTGCGTAACACATTGGACCTAGGATTTCGAGTTCAAGGCCTCGATCGACACTCCTTTATTGAAAGGAACGACTCTTCCTCCGTCTATGAAGGGCTGTCTGAGGGAGGCTTGAGTTGCAGCAGGATTGAATATTGATATTGAATCTTCCCGGTCAACGTGACAACTTGAACTCTCTCCTCAGGCTTCGAGTACAGCAGTTTGATGCATGGGATTTCAACACTGCACACTTGCACCTTCTGAGTTTGGGTGGATGAAGCATTTCAGGTTGAGCTATGGTGCGCGTCACTTAGCCACCACTACCTTTGAACAGTGGCCAAATCGGTCTGAGGAAAAATTTCAACCCTAACCCTACGCGTGCAACTCCAACGGATGCTTCGATATTAGTTTGAAACATGTAGCGCTACAGTAGACAACGACAATTTATCGTGCAGATGTCGTTTTTACCAGTCTCTGATGCCCAAGAACCACAGGAAGGTAGCAGCCGCTCACGCTAGGGCCGCACGATGGTCAGCTCCAACAGCTCCAACTGCCGAGCACAGTAACTCCACTCTTCAAGCCACCCCCGCACAAACCTATTCCGAGTTGCAGGAACAAACATCAGAGCCGTCCAAACTCTGTGGCAGGGAAGTTAACCTGATAGAGCTGGACTCCGAGTATGAGTGTGGTTATACTGGGGGTGTCAGTTGTTATTGGTCAGATACAGGTGATGAATATGAAACAGACTCGAATGCTGATAGCGAAAGGTCGGAGTGCGATAGCCTCTGCGAGCTGGAGGGCAGCGAGCTTGAGGAAAACTTGAGGGAGCTCCGAGAAGAGGTCATAGCCCTGGGCACATCAGTGGACAGTTTGTTCGACAAGATATCCAAGCCGAAGACAGGCGCAGTTTGAAAGAAGGCAGAACGGAACAGATCACTTGGATACAATGGGCTCTCGGGTCGTACTCAGCGGCGGAGGGATAAGGCAGCACGAGACCAAGCTGAACAACAAAAGAAAATGAAGACATCGTATGTATGAGTGTTAATGGCCTGGAAAATGAATCTAATGCACTGGCACACCTGATCAGAACCAATCCACAGGTTGCATTCATGCGACAGTGGTGTGCAACCAAAGACGACACTGTGCCCGAGATTGAACCACCGAGTGCGGATGAAACACTTTCAAATGCTGCCGCAGCAGCGCAGCCTCCGTTAGCATGTGATGCAGCGACCGCTTTCACTGGCTACCTTTCAGACGAACCCAAGGATGTCATTGACTCCAGCTCGGACGATGATGACAATGACGACGACAGCAAAGGACTTGGAGGTGATGGACATGGCATAAGCAACAAATTGCCTGTTGTGCGGCCACTTAAGCGCCGCAAGCTTGATGTTCCTGCTCGTGCCCAGAAGAGAATCGATAAAGAAAGGTGTGGAGATGATAGGCGTGTGGCATTGGAAGCCATTGAGAAGCTGTTGAAGTCGAAGAAAACCAAGCTTATTGGTGGTTTGGGTGGCCTGCAAGCGAAACGAACACATACCATCCAAAGCCATCTTGCCCTCATTATCAAGAGAGGTCGCTCTTCAATTGATGCATCAGAACGTGCCGCTGAAACTCATGGTTTCGCACCTATCTGGGGTGGCCGTCAACTGCGCAGCTGGACCCATGCCTGGGTATCAAAGCGGGAGCTCCCTCAGTCATTGGCTGGCCGCCATGCGAAAGTATATTCATTGCTTGGAGACCCCGTTGTCGCTGCCGAACTTCGTGCCTATGTTCGTTCAAACAAATGGGTAGTCAATCCCGAGAAACTTGCGCAGTTTTCAAAGGACAAACTTATACCTTCTGAAGCAGAGAAATATCTCCATGCTCTTGTTGATGACGAGATGCCCCGTGGTTTGAAAAAGTACTTGGAGCTTGAATTATTTCCCCGCATTCACCTCAAAGTTGGACGTGGAATTTCCCTTGCTACTGCTCGTCGATGGTTGCAGCGGGAAGGTTTTCGGTACATGTCACACCGCAAAGGCCTTTACTTTGATGGCCACGACCGGCCTGATGTGGTCCAGTACCGACAGGAACATTTTTTGCCAATGATGAAGGAATACGAGAGACGTCTTGTCCGCTACATTGTTGGAGATGTTGAATCAGAGTTCAATGATGCAGAGTGCAATTTTGTGGAGCGGCGCCTTGTTCTTTGTGCACATGACGAGATGACAGCACAGTCAAATGATGCGGTTGATCAATATTGGGTCTTTGAAGACCAGTTCAAGTTGTGAAAGAAAGGGGTGGGACGTGGCCTCCATCGCAGTGACGTGATTTGCTCAACAGTTGGACACATGGTGGATGCAGGTGAATCATTGGAGTATGGAAAGAATCACGAGGGATATTGGAATGGCGAGATGTTTGTGAAACAGGTGGGTCTTTCGTGTCGAGTTCTTGGCAAAGCTTTCCCGCTGATATTCATCCAGCTCAGTGACAAAATTATACCCACATTCGAACGTATCCATGGTCCTGGATATCAAGCATTGTTCCTCATCGATAACTCGCAGGGCCACTCTGCATATGCTGAAGATGCCTTGCTCGTTTCTCACATGAATGTGAATCCAGGTGGCAAACAGGCTCATATGCGACCTGGATGGTTCATGCACAATGGCATGAGGATCGAACAGGACATGGTATTTCCTCCCGATCACCCGCAATTTCCAAATGAAGCCAAAGGTATCAAGCAGGTCTTGAGTGAACGTGGTCTCTGGCAGCGGCAGTCTCGTGGAAAGTGTGGCACAAAGTGTAATATTGATGCAACAGCTTGTTGCAACAAACGTATACTCGAGCTCCAGCCCGATTTTCAGCAACAAAAGTCATACATTCAGGAAATCATCGAAAACGCTGGTCATCTCTGCATCTTCCTCCCAAAGTTCCACTGTGAACTCAATTTCATCGAATATTTCTGGGGGAAGGTCAAAAAATATCTCCGAGACAACTGCGACGGCACTTTTGAGACCCTGAAGAAGAACATGCCCTTAGCAATGCAGTCTGTGCAGCTCAGTACCATTCGACTGTGGGAACATCGCATGCACCGCTGGATGGAGGCATATCGGACGGGTCTGAGCACAAAGGATGCCCAGTTTCAGGTTAAGCAATTCAGCTCTACAAAGTACAAGTCTCACAGACGTATTCCGGAGACATTGGCTCGCATTTTTGATTGATGGGGAGTCATAGTACTTTAGGTGGCCAAATCATCCCTTTTGTTTTTAAAAAACTCGCTCAGATTTGATTCAATCAATAATTCCTCTTGTAGCTTTACTCTACTCATCGAAAGGATCATTTTTACAAGAGGAAATAAAAATCTGATTTTTTTTCGAGGGGGTGAGAACGTTGTTCAAAAGTAGTGGTGGCTAAGTGACGCGCACCATAGGGTTGGGACTGCATCAAAAACTAGGTTTGTGCGTGTGTTGCGAGGAAGTGTGTGTGTAGGCGGCTGTACTGCTGGATTACGAGTCCCACATGTTTAGCGGTGTTGATCATATTTAGACTCGACGTTCTTCGTATTCCAGAATTGAGAGAACTCGGAGAAATCAGTGCAACACTAGGCACACGACCCATTCAAGAGCTAGTAGTGCTAGTGGTGGCTCGTCTTCGGCATGCTGTCAAAATAACACAGCTTGAGGCGATACTATGACTAATTGTGGCAGTGCCCCGTGCACTCTCGTCACGGTACCCTGCTGCACATCAACGTTGAGTGGAAGACCTCCAAGAGCAAGCCTGTACTTATTCTTAACAATCCAGGATTCGGTCAGCTTCAAACTAGTCGCGCTCGCCGGCTAACACATTGCCATGCATTCCACATCCTGCGACATTGCCTGTCATGGGCTGTAACGCACAGCAATTTAATATAATACAAGAATAAGCGCTCGTAGATCATATTAAGTTGTGGGTCCCTTTGTGTGGCATAGCTACGCGTGTTGAGCGCGAGGCCAGCTGCTGTTACGGTCCACCCAACGTTATATTTATCCTGTCGCTTTAGAGTCTCATACCCTCACATACTGACTACTATCGCATTTCGACGAACATCTCGAGCCTTTTGTGTAATGTGTGAGCCCGAGGTGAGCTAGTTCTATTAGCGCCCAAGAATTGTACTCTTTCGGGGCTCATCTTTTGATTTGAAGGTCACGGCAGTGGAAATCAACCAGCGGGCGCTTGTCGATAAAGTCCTCGCCCGTTACCCAGAGGAGTTCACAGGTACGTTTGGAACTATGTCAAGTCAGAAAGAACGACTGATTGCGATGAAGTGTTCCGAGAACTGTTGCAGAATGCGGACGATGCTGGGGCCGAAAACTTTAATATCGTATTTGAGAGTCCACGCGGACGTGCAAGTAATGGGACGACACCAGGTCTCAATTCAACTAAGGTGTGCTATCAGCCAAATTACTGGCTACGGAGCACTGACGTTTTCGTCCAACAACTTGAAGGTCTTGAAATGGGTTGTCAAGAATGACGGTGCCCAGTTTAAACCTGATGACTGGAAGCGTCTGACGAAAATTGGTGTGTAACGGTTTTGAACAACTTGCTGGGTGCTGAACCTTTTACCTAGCCGAAGGGAACCCGGATGAACGCAAGATTGGTGCATTTGGAGTCGGTATGATCCATGCATTCCTTGTTCATGCTGAGACCTAAGGGCAATTTCCTGGTACAGGTTTCTTTAGTGTATTCAGTGTCACAGACAATCCCGTTGTCAAATCGGATGGTACGCGATCCTGCAATGAAGCCTATATGTCGCTCATTGGATGTCGCAGGAGAGATGAGATCCATCTATTATGACAGAGACCAGGCACGTTGTTGCTTAGACTCCCATCTCAGTTCATTGACGTGCATGTAGCTTCTTGTGAAGAAAGAAGGATGCGACCGCGACAAGTGGACTGTGATTGAGATGGAGTTGAAGCAGGAGTCGACTATTCCACGGATCTTTGAACTCACGCGATTTCTAGTAACCTCCTTGACCTTCCTGACCCGTGTTGAACATGTTGGGATCTTTCTGGACAACACTGAGTTGTCTCATTTGACAAAAAAACGGAGTCAGGCCAGTCAGCCAATAGCCATCTCGCCGCATATGATTAAAAAAAGCTCGCATGGAACCATGACCATTGATTCTGTTGCACTGATATGTCAGTATTTCTTGCGCCTGGTCTACAAATATTCTAATGTTCTTGGCAGCTCAGAAGGTCACAGTTGAGTTCTTTGACCATACGCTCATTGGAGGTTCAAAAACACTCGCCGCACGTGCGGAACCGGAAGAAGGTGGAAATCCAGCGAAATTCAAGAGTTTCTTCTCAATGGAGAAAAACTCGAAATCGAATGGAATAATAGCAGCTCCAGAAGCTGCAGCAGCTGCTTCTGAAGCCTCGAGTTCCAAATCTAGCGTCTCAGCAGAATGTTCCATCTACTCTGCAAAAGTTACTGTTACTGTTCCAGCGAAATCGAGTCTGGAGGAGGGTTTGAAATCCGCAACGAAGAAAAAGCTTCCCAAAGATTTCCTATTTGAAATGGTTTTCGTAAGCAAATACCTTACAGATTTCGACTCTGTCCTATATTCATTATCCACAGTTCAGTAAGGACGAGCACGATAAACAATCACAAGAAGATGCAGGGTTTGGAAGCGTCTTCCGTGGTCCTCAAGGATTTTGTCCCCAATTGGAAGCGTACGTTAAGGCGTTCTTCCGAAGCGGTTTTTATCCTTATGTTCCTCTGACAGAGCACATCCCCCTCGAATCTTCATCGTCTGTACTTCATAGTGTTGGATTATCTCATGTTATCTCATGTGCATGACAGGGGCAAAGTACGGCTCAAACGACGGGCATGGCTTGCCACATGTCTAGCCGTTTTATTCCAACTGTGGAAAGAGGCTCTATTGATCTTGCGTGAGCATCGCACGACCCTATGTGAGGATATATCTGATGATTTACCTTGCAGCAATAATCATGTCTCCAGTAAGTGATGAATTGATACTAGACTGCAATCTGCCCATTGACGCCATGCCGTGCAGAATGGAATAAAGAGCTCCTTTACGTTGGAGGTTTTTTGGCGAGGATTGCTTATGATTCCGAGATGAAAAAAGTAAAGGATGCGTGGTCGACGTTGTCGAAACAAGATGCAGAACAACTAGCCCTGTATGCGATGAAGTCTTTCGTCTTCCATCCTTCCACCCCCGATCCAAAGGTATCCCAAATCATCAAGGATGCATTCTACGCTTGTTCGGAGTCAGATGAATTCCCGTTCATATCTGATCAAGGGATTCGGTACACGAAGGACATCCGTCTCTACAATTCTCAATTCGCTCACTTCATGCGCACTCCAACATTCCCAATGGACCTGCGTCCCATATCAGCATCCATGGCGCTTCCTGATTCTCTCCGGATCAGACCGTACACAATCGGAGATGTCGTGAAAGAACTGAATTCGCGGTGGCTGAGTGAGTCGGAGATGGCTGCTTGCTTACGTTGGTGGTGCACTTCACTTGGAAGTCAGGGTCCTTTGGATGACCAGCAGAAAAGGTGTCGGGACGAACTGCTCAAAGTAGGCAAAACGCGTTCCGGGGGGAAGGAAGTCAGACTTAACTCCATCAGCAAATTTATCAATCCACTAATGCTGAGTGTCCGCCGTTCTGATGACCCTTTGCCAGACGACACCATACCCCCAGCACTTACCCAAAACGTGACTCACTGGATTCCGGAGGCTTTTGGATGGCAAGAGATGACAATCCTACACTGGCTTCGACACCTCAAGGACAGTACGTCAGATCTGGCACATGACATCAACCATACACCCAGTTTCGCGCAACACGTCCTCAGCGTCTTCGGTGCCCTTTGGCATTCACTAGATGACAATAGTCGTTTCGAAGTTCGGGAGATTTTAAAGGATATGAATTGCATACCTGCAACCATCTCGAACAAACCTTGCATGACGCGACCCCAGGACGCGTATTTTCCTGAAGCCGACGTTTTTCGCGACCTTCCAGTCGTTAGACAAGACCTCCTCGCGGATTATCGCATGGTGCAGCCACTACAATATCTGGGGGTGCAAGAACGGTGCGACATCGAGACATTCATATCCAAGTTAGTAACCAGGAATGACTCTACCGTGTTTGCTAACATACCACATAGGGCAATGGGCGGTGATAGATGGAATGCCATGGACCTGGCGAGGTACCTCCTTACATCTCCTTCGGAACATGCGGCTCGCGTCATGGGGATGAAGATCTTTCCTTGCAGTGATGGTGAAAGACGTCAAATCAATGAGCTCTTCGCATCCTCAGAAACTAACCGGGCACTCAAACTACATGTAATCAATTGCGGCTACTGGGATCCAAGCAGCCATGAAGGTGCCGTGAACTGGTTTGACGTCACATCCCCCACTGACCAATCACCAAAGCACTATTCCTCATTAGACATGGGTTACACGATTACCCTACGATAGATCAACTCATCCCTATCGCGTCTTCCAAGGACGATCATGACGCTAGGCGTGCTGCATTCGCATCTCTTTGCGGACCATTGTATGAATCATTTCTTGAAAGGCAGTTCGATCCATCAAAGTTCTCCAAGTTCCCCTTCATCCCTGGTGTCAGAGATGGAAGAAATTGTCAAATCCCTCATGACGAGGTCTGTTCATACACAAACGCTGGAAGTGTATAGCTGATGCCACAATTGACAAGGTGTTCTCGGACTCAAACTGGAAAGTGTTGGGCTTTGGTCATTTGCCCGATCAGTTCAGCAAGAAGAATATTGCAAAGCTGAAGATTCGAGATCGCCCTACCGCTGAAAAGTTATTCCAGGTTCTTCAATCGACTCCGCCAAAAGACCCGCAAACTGCAAAGAGCTGGTTTAAGTTTCTTGCTGAAAAAGGAGGCAAGTAGTCTCATAACCGGGCGTTTTCTGTGTGTACTGACAAAACGTGTAGTTTTCTCAGCAGGAGAATTCGAAAAAATCGCAGACCTGAAAATTGTTCCCGTTGAGGTAACTTCCGAGCAGCCCCAACTCAGTAAATCTTATGAGCCAGTGGCGCCTCGTGAGTGCTTCCTGAAGTCAGACTCATACCCCGGGGACCACTTCTACCAGCGGCTGTTTAAGTTTGTCGACTTCGGGCCTAGTGCCAACGCTTTCTTAAAAGCCTGTGGTGTTAAGGAACGCCCTGAATGCATCGATGTTCTCAGAGTTCTCCTGAAATGTCCAAAAACGTTTCTTAAACTAGCTGAGGACGACCATGAGAGGTGCGTATCGGTGCCGGAATCTTGACTCGTGATACTTACTTGTTGTAGATACTTGACTGAGCTGCGTCTGATTGCGGTTGGTCACAAGTCTCTTCCTCGAAAGATCCACGAAGACATGCGCACTGCCTCAATTTTCTTAGGATACCGACAAGGGAAAGGTGGTATTGGCCGCGATGGGTACAGTCACGAAGCAGACGAGTTTGAACTTTGCAAGGCCGAAGAAGTATTGGTCGCAGACGACATGGAAAGTCGTCGCACCTTTGGCGACTGCATTTTCATCGCTCCCCAGGAGGAGTTGTTAGAAAGTAAGTACTTGCGTTCTTTCTGGTACAATATGACATATCGCAAGCAGAGTTTTACTCTGAAATGAAAGTCAAGTCGCTGAGTTCTTGCATCAAATACACTGTGGAACCAGGCAAGGAGTTGCTGGACGCACGCAGTGCCCGCGACCTTCTAAATTCTATCATTGACAAGATACCTATTTTCCTCCACGAGTTCGACGAACCACGCTTTAGAGATGGAATGCGCCTGTTACGGTGGCATGACGAGGATCAATTTTTCGTGCGAGCTTGTCGAAAGCTTGATGTTACGAAGAGACTAGACTTCCCAAATGCGACTAATGGACTTCAGGGACAGAAAGCGCACCCTACCGAACTCTCCGCTGAGACGCAATCCAAGGATGGCCTGCATGTACTGTGGATCAAGGAGCCAAAGGCTGACAGTTATGAGTACGTGGTGTTATGTGTCGATCGAGATGCGTGCTCATTCATTGTAGTGTAGCAGCAGCTCTATGTCGCCTGCTGTTCTCTACCTATAAAAAGAATGATGTCCTGTCTCTTATGACTATATTGGATACAGACATTAACGTCCTCAAGCGTCGTGGTTACGATGGCGAGGCTGTCACTGTTATCTAAGAAGCAACGCTGATTGCATGTTTAGTCGATAGAATTCTCTCGGAGTATCGCGAGAACCTGGAAAAGGCCGAACATGGTAAGTTCACGATCAATTTCATTATCTTTCATGCCAGGGGAGATGCTTAATGAAAGCAGGAGAAAATCCTTGCAATGGGGCACCACCCGGACCTGTTCAAGCTTCCCCTCAAGATGCATCTTCGGAAAGCGAATCAACCTGTGACAAGCCGGAGCCCGTCAGCAAATTCACGAAGTTTTGGCATCGGTTTCGCAAAGACCCCAGGTTGGGTCAGATCAAGCTCAGTGAGATAGGTGCGCTAGGTCCATTTTCAGGGCGAAGGTAGACACTGATAACTTATATGCAGAAAACTCCATCGAGAAGGTGAAGAATATCATGAAGGAAGAGGGTGGCGATAACGACTCGCACATCAGCAATAGGGAACAGGTTGGTGGAGGGAAAAAGCAGAAAAATGTCGCATACTGCGATGAGAAGAAGGTTGCAAAGACGGATCTCGAAGAATGTGGTACGTTATCCAACTTGGAGTATGGCAGCTCATAATTAAATCAATGAAGAGGGCCAACACGTCGGGCAAGTCAAAGTCTGGAAGCGAAGTGAGTTAAATGCTTCTCATTTCGAACTGCTAGACTGACGTTGTTTTAGAGGGGACAGTCTTGGGTGTTCCCTCAAAGGAACGCGAAGCCTTTGGGAATATCATTAGTAACCTCGCAACAGTCTTTTCAATCAATCAGACACGATGTCATGTATTCTATCACGGCGAAGACTCGAATCTGATGGGTTTCAACCGCAATGATCAGATATTTTTCGGTCTGGAACACTATATACAGAACCGTATGTGATCTTCATGATTGGTTCTTCCGTTACCAAGGCTTATGCCTACTACTTAGACAAAGATGCCCCTGCTGGAAAAGCTTACATTGACTGGCAAGTACACAAAATTCTGTCCTTCAGCATTTACTAATCTCCCGCAGGTATTATGTCATGGCACACGAGATGGCCCATGTGCACACCCCATACCACGACGAGCATCACGAGCTGCTGTTTCAAGCGCTGGCGACGAGATACCTGACTGAGCTCCATAATCTGCCAGACGTGCGAGAGTTGTTCAAGTGCACTTCTGGTTGATTACATTACTACTGCACTGTCTTTCTAGTGGGCGTTCCGGAGGATAATGTATTGGACCCTGGTACCTACGAGTTCTTGGTTGTCGCTTTTTGGTGTTTGATTTACTTTAACGTTGCCGTTCTATCCCAATTTGTGTTGTGCCGCGAGTGCATGCACGTCCGTGGGAACTCATCATGAATAGTATTATAAACTTGCGCTTTGCACTAGCACATTTGCACTCATGGATCCGGCCTCCTCTGAACCACCTGTTAATCCATCAGAGTCGCGATCATTTCAAAGATGGCTGCACAAAGCTGCCCAAGTATCAGGTATGGGGCTTACCGCAGATGAACGAGAACGTGACAGGGTTGAAGCGCAGCATCGCCGCTGCGAGCAATGGAAGACCGAACTTCTGAATTACAGTCCGTCTCGTTGTTTCTGCATGGTCTGATCCGTACTTATTCCAGCGCCGCGCACGCGTTGCTTTCATAGGCCCTTCAGTTGTTTTCATGTTAAAACATCTTAAGTTGTCCGGGTGCCTGGTACCGTCCTCGAACATCGTGTGTGCCCCATGCGATCTCACGCGTTCCGGAGGCTTCCATCCTGCTGGAGCGATTATCCTTTGTCAGGGCCATTTCGGAGACAAGAAGCACATGGAAGATACCCTCACACACGAGCTGGTACATATGTATGATCACTGCAAGTTCAATGTTGACTGGAAAAACTTGAGACATCATGCATGTAGCGAAGTGAGTGATCAGTGTGTCATATTACACTTTATTGACATATGCCGCGGTGCCCGTTTACCGAAGATCCGTGCTAACAGTTTAAGTGGTGACTGCCGATATATGCGTGAGCTGGGAAGGGGATTCGTGTCATTTTCAAAACAACATCAGGTATATCGATGATTGTGCCTCATGCTGTGCAGTCCTATATCCATCTCTTGATCAGTCCAAATGCTTACTAACTTGGAATAGGCTTGCGTGAGACGGCGTGCTATACTTTCCGTCCGCGCGAATCCCATGTGCCCAGACGAGGCAGCGGCAGAGCGTGCGGTGAATGAGGTCTGGGGGAGTTGCTTTAGCGATACGCGACCGTTTGACGAGGTGAGTTGTGCCTGCCTTGTTGTCCCTCGACAAGATGATGCCGCACATTCGTTGACATTTTTTGACGTTGGTGTTCACCACGTTTCACACGTAGATCTATTAGCGGATGGAAAGGGAATACATGGCCGTGATCTATTCTTGAACACAGGCGAAAGGCTCTTACGATCGCGGCCTGACTGGAAATCGGGAAATTGTACGCCGCCATCCGGTTAAATTTCACCAAGGGATTTTTTCCCCGTGAGCATTATTGCTGGGGGGTTGACGACTTGTAATGGATAATGTCTACTATTACTGACTAGAATCCATAGTTGGGCATACCTACCGAATGAAAAACGCGGGAATGATGAGGCAATGATGAGAATCCAGCGTGTTTGTGAATCGTCGGCATCGGATGCTTTTGAACCAGACTGGTAAGCCGCGTGGGAAGACGCCTTATGGTTTAGTTCTGGCATAAAAGCTGTTGTGCTTGCTTGAACTTTTCTTCAACTCTCTCACTTCTCTGCTTCCCGTTCCTCGCCGTCGTCCTCGACATCATCTACATCTTCTTCTGGTTTATTTCTACTCCGTTCACGACTTCAACATGTTCGCTAGAATCGCGTAAGTCTCTTTTTCACTATCGGATGAGCAGGTTTCCGATGTGTCGTTAACTTACCCCCTTAGTGCTCTTGCCACCTTCGCTATCCCTCTCGTGTCTGCACTGACACTCAACACACCGACGGGTGTTGCGGTTGGCGGCTTGGTCAATGTCACTTGGGAGGCAACCACTTCCGACCCCAGTTCGTTCAGTCTTTACATGGTGAACACCATCTTCCACAACACATTCGCCATCGGAAACAACGTGCAAAGCTCGGCGGGTATCATAACCCTTACGCTGCCCCAGGTCCCCGTTGGGTAAGCACCCTGATCTATTTCTGCTGAATGAACCCATAAGAGTGGCTGAACTCGCGATGCGTAGTGACGGTTACACCCTCGAAGCTACTAGCAACAGCAACATCAACACTGTCTACGCACAAAGTGGTGACTTTGCTGTTTCCGCAATGTCGAGTGCCACACTGCCGTCGACATCCACCACGTCGACGAGCTCGTGAGTAAATGCTTGCCTATCACAGACGACAATCTGAAACCTCTTCTAGGAGCACGGGTACTGGCCTGTCCACAGCGTCGATTGTGGCTCCTACAACCACCGCTCCTGCTACCACAGCACAGACCAGCTCATCCGCATCTGCTTCACCTTCGACCATCAACAGCAGTGGTGCTGCATCGCTCATCAAGATCGGCATGGGCCCCGCTGCCGTTGTCCTACTCTCTGCAGCAGCTGGCGCAGCTATCATGTTCTAATTTGGCCTCCTTAAACCAAAAATTCCTCTCAGCATGCCTGAAATTTACATCTAATTTCATTTCTGGCTTTGGGATTTGGCATGTTCTACATACCCTGGCTTCAGTTTTTGGTCGTTAGGAACAATACCTTATTTTGTAGTTGCAGTTGCACTTGGACATATTTTGTCGGTTTTTTATGGACAACAGACAGGTCATTGGGACAATACGAATGCATGGTTTACCGAGTTTGTTAGGGCGTGAGGTGATGTTGGGCTAGTCCAAGTCATTTGACACGCTCTTTCGCATATACATACCAGTTATACGAAAGCGTTTTAACGACGCTCAAGCACACTTCTTGAACTTAATCTGGTGTAACTGCCCTTAATGGGCGCCACGGAAGTTGCTGTTTGTGGTAATAGGTTCATTGTACACCTCCGAAACGTCGTTAGGGAACACTTTGACACCTTGGGGAGACCGAAGTTCGCCTACTGACAAATATCTGATGGAAAATGACCTGTCACGATACGGGGTCGTTCTTACGACAAAGAACTGGCGTAATAATTATCACCACTGCGCACAAAATGCGGAGAAATCACACAGCAAGTTCCACAAAACGACATGGAATGATCATGTGTTGCATATTGCACATGCGAGCGAAAAAGAAATACACATGGATGTCCCATAATCGTCCCCAAAGCACGCCCAAAGCGAGTCGACTACTTCAACTTCTTCTTGCTGTTCACGGTGATGTCAAATTAGTTTCACGTGAGATGATGTAAAGGAATGAAAGACGCACGGGCGGAGTTGTGACGAGTGTCCACATCCGCGCTTACGGCAGTTAGTTGCGCGAGGGGGCAGACGTGCGTAGCATTTTCGGCAGATTTGCTTGTCGCAGTTGTATTTAGCTGCGAGGACCTTTAATGAGGGCTCAATGATTCCGCCACGGAGACTATGGATAGGTGAGCATGGTGATCAGTGTTAGAATACACACGCGACGCACCGAAGGACAAGGTGGAGAGTAGATTCCTTCTGGATGTTATAGTCGCTGAGTGTGCGACCATCTTCGAGCTGCTTTCCAGCGAAGATGAGACGCTGTTGATCGGGGGGAATACTGATCACACTATCAATTTCTGTAATACCAGATATATTATAACGCGTACCCCTCCTTATCCTGAATTTTGGCCTTGACGTTGTCGATGGTGTCAGAAGACTCCACCTCAAGGGTGATAGTCTTCCCTGTGAGGGTCTTGACGAAGATCTGCATCTTCAGATGGCGAGGTTGTGTGTCTTGCGGTTGCGTCCTCCGAATGGAATGCGCTCAGCGTGTCAGACCGTGGGCAAATTCAATAAGACCTGTATAGTTTCAATGAGTGGCTGAGTTTAGGGTAGGTCCAAGCGTGATAGTGATACTTCGGGTGTTTCCGAAGCTTTGTTTCCTACATATGTCACAACCACAAGGTAAGTGCTCGTCAATGTCTTATGCTGGTCTTTCTACGATGAAACATCTTCGTAAACTCAGCTCACTTCGATGCCTGCTAGCAGGTTCTGAGAAGAACGCGATCTATTAATCTGATTTTTTCATCCTGTATTGTGTTACAATGCTGACTCGTTCTGCAGGAACTCCTTGGGCCCTTTTCATGTGAACATAAATGCATTGACACTCATGGTGAGTTTTCACGTTTTCGATATGTTTATTAGGATAGAAATTTTTTCGACGCGACGTGCTTGCACTCTGGACGTTGGTCCCTTGCGGGATCCCATTCAAGTCTCTGATCCCCGTCCTTGTTCTTTCTTATTTCCCGTTGCTAACTTCTTTTTTTTTCAGGACTTCTGCAGGTTGCCCTTGCTTCTTCTTGTACATGAATGAAACGACGTATCCTCTTCTCCATAATTTTTAAGTTCATCTACGTGATATTTGAGTAATAGAAACTACATATGAACACAGACTATTTCGGCATGCGCCGTTACACCCCTCCATGCCCCAAAAACGCTGTTCATGCCAAATGGAAGTATGTAAAATTATGCCGTAAACACGACTTCCTGGCGTCTAGACACTCAGTATTAAACCGAGTTTTGTTCCGCGTCGCTGCCTTGGAGATCGTTACTCGTAGCGCTACTGACCTGTTTGCGCACTGACCGAGCCGTCGTCTGATTTCAAATTCTATGGCAGATTTTCGCCTTGTCAATCCAGAAGGTTGGGAATACGATCTCCAGTCTGTGCGTCATGCCAGCACTTTCGCCTAACAGGTTGCTCATAATCCAATAGGTGTACTCTGCTTATATAGGTTACTTCCAGTTGCACAATATCCCGTGGTGTGTCTGCCCCTTTAATACGTGCATAGGACGCGTTTATCGAGCTGCACAGGTACGACCGGACATGGGGACAGTTCTTCGAGACGTTTGAGCAGTTTCTGGGATTTTCATGGCCTGTAATTACTGTCACAGACTCATCGACTGGCCGTGCGCACATTGTCACCCGACTAACGACCGTCGGCGCGTTCATCAAGATGATCAAGACTCGGTGCGTCCTATTCACCTCCGACTTACTGACCCACAAATGAAGAAGGAACCTTCAGTTTCGGTGAAACACTTCCAACGCCCGACAACATGCTCAAAGTGACGCACTTCGAGACGTCTCAGCGACACCTACGGAACGTTGCAGACTGGGCGACCTACAAGAAACTATACACGACACTGCCAGCAGTAGCGCTCGCAGCGTTTAAAACTCGGATACGAGCTGGCGAGCCGAAGGCCATCCGAGAATTGTGGGCCAAGCGCGACAAAACATTTTTAGCCATCGATTTTGAGTGGAGCGAACGGAATCCGGCGACGTTTCTAGAATGGGGTTATGCGGCTGTTCGGTGTGGGCATCTCGAGGCGTATGTGTTTTGTTCCTTTCTGTGGCGTACGGGTAATTGATGGATCTGATTTACAGCGTCGGCGCGTGGCCTCCGATGCCCGAATCGAATTATCGGTGTGTTGTGGATTGGCGGACGTAACGACCTGGCTGATGTGCATATACACAGGAAGGGTCATTATATCATCGGTGACTACGTGGACAAGATCGTCAACAAGCATTGTCCTACGTATCCCTGGCAGGTACGCCTATTCCGATCACCCTCCTCTGATAAACTGACAGATGGAGTAGTATGCTGTACGTCTTTCTTTGGCGCTTCATTCCCTCCTTATAAAGTACCTCATAGTGGGGCGACAGCCAAATCATACCAAGAACAAAGCTACCTCAAATCGTACAGTCTGTGATTAGGTAGAACATCCCCGTGTCTACACCTCCGGTGTCTGACGTCATCTACAGCAGTCTAGCAAGCCCGGACGCAGAAACCACCGCTAATAGCCTCGTCCTTGTAGGACATGGCGTCAGCTCTGACATCCAGCGTCTTGAAGAGACCAAGATTAGTACGTCGCCACCCCACTCATGCGCTCTAACTAACGCACCCCTAGAAATCCCACACAACGTCCTCATAGTCGATACTGCTTCCTTTGAACGCGCGCTCTTCAACACCGGCGAGCGAGGAGTAATGCACGACCCCAAAACAGGCAAACACCGCGCCCAAGGCTCTACGCTCTCCCTCGGCGGGCTTTTACACTCCCTAGGGATCGAACCCCCATGTGCACTGCATAATGCAGGCAACGACGCGTTTTTGTGTTTGCTTGCGTTGCAGAAGATGATGGAACCTGGGACAGCTACGCCTATGCCTGATACTGATGCAAGGAAGAAGTCGAAGGCAGCAGGATTGGTTATGGCGGCGCCGATGCCGGTAGCGTTTATGGGACATTTGTCAGTTGTAGATGATGGTTATTGGAAGTCGCTTGGTAGGTCGGGATCGCCGAGGGTAAGGGAGCGAGAGCGTGGGGTGGTGGATGGTGTGACGGATGAGATGGGGTTGATGCGTAGGGGTTCGAAGTATGGGAATATATCTCCGCCTGAGATGGGTGGGAGCTGGAAGGATGACAGGGACAAGGAGAAGGAGGGGTGGTTCAAGTCTGCTAAGGGGGTGCGGTTGGGGACGAAGTGATACCGGTCGGTTGGTGTTGGTTGGACACTCGAGTCTGACACCCAATACCGAGTCTCCTAATATCTTTCAAGTATGATGTTCCCTTCGTTCGTTTCGTTTCGTTCGTTTCGTTCCTCATGGGACTTTTTTGCTACTCGTCTGCATACCTTACATGCACGTAAAGTAAAACAATAATTCTTGTCTCGGACTTGTATGGGACACTATTGTATGTATGCAGTTTATGATACGTATAAATGAATACTCGGTACTGTTCGAGAGTCTATCAAAGTTGGTGAGATCGCTTTTCATCGTCGATTCGAGACATTTTTTGGACCCTAATCACTGTGCTCGATCGTGCTTACAGCAGTTTGCATAATGGTAGAGGCCGGCGGTATTTCCAAAAAAAAAGTGCATTTATTTACAAAAAAGTAGCGCTACAAAGATCGATTTTTATCTCAACAACGAAGCAAGCTATTGACATGGTCCAAGCGACAAAACTGATCAGAAAAATCGAACGCAGACGGCCAGCGAAAAAACTAAGCGATTCGGTGAAGTTCGTAGTCACCTGCTCTCAGAGCCAACAGTCTACAACAATACTTTTTTCTCCAGTCAAACGTCTCCCTTACCCCACTATGAAAGGTCACAAATCGTCGCAAGAACTATGCGAAATTATCATCTGAATGCTACCGCTCCTTGACACATCCGAAATCATGGCATACACTGGTGCAAGAAAATCGACGATTGAAAGGGTTGCGCGATGCTATAAGTTGACTGGGAAGCCGTGTAAAGAAAGCCAGAGTGGTAATAGTGGCAGAACTCGAATGATGGACTTGGAAGATATTGAGGTGCGTCCATATTTAATCTCTTTCTGCACAAATTCTGACATAACAAAAGTACATGCATGGCCATTTGTCCCGCAGCTGTGATATGTATCTAGACGAACTCCGTGATGAGATTAGCCAGGCTCGCGGGAAACACCTGTCATTGTCCACAATCTGGCGAACACTTCATCGCACGGGCTATTCAAGGAAGAAAGTTAGTGTCTTGACGCTACAGCTGCTCTGACGTCTGGGACAGACCTGGATCCACCTGGCACTGTGGCCGCTGACAAAGTGCTGGACTTTTTTGGTGGAATGGGCTGTGGCCGTGGTTTAGTCTTTGAGACGACTTCCTGGCTTGGAGGATGTTCTGCCTGTGTACCACTGGGGGCTGTAATTGCTTTTTCAGAGGACAACTGCATTTCCGAGGCTCCTTGACCTTGCGCACTCGGGTAGAAGCCTTTGCCATCCTGCGAGACAATGTAGCAGACCGGGAAAAGTGAGATGTGTGTGAATTTAGTTTTTATGCTAGCGGACATGAGGCAAGTGTCCATTTCGCCAAATCATTCCATCCTTTCTACAGTCTTCTGCGCCTCATTTTTCTGATCAAGTTTGTATCTTACCGCTTGTCATCATCTTGCTTCGTTACTGAAATAAAATCAATCTTTGTAGTTCTACTGGCTCTGAGAGCAGGTGACTACGAACTTCACCGAATCGCTTAGTTTTTTTCGCTGGCCGTCTGCGTTCGATTTTTCTGATCAGTTTTGTCGCTTGGACCATGTCAATAGCTTGCTTCGTTGTTGAGATAAAAATCGATCTTTGTAGCGCTACTTTTTTGTAAATAAATGCACATTTTTTTTGGAAATACCGCCGGCCTCTACCATTATGCAAACTGCTGTAAGCTTGAAGATTATCTCCGTAAGGTTGTTATCAGCGTAGACATTGGCAAAATAACAACTAACACATGTCATAAATGTCGAGACCTTGAATGCAAGTCAATCGCGCTCGACCTAGCAATAGAAAGCACGTTAATACTCAAGTACGCAACGCGCAAATAAGACGCAAAATGAATTGAAAGGCTCAGATAACATGGAGCTTGAGATAAATAACTACTCGAAACTAAGTATCTCGATGCTCTGGTCCACAACTTCATTCGCGACAAAATGCGGTCTACTCGGTTGCGTCGGGCTCTCAAGTCTGCCCACGAAATCGAAGGTTCGCAACATCACCTTGTTTCCTTCCACTATTATATCGAGTCCAAGGAACTTCTCTTCAGTGATAGTCTCGATATACGGAAGACTACATCCAAGTGGCTCGAGGAACAGATTCCCACCACCTGAACTCCATGTTTTGCCCTCGATAAGTCGTTGATTCCATCTAATGCCATTCCCAGCCTTGAAGTCTGCTACTCGATGAGGGTTGAAATCGCGGATACACAGTGGTCGCGGGTCAGGCTCCATTCTCTGGGTGCCGTACAAAGATACAGCCCGTAAACCAGAGATGACATATTTGCAAGAAACGTGCGAGTCTCCCTTGAAGGATCGAGTATATTTTAGCCCCCATTTAGACCAAGGCAAACTAGGGGAACTGTCGCGTGCTTTTCCATATTGGCGCGTGTAGGTGGACTGGAGTTCCAACAGGGTGTTGCGCTCGACATACAGTGTGACACAAGTGGAGCTCTCCCCCAAAATCTTCATGTCGATATTGATGATATGATCATGCATGCGGGAATGGGACGGGACGGAGTCTTTGATACGGATTGTTGAATATTCAAAGGGTGACCGCAAGGCAGGGAGCGAGAATTTGGCAGTAAGATGGAGAGCATCGGGGAAATCAGCGAGGGAATACAACAGTAGTTCCTCCCTGTTGGCGACGAGAATTATTTTGTTTGTTAGAAAACTGAAATCCATAATTCCATGAGCCGGCTTGAAGCACTACAAGTCCAGGTAAGTCACGAATCACAACGATGAGTCAGGAGATTCACTGACTAGAGCAACGTCCTTTGACTTCCAGTTCCAAATTTGCAAAATGTCGGCCGGTACACGATCTGCTGTGAGAACATCGATGAACAAAATGCCACAATAATCCCCGAAAATGGAGAATGATATATCGGGGGGGTCGAGTAATTCGTAGCCGACCTCTTTGTTGAGGGTTTTTACCACAGCGGATCCAGCTTCAGGATGGACTTCATCAGGTTCTGAAAGCGATCTGAAAATAAGATCATAGGCGTGACTTTCCCTTTATTTATGTTAATACAATCTGACTGAGTCACTGAGATGCAACTTGAAGGAACTACTGACCCTGTGGATGCTCTGACAAGGCAAATCAATAGGTTTTGTGTGGGTGAAAAACCGCAGAGGTAAAATTCGCTATTGAGTTGGCATTCCCATTCACGCAAGCTAATGCTATTGGAATGATCAGGGTCTGTCACTTGCGGCTGCAAAAACCTTAGTCGATTTTCGTCCTGCACTTTGAATGCCAGAATACCGCAAGACCACATGAAGTCAAAGGGAATATGCGGTATAGAGATGGGATTACTTTTGGAATATTCGGCTTTCTGCCATGCAAATTCGCTTTGTCGAAGTGATTTGCGAAGCGATGAGACGGTGTGATCTGGGTCAGGTGAAGGGTCTGGAGTCGAGTTGAAATACTTGAGGTCAATCGAATATAACAACTCCGAGGAAGAGTCGATCATGTGTCGAATGTCGTGGCATACCTGGAGAGAGACCGAGTTAATGAATTTGGAAATATAAAACTTTGTCCTTACTCGACGTGCTCGCGCTAGTTCGTAGCCATCCAGATGGCTGAGTATGAATACGAGGATTTCGACGGGCAGATCTAACAGTCCTAGGGTGGCAGGACGAACTTGGTTCATGGCTGATGGGCACTGCTGGTGACTCGGAGGTGAGATTCATTTGCAAGATTTAGAAGATATCAGCACGAACCTTGTTAGCCTGCAACTTTCAGAGAAAAAAACGACGATGATGCGCAGTTAAGAATGTAGGGTGGGCAATGATGCGACGACAACTACGATGGATTTATTGTGGCAGCCACAAAATTCGAGCGAGGCTCCGTTTTATGCACTGCGACATGGCCATCGATGATGGTCAATGTGTCGGGTAACCGTCATTGTCGATCGGTTTCGTACAATCGGAAGTGGTCAAAACCACAGGTGCTAATAACGCGTGAGCAAGACAGTACATATGTCATGATTGAGCGCTGAGCTTCAAACTGAAACTTAAGCTTGAACTTCACAATCGCAGGGACACACTTCTTCTGAAGCTCAAGACTGTCTCTACCACTTCCTATTCGAATTCTGTTTCAGTGAGCGCCTTGGGCCACATGTCGACAGCTTGGATCTTGATATGATAACTGGAGAACGTGTTCAAGTCGCTTGTGTCCAACTATCGTGGTTTACTATGCTTTTGGCTGGCTTCGATGGTTATTGGAGTCATTTTGGGTTGCCAGGGTCGTGTGATAATATGTGACGGTCATAGTCAATAGGAGAAGAAAACAGTTGAATAATATTACATAATATGGCTACAGTCTTTACAGTACTTGTGGGGAGGGGCCACACATGTTGATTTGCCAGCATGACCCTCGTTCATTCATCATTCCAATGGACTCCAGTGTCCACTGTCAAACACAATCATGTCGTGCAGTCTTCTGACCATCTGGGTACCTTTATGCAGATGGAGGTTATCATGGGCCATTCATCCTCATCATCGTTGGAATCAACCAATCGCGGTATGATTGAGTTTCCTTCGCGTAGACTTGATGAATAGTGGTGTAGTTCTTTTGTCATTCTATAAATGATATCTTGATTGCACAACTCGATTTCTTGATGCTTTCTCCCATGGCCGTGATGGAAGGTGGCTCCGCAGGATTTGAATGCAATCTGGAGTCTTTCAGTCTTGTGCTGTTCCGCGCGTGGCCATGAAATACGATCCAGAATGCCACTGACTCCAACACAAGGATATTGAACCTGCGGCCATTCAATGGCTGAGATCATAACAAGGTATGCCTGGTTTGTGCACCAACAACAATTGGACTGGCCGATCTTTTTTTTTGGCTGTTGGACCCTTTGAAATTGCAAAGGACTCCAGGAATTGGAAGACGTAGATGCACAATGCATGGTCATAGCTGAGACCAAGGGATTGCAGTTGCGTTGCACTATACGCGCTTCAGCAACCGACGTCGATAGCTTACTTTGAACAGTTGTATATTCTGCATCACGTAGTGATGAGGCTTCCTGGAGCTCAATTATGAATTTCACTGGGAACCAGTCAGTTCCTATTGCCCTCACACACACATGTACTATCTTGCTCACGTGTTATTAACACCTGTAGTTTTGACCACTTCCGATTATACGAAACCGATCGACAATGACGGTTACCCGACACATTGACCATCATCGATGGCCATGTCGCAGTGCATAAAACGGAGCCTCGCTCGAATTTTGTGGCTGCCACAATAAATCCATCGTAGTTGTCGTCGCATCATTGCCCACCCTACATTCTTAACTGCGCATTATCATCTTTTTTCCTCTGAAAGTTGCAGGCTAGCAAGGTTCGTGCTGATATCTTCTAAATCTTGCAAATGAATCTCACCTCTGAGTCACCAGCAGTGCCCATCAGCCATGAACCAAGTTCGTCCTGCCACCCTAAGACTGTTAGATCTGCCCGTCGAAATCCTCGTATACATACTCAGCCATCTGGATGGCTACGAACTAGCGCGAGCACGTCGAGTAAGGACGAAGTTTTCTATTTCCAAATCATTAACTCGGTCTCTCTCCAGGTATGCCACGACATTCGATACATGATCGACTCTTCCTCGGAGTTGTTATATTCGATTGACCTCAAGTATTTCAACTCGACTCCAGACCCTTCACCTGGCCCAGATCACACCGTCTCATCGCTTCACAAATCACTTCAACAAAGCGAATTTGCATGGCAGAAAGCCGAATAATCCCGTTTCTATACCGTATACGGTGCATATCACCCATAAAGTGTTCATGTGGTCTTGCGGTATTCTGGCACTGCGGAATGAAAATCGACTACAGTTTTTACAGCCGCAAGTGACAGACCCTCATCATTCCAATAGCACAAGCTTACGTGAATGGGACTACCAATTCGATGGCGAATTCCCACTCTGCGATTTTTCACCCACACAAAACCTTTTGGTTTGCCTTGTCAAAGCATCCCCAGGGTCAGTAGTTCCTTCAAGTTGCATCTTAGTGACTCAGTCAGATTGTATTAACATAAATAAAGGGAAAGTCATGCCCGTGATCTTATTTTCAGATTGTATTAACATAAATAAAGGGAAAGTCATGCCCGTGATCTTATTTTCAGATCGCTTTCAGAGCCTGATGAAGTCCATCCTGAAGCTGGATCCGCTGTGGTGAAAACCATCGACAAAGAGGTCGACTTCGAATCATTGGACCCCTCCACTGTGTCATTCTCCATTTTCGGGAATTATTGTGGCATTTTGTTCCCTGATGTTCTCAACGCAGATGGTTACCTGGTCGACATTTTGCAAATTTGGAACTGGAAGTCAAAGGACGTTTCTCTGGTCAGTGAACCTCCTGAATCAGTGTTGTGACTCGTGACTTACCTGGACTTGTAGTGCCTCAAGCCGGATCATGAAATTCTGCATTTCAGTTTTCTAACAAACGAAATAATTCTCGTCGTCAACAGCGAGGAACTACTGTTATATTCCCTCGTTGATTTCCCCAATGCTCTCCATCTTACTGCCAAATTTCCGCTCCCTGCCTTGCGGACATCCTTTAAATATGAAACAATCCGTATCAAGGACTCCATCTCGTCCCATTCCCGCATGCATGATCATATCATCAATATCAACATGGAGATTTTGGGGAAGCGCCATAGCGACGCTTCAAGTTGTGTCGCAGTGTATGTCGAGCGCAACACCCTGTTAGAACTCCAGTCGGCCTACACGCGCCGATATGGAGAAGCAAGCGACAGTTCCCCTAGTTTGCCTTGGTCTGAATGGGGGCTACAATATACTCGATCCTTCAGAGGAGACTTGGACGATTCTTGCAAAAATGTCGTCTTTGGTTTACGGGCTGTATCTTTTCTTGGCTCCCAGATAATGGAGCTTTTGCCGCGACCACTGTGTATCCGCGATTTCAACCCTCATCGAGTAGCGGACTTCAAGGCTGGGAATGGCATTAGATGGAATCAACGACTCATCGAGGGCAACTTATTGGATTCAAGTGCGGATATGTTCCTCGAGCCACTTGGATCTGGACTTCCGTATATCGAGACTATCACTGAAGAGAAGTTCCTTGGATCCGATTTAATGGTGGAAGGAAACAAGGTGATGGTGCTATCCTTCGATTTCGTGGGCAGACTTAAGAGCCCGACGATACCGGATGACCCGCATACTGTCGAGGATGAAGTGAGCTACAGCATCGAGATACTTAATCTCGAGTAGTTATTTATCTCAAGCTCCATGTTACTTGAGCCTTTCAATTCATTTTGCGTCTTATTTCCGTGTTGCGTACTTGAGTGTTAACGTGCTTTCTGTTGCTAGGTCGAGCGCGATTGACTTTCATTTGATTATTATTCAACGTCTAGGCTGATAACAACCTTACGGAGATACTCTTCAGCACGAGCGCAGTGATTAGGATTCAACTGTTACCTTGGTATTAGATTCGGGTGGCTGATGTGTGCTATTGAGATTGAGTGTTCGCTGCGGCCCCATCAGCCGCCCGCCGGAATCATGACTGGAGAGTTCGTAAGCCTAGGTGGCTCATAATTTCAAAGACCTTCGTGATGCATAAATTCAGTCTCATGCTTAAAAGACATTTCACCTTGCAACTCACATCGTTACAGCTGAGGCTCAGCCGCACACTGGGCTGGGACCTCATTGACATTCTGCATCGTCGCCAGTACCTTCCTGTTTGATAGATTTGTCTAACATCTTGGGCAGGGTGTCCTCCAGTCGAGTGTTCGCCGATCTCCATGGAATGAACTACACGGTGAAACTCAATTGTTAACGACAAAGCATAATCGATAGTTATTACATGGAAACAAATTACGTGATTTGTTGCGAAAACATGTCTTAGTGGCATAGTTCCGATACTGGTCACTGATTCATTCCGAACAGGTTCTTCATTCTCTCTCTAGCGATGATCAGTCTCATCCACTGACACGACCTCAGGATAACTCTTCATATTGCGCCTGAGCTCTGCTTCGGGAATCCTCAACTTGAATTTGATAGAGCACGGCCGGTGTGTTTTCTCCGAATTCAGGAACCCCGTGTCATCCAACGGCTGTGTAGGATCGAGGCTGAGCCGGAAGGCCCAAAGAATCAGGACCACGCCTATGAATACCGATCTATACCAATTGAAGTGAGCCTGGAAGAATTGTCATATATGTAAAAATATAGCTTAACCTGTTTGCGATATGTTGACCAGGACAAATACTGCAAGGAATATTATTGCCATTGAAAGAACTAATAGCCCAAAGGCTGTGCTTACCGCCGACCAAACCCAAAAAGAAAATTATTTAAATCATCTCTCAGGCGACCTTGGTCGTCAATCCAGCGTTGAGGCTTGAATGCGTGAGGCTCGGGAAATACTTCTGGATCTCGACAGATGGCCCTAAAGCAGTAACAGTCAGGTCTTCATGCTAGAATTCAGAAGTTTGATGCTTACCAAGTGTTGCCGAATACTGTAGTGCCGGCTGGAATGTAGTAGTTTTCCTGATGCCAGATCATCAGTCGCACAAGTAAGTTGTTCTAAGATCACTTGCCCAAATCACATCTTTGGTTGTTCGGTGAGGAACCCCTGCAATACAGTCGTCGGAAACCGCGGGTACAAGCCATAAAGACGATACCCACCATTGGGAGCAACAGGTCTCCATCTCGAAGCCTCAGAGATGAAGGCACGCAGACGAGTTAGGGATTGTTGGTCGGCAAAAGTCGGCGCTTGAGTGCAAAGATCATCGAATTCTACAGAACTGCGATAGGGAATCAAGTCACCTTGGTGCCTGCCGATGACCGCATCGAGCTCGACTTGAACTTTACTCTGCTCCTCGGGGAAACATGCGGCTGCCAGGAGCACGTTGCACAAGGCCAAAGTAGTCTGAACCTTGTTTTCAGCCACGTACTTATCTTCGGACACAACGAAAACACCTCACCGTATCAGAGCCAGCTCCAAAGAAGGCAGCACTGAGGAAAGCTGTCTCGACCTCTGTCAAACCATAGTGGTCGCTATTTTCTAACATAAATCTCGTGAACGAAGGACCAATGTCCACATCGCCTTGCTGCAGGACAGCTTGAACACTTTATGCGAAGATTGATGAGGCGAGGCATACCATTTGCTCTTTTACTCGATTCAGCTGACCAGTGTGGAGCCGCTTGCTCCTCTCAAACCCCCGTTTCAATTCTCGGCCATACCAAGGAATGTGTTTGAGCCATGGGATCGAGTCCACCAGGTAGTAGGCATCAGGGCGTAGGAGTTTACTGACCACCTTCATGAGTTGGTACATCTCCTTGACTAGGGGATCGGTCGCAGAAGTAGGCGTAGTAGTACCATATGCGACTTTCATCATTGTCGTCGAAGAAAAACTTTTGATAATACCTGTAAGCAATGTGCGGTCATGCCAGAAAACGCATACGTTATCACGTGGTTCTGAAAGTTGTGTTGATCATCAAGAATCTCGAGGACCAGGTTCTTCGCGTGGGACATCAGCAGGGGCTGATAAGCCTCGGCTGCTTTAGGCTGGAGGTGCGTATGAAGTGCTCTGCGACACGTTGAAAAATAACTTAAAAGAAGTGTTGCAGTCTGCGAACCTACGCTTCCGACGGAATTTTTCTCCAAAGGGTGTAGAGGTGAGGCCCTGTCCGCCGCTAAATATCTCTCCAGCAGCAATCATGCGAGGACGGTCAGCTAGAGCTGCGCCCTGATTCTCCATGATATCCATAGCGGCCTGCAACAGAATAAATTCAATGAGCTTGGACATGACAACTTGGCGTCGAGGGACTGACTTTGTAGCGGCCAATAACCACGAATTTTCTGAGTCCCGACCGAAGAGTAATCAGAGGACCATGCTCGTCAACCCAACCCGCTATGGTAAGAAATGACCTGATCAGTGCCAGACCATAAGCGTTGAAGACTATGTGTTGAATGCGAAACTTTACTTGCGATGCGGCAGAAAGTGTCCCCGAAGCCTCCAAGTGGAAGGGGAAGGTGGGAGATGAAAGCCGTTCGTCAATTGAGGAAGGTAAGCCTGAGCAATTATTCCGATCACACCAAGACAAGTCACAGTGCCGACAATGAGCCGTGCATTGTCAGGAATGGACAGGTCAGACAATTGTAACATGGCTGATGGAAAGGGCGCAAGGAATGGTCAGAGAGAACTCAGCGTAAAGTTATAACTGGTTTTTCAGATCCTCAATGTAACAGTCGGTCAACGTACTTCAAATTCTGAAATCCATGCCATTACTGCCACGTCTCGACGTCGCGGTCCGTACGGTAGCGTTGGAGTACTTCAAGTTGGTTTAAGGAAGGTAAGTCCGAGAAATTACCGCAGTGCCAAAAAGCGTGGTGGCACCGGAGTCATTTGACAAGCATAATCGAATTATGTCTCGTCTCAAGGGTAATTGAATGAAATTCTGCTGGAACCCAGCTTGAACATAAGTAGCGGTGATTGAATTGACCGAATTGTGCGACGCATGTGACATGTCACAAATCGACCACTTCAACTTGAACTTTTACACGTCTATTCCAATGCGTTATAATGACAATTGGCACGCCTTGGCAAGCTAATAACTTCACTCAGCATACAGACATAGCATGAAGAGCTACAAAGAGATGTAATGCAATGCATAATGTCCAATACGTGATAGATCTTGCACTTGCGGAGATCCTGACCCCCGAGGCTAACCTTCAGCTGCACACTCTGGTCTGAATTTTTTTCCCTCTCCTTATCTAGCTTTTTATTGTCCGAGTGCAGGTCTCTATCCAGACCGCTTGAAGCTTTTAGTGACCAGAACCTTACTTTTTGTTTCGTGGTTCTTATAAGTATCAGGTTTCTCTTCGACTAATTTTCTCCAGTGAGTTACAAGCGCACCACATTTCCTCAGTCCAACCGCCTCGCCACAAAATCAATCTTTAGACATCAATGTCTCTCGTGCGGCACAATGATGCTGCTCATTTATACCACATCCAACGGTACGAGAATCAAGAACAAAGCTATCTTCCCGATGATGAAGAACGATTCCATTCACGGTGCCCTCGTTGAGCCAGGTCTTACAATCACTCTATGGTGCCTCGTTGACCCCAGCCCAGAAACTTTTTTTTTCCCTGTCTAAGCTCATGATAATGTCAAGGAGATTCCATCTCTGCAGCCCAGCTGAGTCCTTGCAACGTATCCTAGATAATGATAATCAGAATGCAAGGCAATGAATTTAGCATACATGTATGCTAATTACCTTTGACTTTGGAATCTGAGAGAATCTGAGATGTAGATGAGTGCTATCAACATCTGAGACACATTTTGCACGCATGCATGCTAAGTCAGAGCTGTCATGCACATGCCAAACACGCGTGCATCCACTCGCTTAATTGATCTTTCAAATTCCGCTTCGCATGAACTTCGAGTCTTCGATGTGTCCCATGTCACAAATGGTTCCTCTCACTAGCGGCAACTACCTATGAAATACATCTATTTTGTATCTATTATTCTTTCCCATTCATAACGCATTCAGCACACAGCAAACTGTAACAGTTTGAGTGTACCGAGTTACTACAAAATCGTAGCCCACCAGGTACAAGGAGTCAGGCCCTTCAGGACTGGGACCTAAAATTCGCGGATACAGACAAGTGTGAGCTATTGGTTCGCTCTTTCGGTTGGTCCTGCAATGTCCTAACCTATGGCATTCATTTATCCTGCATAGATTACACTGCGATAAGACCGTAACGCAGCAGGATCTCCATCCTGGCTGCAACCCATACTGGTAGTGTCCTTTACCAACACATCAACTAAGGAATCAAACAAATTCTCGAATATCACTGTGTTTTGGAACATAATGTCTTGTCCGTCGATGTGCAATTTTCAAGATCTCAATGATTATCCTGGGTCGCTCCATGCGGAGAGTCGAGGTTACATGCAATTTTCGAGCTCGTCTGCCGCCCGTCCCATTTATGGAACGACTTTCTGCACCAGTGCGCGACCAAAAATCATCGTGAAGGCTTCAGTTCTGCCACACTTCTTATCATAGGGCTCGTCTGCGACGTTTTTACGGCAATGAATTCAAGGTCACTCTATCGCCTCTATCGACCATGATCTCACCTGTCATGACACCTCTCCTATCTTATTTGCATTTAACCTGATCATGCAAAGACGTGGTCTTTATGCGAGCCACATATGGACTTTCCAACTCATTCCCTAGTCATGATCCCAGCTGTGCTGCTGGAACGGACAACAAAACACCCACTACCTGCTGTATCCAAATCCAGAATATGTCATGCCGCCATTTTTGCCGATTCTTCCGGAAGAATCACAGTTCGAAAATGCCTCTAGTTACCCTACGAGTCACGGAGTTCTGCTGGACATGAAACCGACGAGACAGCGAGAAATTTGGACTAGTATGCTTGCCAAAAGATTGTATTCGTGCTTTCCATTGGCTTCTTTCAATCACCAAGTATTACTGGGCGAGCGAACTATCGCAGGCCAGCACTGACATACGACAAGTTACATCCAATCCTTCGAGCTCTTCCCATCAACTGTATGACGACGGCCCGACCTGCGCAATTCTGACATCGTTTTTCGCTGCTGCACACTGTTCTGGTATGACAGCAGTGTCAACTGCTTGCCTTCCTAAACCAGAGAAAGGTTATCTTCGAGCCAAATCGCGGAGGTGGTGAATTTTTGCCAGCAGAATTTCCTTGATGACACTGCAAGGACTAACGGTCCGTGAGACGTGGCAGTGATGGATCAGAATATGGATTTTGAAGTATATGTTGGCCTATCAACATAGTTAATATCGTCTTACTAACCCTCGAGTTAAGAAGCTACTTGCCACAAGTTGCCTCCAATCCTTCTTTGCGCTCCTCCCATCAGCCATGTTACAACTGCCTGACCTATCCATTTCGGACAACGCGTGGCTCATTGTCGGTGCTGTGACTTGTCTTAGCGTAATAGGAGCATTTGTTCTTCCTCAATCGAAGAATGGCCTTCCTCTCCCACCTTACCCTTTCACTTTAAGGCCTTGGGGGCACTTCCTGCCGTCTCACAAGTAAATTTTCGCATGGAACACGTTGTCTGTTAGTACTAACAGTATTTTCGCTGATTAGGTCATTTCTCACCATAGCAGGTTGGATCAACGAGTACGGCCCTCTGATCACTCTTCGGTCAGGGCTCGGAAAAGTCGTGATTATTGGTCGTTACAAAGTCAGTCTCTCGACGCAGAGTTGGCATATCCAAGCTCACCATTCTGTTGCAGGCCGCTATGGATATTATGGAGAATCAGGGCGGAACTCTCGCTGACCGTCCTCGCATGATCGCTGCTGGGGAATTATTTGGTGGCGGACTGAGCATTGCCTACACGCCATTTGGAGACAGATTCCGTCGGATGCGTAGGTTAGCAATTCGCAATATGTCTACCAATATACCTTTCAACTTTTGCAGAGCCCTTCATACGCATTTCCAGCCTACAGCAGCTGGGACTTATCAGCCCCTGCAGATGTCGAACGTGAAGAATCTGATTTTCGACATCCTTGATGATCCATGCAACTTTCAGAACCATGTGATGAGGTATGCGCTTGTGGTTACGATTGTACACTGCTTATAGGCATTTTGAAGTTATGGTGCGACAGTAATTACGAAAGTTACCTACGGTAGCAATGCGCCCACGTCTGCAGCTGATCCCCAGGTCATTGAGATGCGCCAGCTTAGGAAGTTAATCGACAGAGCCCTGCGCCCTGATGCTTTCTACCTTGTGGATTCGATCCCGTGGCTCAAACACATTCCCTGGTATGGCCGAGAATTAAAACAGGGGTTTGAGAGGAGCAAGCGGCTTAACATAGGTCAGCTGAACCGAGTGAAAGAGCAAATAGTAGGCTTCGCCTTGACGATTTTCACATAAAATGCCGAAGTCATTCACAGCAAAGCGATGTGGACATCGGCCCTTCGTTCACGAGATACATGCTAGAAAATGGCGATCACCATGGCTTGACAGAGGACGAGACGGCTTCTCTTGGTGGTTCCTTGTTTAGAGCTGGAACCAATACAGTGAGGTGTTTTTATTATCCAAAAACCAGCATGTGGCTGAAATTAGGGGTCAGACTACCTCAGTAATATGCACGGTACTCATGGCAGCCGCATGTTTCCCCGATGAGCAAGTTAAAGTTCAAGCCGAACTCGATGCGGTCATCGGGAGGCATCAAGGTAGCTTTGTTTTTTATTGTAGTTCAGTATATTCAACGATTTCTGCACTCAAGCGCCGACATTCGCCGACCAACAATCCCTTACTCGCCTGCAGGCCTTCATCTCTGAGGCTGTGAGATGGAGACCGGTTGCTCCTAATGGTTAGGCTAATCCTTGTGGTCTTATACCTACAGTTTCTGACAGTCACTGCAGGATTTCCCCATCGAACAACCAAAGACGTAATTTGGGCAAGTGATATTTGAACAGCTTATGTGTGCGACTGATGTTCTGGCATCAGGAAAACCACTGTATTCCAGCTGGGACAACGGTATTCGGCAATCATTGGTAAGCCTCGAGCTACGAGTTTAAACACGAAAGACCTAACGATCGCGGCTTTAGGTCCATCTGTCGAGATCCAGAAGTCTTTCCCGAGCCTGAAGTGTTCAAGCCTCAACGATGGATTGACGACCAAGGTCTCCTGAGAGACGATCTAACCAACTTTCTCTACGGGTTTGGTCGGCGGTAAGCACCGTCTTCCTATCACTCGTTCGTTGCATGAAAATCCTTGCAGTGTGTGCCCCGGTCAACATGTCGCGAACAGGTAAGCCTTTCATTCTACGGAAATGACCTTTCAGGTTCACTTCGATTGGTACAGAACGGTGTTCATAAGCGCGGTCCTGATTCTTTGGGCCTTCCAGCTCACTCTGGATCCTACACAGCCGCTGGATGACATGGGATTCATGAACACAGAGAAAACTCACCGGCCGTTTTCATACCGGCCGTGCACCATCGACTTCAAGACGAGGATTCCGGAAACAGAGCTCAGGCGGATAATGCAGAATTATCCTGTGGCGTATGAGAGCGATCACTGCTAGAGGGGGAACGAAACACCACTATCCAAACCATACTTCTAGGATCATTACCTGCAGTAAATCACCTTGTAAATTGTTACGGTTGCGAATTGTGTATAGGACTGCGTCATCGTTATCAGGATCCTCTGTGCAGATCTGTTGTCGTTATCATGACATTTCACTGCTCAGCTCATCTCAAACAAATTGGCGAGCACTCGACCACACCATTCCAGGCCAGCAGTAACATGCACGATGAGTTGCATCCGATCCTTCTTTGGCGGACGCAGCCCATAGATGTGACGGGTGTGTTTCTGCTTGTAAACTAATTCGAACTTGTCCCCCCTGTATCTCGTTACTGTAGTTGTTGCTCGTTGTACGCGAATTCCTGTCGACAGCTTTCATCGAATCTATGGTAGTTAGAGTTGTTAACCGCTCATACAGTGTTGAGTATCCAAACTGTTGCAATAAGGTTGACATGTCTTTCACAATCACGACATATAACTGCAGAGATTTGAAAGGCTGGATTTGAGAGGGTGAGATTCTTGATATATCGATACGTGCCTTAAATTGATTCCCTGGAATAAACCTGACAGCCATTGCAGCGATCACTCATGATAGTTCGATCGAGTAAAGCAAGGTTGAGTCCAAAAGTAAGCGCTAAGTCTAGCCTCGATGGAGAGAACGCTGCAGTTCATAGCTTGACCTTCTAGATCATGTAAGATATCATATGCAGTAAAAGTCTGTCTTGCCAATTCATGATATATGATCATGCATTTCCCAGTACGCAACAAGACACTCAAACAACAAGATAATCACCCGTCGTGACGACAGCATCCACAGAAAAAACGGGGTCTTCACCACCATCCACTCTCGAAACAGCATCCACCCCAATGCCAGCGATACTCCCCCGACCCACGAATGACACGCGCACGGGGAAGAAGATGCTCGCGTCGTCACCGCCGATAGTGAACTCGAGCGTGCCGCTGCGCTCTACAGTGGAAACGAGTGGGATGGACCAGTCGAGCGAGTGAGTAGCGGGATTGATGGTGTAGTCGCATTGCGTGGTGGTAATGCTGGGGTAGGAACCGGCACTAGATGTATGTCAGTGAGTAGGCGCAGAATTAGAGTGGGAACGAAGAACTCACGGGAGGGGAATGGAGATGACGACGTCGTGCAGGGTGACGTTTTCGTTTTCAAGCTCATACTCAATGTTGACCTCACAGGTACCGTCATTTGAGGGAGAAGGCCAGCAGTTGACTTTATGGGGCGGGGGATTGATGTCAGTGAGCGTGAAAATGATATATGCGAATGAAGAGCTTACTGGACAATGGTACTAAGGACTCATCGCGCCCTGCATAGCGCCACTTGAGAACGCCAAGGGCTTGGCCCACGGGGAAAGCACGAGAGGGATCTTTGAGCGCGACGATGCGGTTCTGGCCGGGGGCGAACTTGGCGACATTCGGGTGCTGCTTGAATTGAAGATCAGACCCAAAGTCGGTGGTGGGGGACGGGAGTGCGAGTTTGATATGCGCTAAAGCGGGATCGGAGACTTGGAGGTTCATGTCACCCTTGACCTCCATTGATTGTACACCGCCTTCGCGCATAAGGGATACATCGATTTTCTCCTTGATTACGATATGTACGCTATAGACAAGGGTTGGTGAGGATTGAAATTGAGGAGGGCAAGGACTTACCTTTCAGCTGTGATAGAGGGCAGGCTACCTCTTGTGTTAGTTGGCGCTGGGGATGGATCAGGGATAGGAGGCGTGGATGGTACTGAGAGCTCCTCGGAGACTAGCTCGCCACCGAGAGCATCTAGAAGCTCAGCTTGCCTAGTCTTTTTGCTGCCGAGTTTCATGCCACTGCCCTTGAACGGAGGGGTGCGCGCACTGGACGCAGGTGCGGGTGATGCAGTGCGCGCAGCCGGCACTTCTGGAGCGTCGAAGCGTTGAGGAACAGGAGAGTATCCAGACATGCCTCCACCGAGATATGAGCTGCCCCCACTGCCGGATACTGCAGCACGCTTCTGCTGCTCCCGGCGCTGGAGCTCGAGTTGGCGTGCACGGCGCTTGAGCTCTTCTTTTGCCTCTGCTTCTTTGTTCTGTCATTAAATGAGTGGGAGAGGTCGGGTAGTCTGACTGGTGTGCACTGACCCTTGCGATGATATCCTGTATCTTTTCCTCGTGACTTTCCATCTCCAATATGCTCCTTACCTGCATGAGATTGACCTGTTCTCGGTAACCCATGCTCACGATCTCATCAAAAGCGCCAAGCAGTTCAAAACTCTGTTTCTGAATTTCACGCTCATCTGCAGTGCGACACATATCAGACACGACGCGCGCAAAGAGGTGTAGGGTATCGATGTCCTGAAGGATATTGGAAGCTTTATTCGTAATGAGAAGGATGTAAAGGTCTTCCAAGGGCTGGTAGACGTAGCGGACTTGAGCGGTTTCTACTGAAGTGTGTTGAGAGTTTGTCGGGATGAGCTTTGGGAAGGATGCAAGTAGGGATTCGATATGGGTGCGCGTCATTGGGTGAAATTGGCGCGAGAGCACCGCTGGAAGTGTGTCAGGATATTAGTTTTGAGAGCTGGTAGGTGGACTTACCTTTACCGCCTTTAGTGCATATCGATGCTGCTAGAACAACCTGCGAAATTTGTTAGATCCTGTTTACATGTCTTGTCCGGAATGCTTGATGCTCACCATCTTGAAGGGTTATGGCGATAAAAACCCTTGCCTGCACACACCTGCAGTTTCTGATCTTGCTGGTAGCAATATATTAGTGCCCTTCGTCAAACGTGTCGAAAGGAAAGTGACCCCCACTTATCACTGTATTTAGAATTTTTGAGGGGTCAGAACATGGCATATGTGATACTCTAGAGCAACCAAGTTGCTCACAATCCTGCAGTCCGACAAACAAGCGTCTGCTCTAGAACAACCTCTTGACAAGCAATTACTTGCATCTCTCTGGGCAGTTTTGCATACATAATTGTTTTATTCTTGACCTCAAATTCAACATGGTCATGGTGATCTGCAGATTCGTCAAGTTTAACTACTCCATTTATATGACTCATTGTTCAACTTTCTGCAGAAATTTCCTGAAGCAAATCCTGGCCACTGCTGCATCTATTTGTCTCATTGTGTACGCGTTCTGTACCACCTAAGTTTTGCGACCAGTTGTACACATTCGTCCCTGAGGTTGCCACTTGCCATGCCATGCATAACTTTCCGAAGACGAAAATGCATGGGATGTCACCGCAGCGATACCATCTCCTTCTGAGTCACAGTGACAGGCGCCACTGGCAACCATTCCCAGCTTCTGCATGTGGTGGCCACGTTGAAACGGTCTTCGAACTTATTCGTACCTGAGGTCTGGCGCTCACCGGTGTTATTGAACTGCTCAGTTCGGTATGAATGCAGCTATAGGCGGGGAATTTAGCGGCTACTTACTTGACCCGGGGCCGCAGCAAGCGTTTTATCTTTTTTGGTTACATCACGAGTAATTTACGAAGCAGATCGTTATGAATGTGAAGGGGTCATGACGCCAAGCCATATTTGTTCGTCTCTTCGCTTTAGCCTCCTACTAAGGCTGATCAATCACAGGATATTAATTCGGTTGTGTGCGCATTTCGGTTAGGTATGTCCACGTTCTCCTTTAATTTTAAAATTTACCGTGATAACAGACTCGTGCTCATGAACGCGTCTTACTACACCCCTCCAGGATGACGCACTTCCAAATATAAAAAAGGCTTACTAAAGAGATAACTCTACATGCTAGCGCAGACGGCCTCGTGTAGTCATTCACATTGTGTGACCTAGCTCGATTCGAATGACTAGGAATATCACTTCCAATCTCCCCTTAACACCGTTTGTAAGCGAAGAGATGGCAGAATCTCTGATATGATTTAAGGTAATTTGACTGTTCTTGTAAGGCGCATCTTACTCATTTTTTATATTGCTGATGCTACCCCCATTCTACGTGCGTCCTCGGTAAGAACACCACGCGGAACAGGTGCCTTAGATACCCACTGATGTTCCAGCAAGCCTCATTCCATAGTCTGTCCAATTCTTTTCTTTTCCCATGCCACGATCTGCGCTTGCTCACATCTGTCAGTGAAAGTGAAATTGCTCGACTTTTTGTGCCAACGAGGCGAGTGACTAATGCGGACCAGTCCATTTATGAGAACGATGCTTCTGAGCACCCTCGGATCCACGCTGTGAGTTCTATCTTTTTCGGCTCGCCAGCGGTGCACATGGCTGGCCTACAGGGGCCTGGGTCGATTAAATCGTGGACTTCCTATTTTGTTTGGCGACGAGTTGCATGTTTATTATACAGGTTTCACAACTCATGTGGGTATTATTTTTGTCTGTTCAGAATATGTGTTAACTTTTGTACCCAGTCGACCGACTAGCAAATGACAGCCTTCTTGCTTTTCAGGCGCGGATCCAGTAAATTCCTAGTATGGTCACCGCTGACAATTTTTCTAGAGAGAATTTTGCGACTGTTCGGTCTAACCCATGTGACAATTTGTAAGCGCTCACATCGATTAGTGAACGTGAAATTGTTGAACTGTTGCCTCCGTTTGTCAGAACGATGCTTCTAAGCCCCACGGATCCAAGGCGTGGGCCCTATCTTTTTCGGTTCGCCAGCATTGCACACGGGTGATCTACGAGGGCCTGGGTCGATTAGCGCGTGGACTTCCAATCTTTTTTTGAGGGCATTGCATGCTGAGCAGACAGACTTCATAAATCGTGTGGGTTTTTGAACCGTCTGAAATATGTGTTAATTTTCGATTCAGTTAGCCGTGCTGCTCGCGGTGGATCTCAGCTTTCTCGTTGTTCCAGGCAATTCGCAGTATAGTCAGGTTTCCAGAGACTTGAGCAACTATTTAAATCTCTCTGATCCTTGTGACGATGTCCGTTCGCTCAAATTGGTCAGTGAAAGTGAAATCGTTCAACATTTGCAACCAACGAGGTGAGTGCCTAGTCCGTTCACGAGAAGGCTTCTGAGCCTTGTTGGATCCGTTCCGTGGCCCCCTTCTGTTTTGGCCTGCCAGCGGTATGGCTAGTCCAAGACAGCTGGGTGGTTTTTTATCCGTTCAGAGTATGCATTGATCTTTAAATTCAGCTGAATGGTGGTGTTCGTGGTGGATGCCAGCTTCCCCACTGTTTCTAGCATAAATCCAGAAACTTCATAATGCTGTTACTCATGACAACTCAGTTCCTTTTCCCATGCCATCATTCTCATTGGTCAATGATAGTTAGATTCTTCGACTTTTTGCGCCAACAAGGTGAACCCCTAATGCGGACCAGGCCATTTATGAAAACCATGGCTTCTGAGCCTCATCGGATCCGCTCCGCATACCTATCCTTTTCGGCCCGTTAACAGCCCACACGACTGCATACGAAGGTCGGCTCGATGAAATCGCGGAATTCCTGATACACTAGCCAAAATTCACTCTGAAGAGAAGAGTCTTGGAGCTTGCTGTTATCTATCTCGACACTATGACTCTGAACACTCCCACCCCTGGCACTCCACCCTCTCTAAGGCTGAACCTGGAACCCGCTACAGTAAGACAGATGGACTTGTGTGGTGAGCTGAATTGAATGGCTCAATTATGTGAGTGTTTTTGCGTGTTCGGAGTACGCACTAAGTGAGTCGACCGTATGTAATACTTGTAGCTTCTTTACCGGCGCTGACTTGGCAGCCACGAATCGCCACGTCCTTATCTACTCTATTCGCAACCGGAGCGTCGATAGTCTCGGTCCTGGCCGAACAGAATCGCAATTACTGCGCGAAGTTTATTCAAAACTGCCGTTACTCACTGTGGGGCGCGGATTTTGATTGGGTTGTATTCGTGACTCGAACGACACAGTCAACGTTCAGAATGGAACTATTAAAAATGCGCCTTGCTCGTTGGTGACGGGGTTCGTGAGTGTATTTGATAATTTGTAATTCACAAGTTGATGTCAGGCTAGTAGGTTGTATTTTTCGTCGTCGCATTCTCTCACAATATTTCTAGATCCAATCAGCTGCGACGCCCATATCCAGTGTCGTCACTGTGTTCATTAGACATATCTGGCATTGGGCGGGGCTTCTCACCGGCTGGTTAATATGGGCCATAGGGGCCCGGGATCTCCAGTTCTCGGAAACTAGCGCATTAATCTTGCGACATCAAAAGCTGAGCACTGTTTTTCTGATCTATATCAGTTGCAACGCTCATAGCTGGTAGCATTATGTGGGTTTTGTAGTCATGTTCACCGTTTGGCCAATGTGGGACACTTGATGATCCCTTTTACTAGGCTTACCTGGGTGTATCAACTTTTGTGACATGCAAGGCAATCAAGAAGCCGAGTGCAAATGAACGATCTACAAAGCAATCTCGAACACGGATGTCTTTGATTTCATCTCGGTTCTGAATAAGGATCGCGGTGCTATTTCATGGTGTAATCGTGGATATGTCTATCAGTATCCATCAGCAACTGCGCACTACCTGTCGTGCCTGTTCTGAAAGATATCAGATAAGCACGTTTTTTCACTTCTGCATCGCATCCGTATGCCGCATGAAAACTTATTATCATTTCTATAGACCAGATTAAATATTACGCCACCCAGCGCCTCTATTTGCTTGTACAATTGTGGAGCCGGGAACGAATAGTAACCTACCCTTGGGAGACGTCTCCGGTCTCACACATCTGTCAAAACGCCAGTGGCGCACGCGTCCTGTCTGCGCCCGCATCACGCTATCTGATTTTGCCAATCTCTTGGCCGCAGCAGAGAAACGGAACGAGTTGGGCCATCGGTCATGTATGTTACCGGTGAGGCCGTGATCTTCCTGATGAATGTGCTCAACTTCAATATCACATGCAGATTTTGGGATGCTTCCTAGCAGCCCTGGTATCGCACCCCGGGGCCCGTTGAGCAGTGGACATTACAGAATATTATGTGCATTTGGAACCCCCGGTTCTGCTCACACCCCGGTAACAACTAATAATAAAAGCTCTGAGCGGCAGATCGCGACAATTGTTGAATCTATTATGAAAATAGTTGTGAATCTATATCTATGACCAATTTTCAGTGCATGGCGGCGCACGTCTCAACCACGTACGAACAAACACTGGACCTTGCGCAAAACACCGACATGATCATAACGACAGGCATAGGACATGGACAAATATGATATTCATAATATTAATGCAGACTTGTGCTGCTGTTTCCCCAGTTTATTGGTATAACAAGTATACATGGTTGCTAGCAGTAGGTGGGGGCGTCGGGCTGAAAATGAAAATATGTGCTGAGGTAATTTATGTTATCTTAGGAGCCCCGTGGCCCGAAATGGAAGTGGATGATGCTCTGAGCCTAAACCATGTTCGGTGGCAGTTGGCGCGTAGGGCGCGGAGTCAGGCCTAGTCAGGCTCCATGCAAACTCTCTCGCTTATCAACTACTGCCACACCAGTGGCAGCTTCTACTTTTCATGATCGGCGTCTTCCTCAAACCCCTACAACCCTTATAGTGCTTAAATTATCATCAAGAAGATGATCTCGTGCTCAGCTCAAGGCCCGTGAGCGCGGGAGTCGTGACATGTTGAAGAGAACTTGTTCTCAATATGAATGTCAACTTGACGCTTACTAAATGCCATCTAGTCTCTCACTGAGTACTTCTTGTCAACGACACATTTTCCCTTGTTGCCGGTGAACTTTTGTTGACATCTCTCTGGCCTGCTGACTGGATCTGCAAGTGACTGGAGGTTTCCCTGGTTCAACCATGTCCACTTTACAACCGAGTCTGCGTTCATACGGAATGCCTTATTTCCGATTACATGGTACGTCAAGTCAAGATGGTATCATGTATAATAATATTATTAATGAGCGCATTTTCCCCGCAATAACCAGCAGTAATATCGCCGCGTACTTATTTGCACAGTTGACGATTTGTCTTTTTGGCGTATTCTTCAATCACGACCCTTCCTACTCTCCTCCCCAGGATCCACCCTGATCCACTCCATTATCTAATACGTAATGGTACCCGACCCGACCTCTGGGATTGTGTATTATTACGGTCGTTGCCGCGGCGACTGCTTCCGCTACTTGGGTCCTGCCCAGATAATAAATTCCCCCGTTTCACGGACTTCATACTACCCTGACTTTATGTATTTACAGCTAACTTCACGGCGTGACAGCTCGTTACTCACCCCGCGACTATGACGCCTCACGAACCCAGTGGACTTATCAAGACTATTTCTCCCTCACAATACTTACATCTTTTCAAACTCAACTTGGATAAATTATTGCATAGGCGATACATGTAGGTGAATATGATATGCTGTGGGTCGGCAAGTCAGCTAAAGACCGTTTGACAATTGCTAACAAGGTTGAAGAGATACTCGGACATACCTGACCTTGGCGCACTGAGTCCATCAAGCCTCACATGGGCGACTATTACAGGAAGCTTTGGAGCCGCCAGCGTGGCTTCCTTGGATCATGCGCCACCTGCTCCTGTTCTATACCGATTTCAGCTAAACATAGGCCGATGTCATCATTTGGCAAGTTGCTCATAATCCTCGGACCTACCACTTGGCAGTTTTATAATACCGATTCACGGTTTCACTGGGCCGACGTGTCTAGCGCTCGCCTTGGTGCTAGAAACAGAACTCTGGATCTCACGTTCTGCGTGCTTCTCAAGTTCTTGTTCTAGATCATGGATGCCATGTTTGCAATTCAGCTTGAAAGGCAAAAAGGTCGATCCCTTGGGGTACTATGCGGGCTTTCACAGGTGCAAGGTAACTACGTGGCATGCAACAAGCTTGCGATAACGTTGTCAGAAGGCCGCATCAAGCGTGCGCTTGATGTTGCCCACGTTCGGCTTGAGAATAGTCTATTTTGAGTTTGGAGTGGTAGACTTGGGGTGCTGGTACGGATTCTTATGGTACAACCGAGGTAGGTTTCCTGCTCTTGTTCGTGGATGGCACGCCAGTTTGTAGTTGAGAACGTGATAAGCGGAAATAACTTTTTCTTCAATGTCGTTCTCGCTGGGCGTGCTAAGTTTTCCCACTTCTTCGGGTCATCCAGGGGTACCAGGCACATCCATCTTTGGCATCGCAAAATTCTCGAACAACTCAGGTCTCGAGGGTCATTCAAGCGATCACACAGGTGTTTATGTACCAGAGATAACACATTTGTATATACTATAACCTTTTAAATATCCTGGATCAACAATCAACCATGTCATAGTTTCGCGGGATTCGACCACCTAGGTTTGCGTCTCTGCGGAAGAGCGAACGGAAAGAACACGTCAATTTGATTTAAATGTCAGAACCTGTGCCATATACCTCCGAGAAAGCCGCCAGGCCCTCCTGGATTAACGTCAGAAAGGAAGAAGGGTGAATACTGTATACTCCATAAGACAAGTATGACGTGACGTGACGTACCCTGATATTCGCGCCGTGGTACAGGCGTTTACTCACGAGACTCATCGAGTGAGTTTGCACAGCTTGTTCGAAATGGTGTTTCTGCGAAAGCACAAGACCTTCCTTTGAACTCTGTACGGAGTCAGGAGAGTTCATGATGATCTGTCGCGCGATGTCCAGAGCAGTAGGTACGACAGCCGACTTTTCGACGACGAGGTTGACACTGCGGTCCGGAAGTATACGCATGAGTGTCAAGAAGCTGTCTTTGTGACTGGCGGCGATTGTAGGCTTGACTTACAAACGAAATCTGTCTCTAGCTTGAATGGCAGTGATGGTATTTCCCAAGAGCAGCATCTCAGAAGCAAGCTACGCCCCGAGATTTTCTCAGTGAGCGGAGATACCCTGTGAGTTTATTCACGCCGAAGCGATACCTGATGTCCCGCAACTCTCCCTAACCTGGGAATAACTGCAAGAAAAACGAATCACCGATCAGTAAAGTTTATAAACATGCCCGCCCCCCGCTTCGGTTTTCCAAAATAATCGACGAGGGCAAGGCTGGAAATGGAAATAGAAAATGGAATGACTGATGCGGCATTTGCTCACCTCCTTGTGACGCTAGTACACCACGCTTGACTTCGGGAAGTGCGAACACGGCGTCTTCGCTTGCGATGACCATATCGCAGTTTAATATCATTTCGACACCGCCACCGTAAGCCGACCCGTTCACTGCGGCGATCATAGGCTTGCACGAAGTATGCCGACGCGAGATAGATGCAAATCCGTGCACGGAAGAAGCCACACTTTCTTGTTCATTTGCCGTGCCACTTGACTGATTGTGAAGCCAGCTGGGTGTGAAAAATGAAGGGTCGAGGGAACAAGGATGGCAAAGCATTCTGATACTTACGCCTTCAAGTCGGCTCCTGCACAGAAAGCACGGCCTTCGCCCGTTACGATTACCACCCTTGGAGTACGAGGTTGTATGAGATTACCGATAAGCTGAATGACGGCACCCACCACAGAGAGGGTTCCTCATCAAACCAATTTAAAATGGTAGCTATGCTGGCGGTAAGTAGAGGTGTCATGGCGTTGAGGTGCCTCGGACGGTTGAGTGTCATAAGCATGACATGTTCTTGAGGGAAAGACACTTTGAGTTCCTCCGAATGAGAAGGCGGGTTGAAGGCTAGCGGGTCCCAGTCGGAAGACATGATATGAAAACCGTTTGTGGTACAAGGGGACACTGCACAGGATTTGACGATAGACACGGATGGAGTCGGATTGTCGGCTGCCGGATGGACCGGGATGGGAAAGATAGAGGGCGCTTAAACATTTGAAGCCAAGGTATCCAACGAAATCCCACCCGAATTCAACCCAGCTGGACCAGAAATAACTGTGTATACCATAATATTTCTATTTATCGAGGTCACATGGAATTGTGATGTTACACCGACAAGTACGACGGAGAAGGTCGAGTCGGACTCAGACGGCCGAGTCTAGAAATGATGCATGATGGGCGTAGGGCGTCGTCACATTCTTCAACGTCAAACCCTTGTTCCATCTCGCTTCACGACAAGCTTCTAAATCGTCATACTTGCGGATAGTTCGGCGAAGATGATAGAGAACAGACAGGACACGTTTTTTAGAGCCGTCCCTTGGATCAGATTCCGCGATCAATAGGATTCTTCTCTAAATCTTGTCCAAATCTAAGACACTTTTCCTTCTTCCCCACACCCGTCAGCGGAACAACCATCAGAGCCCGAACGACACGTGTTCCTCGTGCATTTCCATAAGCAAACGAAGCATCATGGGTATCCACGTGGGACTTGGAGGAGGGGGAACCGAGGGAGTGACTTCATTTCCGATGTAGCTTGTTGTTCGGCCATCAGTATGCACGCCATGTTACAATGAATGTATACGTTTGAGACGTGTTACTGACGTTTCAGCACGGTATACGGTCCGACAAATAATGATGGGTTGTTGCAGTAATAAGTCATACATACAAGGGATACGGCAAAATTGTGAGCCTAAATTATCCTGCCGACCCGAGGAATCCGCATACACAACCTCCTCCCCTCCTCCCTCCCTGATCCTACAACTGCGGTGAGACCTCGACGACTAAAGTGCTTATGCACGGAGTATAGATGTATGTTGATACAACAGATGGTATCGAAGACAACGTGGATGATGGGTGGATGATGAGAACAATTGCCTAGGATGAGACATTTGAGTCACTTGACAATGTGAAACAACAAGAAAGACGACGTACAAGCAAAGGCAATAAATATAGTCAAAAAAGCGTGATTATTGTGTGCTCAGCGGAATGGACAGCTTGGGGAGTGGGATCCGCGCCAGCCACAGTGGCAGCACTGAGGTGCATTGAAGTTGAAGCAGGAGTCATCATCTGATGAGATGCGCATTGATACGGGAGTGGTATGAGAGTGGCGGGTGCAGTGATGCGAGTTGGATGATGACTCGTGTTCGAATGATGATGCAGTCTTGGAAGACATGGAGGTAGAAGCGTGCATTGTGTAGTAGCAGTAGTAGAGGAGAGGTTGGTTGGTTGATTAAAAAGAAAGAAATTTGCTCCACCTTTTATGCGTTTTCATTGTGGCAGCCGGTCATACTTCCGTTATCGGCTCGTAGACATAGACAAAACGCATCCGATGGGCAGAGTATACTTGCGGGTTGTGGCGTCACTGATGAACCAAATCTGTAATCAGCGTAGAACAAAAAAGGAAATCGGGAATCTTGGAGAAGACCCCTCGAAGAAATCAACCAGTAGCCCAATCGAGCATTTTCCTTGAGCGCTCACAGCCAGGGCATCCCATCCACCACGATAACCTTTCGAGGCCATGTTGCACCGGATCCTTGCTTTCGGGTCCCACCTGTCTTTTTAACACGATAACGTACTAAGTACTGGAAGTCCATCTATATCTAACTCAACTTGGACATGTTGCTTGCTCAAGTCACACAGCAATGGCCCCGAGATTTGGCAGTGTCTGTGGCATGTACATACCCACAATTTGATTGACAATTTACATTTCAATCTACAAAGCCATCTCCTCGAGAATACGCACGACGCTCACACGATCCGGCACCCGTTTAAACATCCCCCGCTAATCGAGGAACCATCCACCTTGTTTTCAACGTGTCCCCACGGCACCGCTTTCCACGACGTGTTCAACTACGTTTAAGACGTTTCACAGCCGGAACACCAATGCTATACCAGGCAACACACTCAATCCCGATCGCGTGGGGGATGAAGACAGGAACATGATGTGACCGTTCCTGCATACCGTTATATTGCCAATCTCGTTATTTATTTGACCGATCGTAAAGACAGAACTCAACTGTCAGTTCTTGAAGCCTGTATCATCGAACTTCACAGGTATGACTTCATCAGATCAGGAATTTTTTTTTCACATACCAAGCATTCCACGAAAACCAAGAATTTTTCGTTGGTAATGCCGTAGGTCCCAAACTTTCATTGCATCGGACTTCTGGAAACCGAACAATCCTACAAGATCAGTTATTCCCCCACCGCGTGGGTGGCTAGGTTGAATGGGGCTATGCGCACTTATGAATGAATCGGAAAGTATCATCATGCCCGCATACCCAAAGTCTAATTCAGTAGATTTGGTTAGCGCGTCAGTTCGCCCAAGGCACCCACAGACAACCACCTCATGTTGGTTTCCAAGCAAATGGATCATAGTTCCCATATAATATTCCATATTCCAAATGCCAGCGCAACTTTTGGAGATATCATTCCTCAATCTGTCCATCAGACAACTTGAAACGACCAGCGACAAACTTGGCACCGCACTACCACTAGTGGCATGTATCATCAAACTTGCCTCTCTACACAGCCGGGTGAAATTTAGACCCGCAGCGCAGGTTACCCAGGAGGAATGACACATGTAAACATACTACTTATCGAAACAGAAGGCAAAACAAGGTTCCGGGGCGATCGGTCATCATGCCATCAAGCCTTCTCAGGCCTTGAAAGGCACTTTGCACCGGCTATAATGCGTTAAACGCGAGGTCTTCCCAGACTTCCTCTTCAACCCCGTTCAAACATCCTAGAATAACTTGATTGTACCACCGGCATTGTACTATGAGCGATAGATAATAGCCAAGGGGGATGTGACTTGGGCGGCATGATGTAAAAGGGCATGCTGCACCGATAACGAAAAATATTGCGTACATCTTACAAATGTTCTCGATCCCCAACTATCGCATGACGCCCTCCACTATCCTGATCCTCCTACACCACCTTTCTTCGGCATCTCAGCATACCACTCTGGAATCTCATTCGCCTTGGGAATTGCTCGCTTGCGAAGTTCTTTGATCTCCCTTTCTTCTTCCGCATCTCGTTGTCTTCGGCGCTCCTCTTTTGCTCGTTGAATCTCCTCTTCCTTTATTCGCACCATTCGGTCAAATTTCTCCCTCTCTCTGGCGCGAATTTCGGTGCTAAGGGCTATCGGTGCTGCGGGTACTATCGGGACGATGTGTTCCTTACGCCATGCAAGTGATGCTTGGTGGGCCTCGTGTAGTACCTTGAAATCGGGCACAGGATGCCTTTGTCGGTGTCCCTTCTCCATATAACCTTGCTCGCTAGCCGCAAGCTTCTCAAACTCAACTTTACGGGCTTCAATGCGCGCGTCCAGATGGAACGTAAACGCAATAGGCTTTGTGATGTTGGCAGGTGGCAACGACATGCTCTGTGCGTCCGAATATCACAGCCAACAATCAGCCATGCAAAAATAATATCGTATGAGCGCACATAAGATAGGGATTCCGTTAATTAATCACGTACCGCTTTCTCAAGAGGTGACACACGGCCAGGTCTAGATGGACCCAACTGCTCGAGCCCCGTAACTGCCGCATCTTTCTTACTAACCGCATGTCCCGCATCAAAGTGGACCCGGGAACTACCCGACGTTCGGCATTGTGACACGACCGCGCGACTAGAGACTCCCTCCTGTCCCTGAATATTTTTGTCTTGTTCCTTGCAGATCGTCTGGTTGCGCAGGGACGATGATGCAATCGATGTGGACCGCACCTGGCGCTGGAAGTTCTGTCTGGGTTTATACTTGGTTCGCGCGCTTGGAAAATTTGATGTCGGACACCGCGAATTCCGACTGATAAGCATTGCGCTGGCATGTGGATGGTTCTTCTGAATAGATGGCCGAAGAACTTGGCTAGATGACCTTGCCGAGATAGTCAGGCCACCCTTGGCCTCGGCGCTTGATGCCAACGGTTTCGTCTTGCACTTCTTGCTGCCACTTGGCTGTTGGGAAGTGGAATGTTCCTCAGTGGCCGGGCGCTTCCTCGCCGGTCTCATGGGCGATAGCTCCCGCCTTCCCGTGGATAAATGACCGGGGGAGGCATTAGCTCGTGAGTGATACTTCTGTGGTGAAATTTCTGAAAGCCTCAATAAGTAATCGCTACGACTTGAAGCGTCCGGTGAACATGGGGCATTCAGAATGTCGACCGCAGGTGAAGGTTGAGTTTCGATGTATTCTTCCGTTCTAGCAACACTAGTACCCGTACCCATGAAGGAATTTTCGGTCCTGGGATTATAGATGCTGGGGAATCCAAGTGATGGCATTTCCAAGAAAGGTGACCGGAGATCATGTCAAATTGAACCATAATTCCCGATTGCGATCACAGTTATATAGAAGGAGAGAAAGAAGGAGAGAAGAGCACGCGCGAGGTACAGCTCATCAGTTCCGGTGCAAATGCAGTGAAATGTGCATCAGCAGACATACCTAATCGATGACATTAATTTTTGACTGTAAGACACGAAGCGTTCAGCCACCCTTCCGGTCACGCCTTGGCTGGCGTTTGAGACCATGTGATTATCACCACTCATACCTGCGGGTGGAACTTGGAATTCGGCGTCTATGGCCACGTTTTCTGACTCAGACATCTCCATAGAAGACGACTGCACAGTCGGTTCGACGATCGAAGTTGGACCAAGTTTGTCAGCGGTAGACATAGGGATCCTGCTGTGCGTTGCTAGCTTCGTGTTACGGCCGCCTTCTACCGCCTACCACAGGATGATGAGCTCATACTGGTTGCGAATGGGAGTTAGCTTACAGAATTGATAGTTGTCCTCGGCTTTAACTTTGAATTTGGTGCTGCCGTAACATTTAGCACAGGAAAAACAGAAGATCGTGCGACCGCTAGCGGCTGCACGTGCATTGAGATATTATAATCATCATTGAGGGTCCCCACTTCTGCGCGTAAGGAGTCCAGGCGCTCCTCGGAAACGGCGGGCCCGTCTAGTACTATTTCCTTACGTCTAGATGGAGGGCGCGTCATTTTGTTCGCCTTGGCAGGGTTCTGACATCTGGACCGTACAGGTCTGTAGTCAATCTTCTGGGGTGCCGACAGACTTGGACTAGGTGATCTTGATAGCGATAAGGGTTGCGATGTGGCTTTCGGTGTAGCATTACCAAGCTTCAATTTTCCGCGGGCTGGAGTAGGAGCAATGGTGGCGAAACTAGCACCGCCAGCTCCGCGCAAGAAATCAAGATCACTGCTGTCATCTGCAAGCAGAAACTCCGCGGATGATGAATCGGCGGGGATCTGGAAAGAGACAGATGTATCCAAGAGATCTGGTACGTGTCTTATTCTTTGGTCTGTATTGGCTGTTGGCGACATGGTGTGTGCAGACTTGGGGAGTGTTCAACAATTCCAACTTGCTACGTCGGAGAGAAGGAGAGGGCGTGTGAATTATTTCTGACGCGTCAACAACACGTGCACTTGATTTGACGCGACTGTGACAGCCACAATAACAGCGAGAGTGACAGACCGTCACGGATATACCTAATTGGTGTCAATTGCAAACGCTCCTGCAGGTTTGCTTCAATCAAGCAAAATCTCCCGCATCAATACTATTTGGGGTATACATATAACGGCCTCCAGGCCTGCTCTGACATTCCAGCCCATCCTAGTGAATTTCTTATCAAACAAGTAAAACTTTCCAACAACCGTTTTGTCCTCACCGTGACACCCTCATTTTTCTTTTTTCAGCCTTGAAGATACACAGCTCTCACATTATTATGACGCCATCTAACCTATATCTAACAAGCACTGCCCGTCCCCGGAAGGATCATACTCTTGCTTTCATAGCCATTCAAAACCGTCTCAGGTCTTAGCATACGTCAAGCGCTCCAAATCTGTAACTCAATCTTTTTTACATTACCACGATGGTTTCCCACTCCACGAACACGTCGAGAATTCCCAACTGGCCTAACCAACTTCTGGCAGTGTTTGACATTCTTTGATTTCTAGACGTTGTCTTGGCGTTCATCCAGTGAGTAACCACAACTTCACGCCAACGTTTACATCTCACCTTGAATCTGCCTTTCCCCGAGCCCTTATACTGTCGAGATTAGATGCTGAATCAATATCATATCCTAACGTCCATTTGTGCACATTTCCCACCTTTCCCCGCACCGTGCCACGACATTCCCACATTTCAACCATATGTCTGCTGAGCGATGAGTATTCACGCCCTCGATAAGTGTTTCCCGACTTTGCCGTTCCATCACCTCTTCGAGACTTCTGTTTCTAAAATGCGATATCACCGCGTCGTGGTTCGCACGCGCCAGCAACTTCTTTCACCTTCCTTTCTCTACGAACGTATCTTACCCCGCAATACAATTCAAATGCCTACCATCCTGTCACCTCTTCGGGTAAAATGCTCGCGGGTCAATCTTGGTCCGCCGACGTCGCTGACTGAATACAATGACGATCACTAGGCTATCTTCTTGCCGGAACCGTACTTCTTTCCAAGTGTGTGGTGCATTTGTCAAGGCTTTATCCTCCTTTATAACTTCGCTTGGCTTTCACCGGTACCCTCGCACGTCCCCTTCTATCTGTGGATAATGTGACTCAAAGGAGAATCGGTGAAGGAGTTTGACGCTGGCAGGTTGTACATCGTATGGTCACTTGCTCCATCCAGGCACCGAGAATGAAATTTGACCCCAGTCATGAGCTTGCTCTCGATTCAAAAATAGTTCGATATTCCCCTGATTGAGTCCAAGTGGTGTCAACACTCAGAATCGTCTGAATTCAACGTGCGAGTCCGTCGTGAGTTTGAACGGCTCGTCCTCGGTCCGCTAGTCAGTAAATTAACCCCGTGGGTTAGCAACCGAACTTTAAGAAACATAGCAAACTTAGGGGAAACTAAACGCAGGGTCGAGTGCCATAGACAGCCAAGAGCTTGTAGGATAAGGCTACCGTGTGCATTCTGTCTAGTTCTTGTCTCTGCATTTGACACAGCCAATTTGAGCTTCCGGCAGGTGACAGATCTGACTATACTGCCTCGTCAAAGAAGGCTCGACCAATATTATATATAGCACTTGTATAATCAAATACCCAAACCTTCCCGTGTACACCGCGTTTGTTTACATGCGATCAAGAGGGTGTCTGTCTGCTTCGCTGATGTGAATATCCAGCTGGTACTTCCCGATCTCAATTCTTTCTTCTGGCGATAATCCATCGGGCAACTCGTCCCGCACAAGTTCGGAGAGTGCATCTGAGAGCTTCTTTGCGAGAATAGGGAGGTACCCACGCTCGGTGTTTGTATGTCCACCTTGATATCATACGTTCAGTGACGAGACTTCCGTCACGCGCAAGTCAACTCACATAGCATGACGTACCGACCCCTTGCGACTGCTCCAAGGACCTCATGCTGCAATCATCGTTAGGAACGTAAGAACGGAAGAGGAATCTAACCATACATGTTGCATTTCTCCCGTGAAATACACATCGGCGTCAACTCCTGAAAGTAACGATCCCCCGGCACCAGCACAAATTGCGACCGATTTAATTGATTTTTGAACAAGCGGCCGTCCTACGTCAACTGTACGTTCATTATGATCAGACATTAGTGACAGGCACAGGAGATGCGCGGTAGACCTTGTGACAAAAGAAGATGCTTCTTTACTCTCTGGACAAGTTCCTCGATAGGAATCGGTTCATCAAGCGTCACGATCCGGCCGGCACCACCTGCTTCTCCCTTGACTTCTCCCAGGATGTCGACTTTTCCAGTAGCCTTTTGGGGACCCATAACGCCTTCTGCAAGCCAGTCGTTAATACCGCCCCAAGTCGCATCGAGGCTTGAGTGAGGGCAGAAGACTGACGTCCCTGCAGCAGAGAGCTTGAGCAGTGATGCTTGCAGTGGGTTTGCTAATGTGAGAGAAGTAATGGGTTGAAAGAGGGGTGGGTGGTAGGTTATCACCAGCGCTGTAGGCACTTTTAATGTCTCCTCGAGGACAGCAGTGGTCAAACTAGAGGACCCTTGTCACTACAGATTGCATGTTGATTGCGAAGCAATCCTTGTTGATGTGTTCCACTTACTCGATCGTCAACACTACGCGCTTTGCGTCGGACCTTGGGACGGGAGATTCTGTGACATTAGATGAGTGATACCGAGCTTTGATGCATCATGATGGTGTATTTACCTATGATGAGGCCTACCTGCCAATCAGATGTTTCAGATCACCGTATCAGACGACGTTGCTGGTGAATGGTACAAACTTTATCCCATGATTCAGCAAGCCGGAGCGGTGCAATTCGTTCCAACGCCTTGCACACGCTTTTCACTACGATAGACATTCTTGCAGAGTGTGATACCCACACTAGGTTATTTAAAGACCAGTCTTGAACGCAAGCAAATCAGAGTATTGCGGTTGGTTATGTGATCCCCGTCTCCCACAATTATTAGCGGGAGCTTTGCATGCGTGCGAACTTCTTCTACCGTGCGAACTTATTAGTTCAGCTGGAATCCTTTGCTTTCACTTCCCATCTACACATGCTGCTCATCCCTCCGCGCCTCTCTTTAGTCTGTCTTTCGTTCTTTTTTGCTATTTAAACGAGTCCTCCTTGCATGGGGTGTTGTGTTTGGTATGTTTGATGTCTTGTTTGAAAGTCAGTCTCAAATCTGTCGCATTGTCCATTACAGGCTGGCTCACCATTCTACAGGCCGTATCTGTGGTAAAGCTTCCGTTCCGCACTCCCCGGGCGCCTGTCGAACACTTCTGTCCTCCTGACCTTGTTCCTCGCGATATCACTGCTTGTCTTGTCTACCACGATGCTCTTTCCAATATCACACCTGTCACTTTGAAACTTACAAATCATGGTCAAACCTATCTTTATTCAAGCTGGCTATAGCTATGTCATATTCGATGTTGGATCAGTATCTGGTGTGGCTCTACTATGGCGACAGCCATCACCTCTGCTGTGCTCTACCAGTATGTTGGCGCTCGGGTCCAAAGCCATGCGTGGACTCAAGGCCAACAGATCTTACATACTTTTCTAGGGCATGCTCCGAATTCGGCTATGTCAGTCGCTTCTCTGGACATTCTAAATCGCTCTCAGTGTTTTACTGTGTGTGCGCTGCTTATTTCCTCTGTTGCGTGCACATTTTGTGAATATCATCTGGACTGGTATTGGAAAAACGTTGTGCCGTCCTCCACCTGTGCCTTATGCGGTCCAATGTTCTCCCGATTCCATGGACGTCACTGTTGACTGCATAGCTCAGCAACAGTTTCCCGAGCTTTCTGTTGATACCCTGTTAGAGTCCATCCATAGGCCGTCGAGTGACCAATCCCCCGTTAAATAATTGCTCCCGTACTAAGGGGTGCAAGGTTGTCCGCATTCGTGCATGTGCTTCGTGTCTGCTATGCATATTTTGAGTGCTTGCCCTAGGCCTCCAACTTATCTGGCTCGGATTATGTTCTCGATATTCTTGAGTTTGAGTGGCTGAGGGAACATAAAATGGTGCAGAGCTGTGTATCAATACAATAGCGCACTAGCGGTCAAATAAATGCACGAAGTCACGGTAATTGGTTGAAAATATAGCACAGTGGCCTGCACACATAGCAACCTATACAGCATGCCAAGGGGATTTGCGTCAAAAGTTCGTACGGCGATCAATACAAGTCCCAGCTATAGCAAATAGCAGAGATCGGCCGACTTGAGATTGGGAGTCAGGGGATTGGTGCGTGTGGATATGATAAACGGCAACTTTCTGACTACCGGGGTTTGAAGTTGTTATTACTGCCTGTCACCTGAGGACACGCGGATTGCCGGAAGATGGATATGTTCTCTCAAATCTACAGAGCTGTATCATCTAGACTTCCCTCCATTTCTAGCTCTGTTCATACATCAAGGGAATCCAGAATGAATCCGAAGGAAATCCAAGAATTTGTTGAAGTAATCAACGCTGCTGGCCTCCAGATCAATGCCACCTTTCACTGATGTCATACCTTCACAGAACGGCCTCAAAGACAACGGCCTCGTTGTCTTCATCCGGACTTCGCCGCCTTGCTACTACTGCCAGCAAGCTCTCCGCTTCCTGAGAGAAAATCCAGATCTCAATGGTAAATCAATCGAGTAGGTGACACCCTTGATCGGAATGCCCGCCATCTTGACAAGTACGCACAGCCTTAGTGAAACCGGCGAGCAGCAGGCTATTATCAGCTACCTTGGCGGCCTCCCAGGTTCTTCAGCCACGTTCCCTCGGGTTTTTGCTAGTGAGTTACGAATCATTCAACTTGTCGGTGATGCTGATGTCGTGATCTTGCAAAAGACAAGAAGTTGATTGGTGGTATGGTTATATTTTTGGTTTGTATTGCGTGAAAGCTGATTTCATATAATTTTTCTTCCAGGCTATTCCGATTTGGAGGGCTTGGGCGCATCTGGTGTAAAGGACATTATCCAGAAGGTGTAAAGTTTTCATGAGAAGCGTGGGTCAATACCATGACAGTTCCGACTCGGAGCGATTGGTTCAGTGATGTCGTACAAGTTGAATCATTCGATAGAATTTTCAGACAAGAGCAATGTATCTTGAGGATTGACATATCATGTACGAGATTCATATTAATATTGCGAACCACGAGGAATACTACGATCTCCTCGGTAATGAGTGACCTTGGACCCTACCAGTCTGACCCAACACAAACACATGACAGTCAATACGCTAGTAGTCATCCAGGGTCTTATATTGCACATGGAATACCAACTTGGGCAGATGCTGATAAACATTTACTAAAGATTTGTTGCGAGCCTCGGAATCGCATTTGCATCATCAGTCCATTATTCAGACAACAGAGTAATTGAATCGTAAATTAGAATTCCGTCAAGTGTCGCTCGCTAAGATCAATTCGGTTAATTTGCTGGTCACCATCTCCAATGGGTTAAACTCGCGCCTGCCTTGGTCGATACACCGCGGGCCAAAAGAAAATCACTTACGTTCTCGAGGAACGCCCTGGTGTATCATCCCGATGCGGGTTATCTATGTCGTATTCAGATATGAGTGGCTAGCGTAGACCCTTATGACGGCAGCCCTAGCGTTGCACGCTGCAAGGAAAGTTGGGGGGGACAGGGTTGATTTTAATCAGCACGATAGACTCAAACGAGATCAAAGAAATATTTTTACCAGCTGAATAATACTCGCGCGTTCTGTCGGCGGCAGCATGTTGATTTGGTCTGGTGTCATAGCTATGACGCGCATTATCATGGCCTGTTTTTTTTTGGCCCGTCAAAATATGCAATACGGTAAAATTGGGTTTCTCGCACCTTTTGTTCCTCGGGAATCGATGCCAGGGCATCTGGAATCATGCCACCACCTATGGGGGTTTGTTGCGGCGCGCTATATCCTCCTTGTGCACCATATTGGGAGGATGCCCCATAACCGAAATTTTGCTGTGGAGCCTGCCCGTGTCCATTGGGATAATGAGGAGGGGTAGGTGTATGTGATGGCACGTGCGGCGGCGTTTGTGACTGTGGCGTTGGTGTACGGTACTGCTGGAGGTGGGGTGGGATTGCAGAAGCAGGCTGGATGGCAGGCGCCGTCGATGGACCTGCATTCTGTTGTTGCTGTTGCTGGATCGATGCCGAATAGGCCGTGAGTGTTTTCTGGAATCGTTGGTTCATCAATCTGATGGTTTCCAGGTGGTAAGGGCGAGTACAGCATACCTGCAGGACTTGGACGTCTACAGCATTCATTTTCACCATCAGACCGATGAGGGCATACGCGATCTGTGGCGTGGACGCGAGGATAGCGCGTGCTTGCTCTGGAGTTGTTTTCTGGAAGTCGCGTTATGAGTTGATGCGGTGTAGTAGTTGTTAGCACTGACCTTGAGCGTTAGAAGCAGCTCGGTGAGCTGCTCTTCTTGCCCAGACATCGTGTTCTAGGGGGCGCGATACAGCGGCAGTTAATGCAACTGATAGTAGGTCAAATCACTTGGTAACAACTTGAAGTTGTGGCTTCTCTGATGACTAATAAGCGCTCGAACTTTTGCAACTGCCAGCTGGCTGGCAGCCTGGCACGGGTTGACAGATTCACCACTGCCACTAGACTAACTACCAGTACTTACTGTAGTTTCGACATTTCACACTTTAGCTTCAGTTCTCAAACGGTGGACTGCTTTTATGATTTCATCTTCATGGCCAACTTCTCATCGGACATCTTGCGCAAATTTGCTAGATTCGTTGCACTCTTGTTGAAATCTTCACTTCGTCGAGCATGCTATACGTTGCGAATTTTCTATGCCCTACTCCGTAGGCTAGGACACATGTGTATTCGCCTCGGCCATGACACCTCCTCAACTAGAAGACTTCAAGAAGAGTTGCGCCCTGCAATATGTTCGAGCGGCTTACCTACGATCCATACACTCTCGACAGATGTCAACCAGCCTGGTGACCGACCACATAGTACGCTCGCAGCACCAGTGGACATTGCATCTCCGCAGCATCCATTGTACCTGACGCCACCTCCGCACCCCAATTCCAGAGACGACTTCAGCATAGGGACTGTAGATGATATTCCAGTGTCAAATGCCAGCTTTGACAGTGGACTACCTCAAATCGTTCTAGAAATGAACACAACAGACGAACCACAATTTGTCTTCTCGGGGCATGCCGCTGCGCTATCCGAGCGCATCATCAAACTAGTACCAATCATACCGACCGACATCAAACGCTATGATAGAAACATCAAAATGTAAGACGGTCACTCATTCTTAGAGCGATGTTGACGTAGCGACACTGCCACGGAAGGAAATGGACTGAACCGAATTGCTTCGTCATCACTCCGAAAGACAACAAGTATGTGGAGTATGTACACGTTTACCAACAGTTTCTGTATCCCATAATACATGTATCTAGGGAGGTGCAATGCGGGTGGCGCGACTTTGTGCATCCGGAAGGTCCCAGAGTTTATTATCACCACGAGACAGTTAGCACGTGTCCCTAGATTGATTTTCCAAAATGCTCATATACTTTATAGAGAGTTTTCACGGATGCAGACATGCGCCTAGGCAAGATGGATTCGAAGAGGCTCCTGGGGATGGCTAAAGCCCTCAAGGATTATGCAAAGAGTCAATCAGACGTACAGGCCAGGATCGGTGATGGAACAGAATTGGTGCTCGAGCTTAACACCGAAAAAGGTCGTACTAACATCATCAAGTCTTGTGGCTACTATTTTGTCGATCACGTGAAGAGGGTGATATTTTGGGCGCATTCATATACTTGCGAACCACATGGTGAGATTCTGTTCAACGTCAAGGCAGCCAAGAGACTCAGTCATATAAGTGGGTGGTTCACTACTTTTTGGATGACCCATAAACACCTGCTTTTAGAGTATTCATTGGAATCGCAATACTGGCCAGTACTCTCCAAGGGATCGGTACGCTCCGTGAACAAATATTTTCGATCAATTTTACTGACTCGCACGCAATAGCGTGTTGGCGACGCTGACAGTCTTCTAGGTATCATTGCGAGCTTTATCCTCACAATCGATACCTTCCGAGACAAATCTTTGAAGAGCTGAGGGAAATCATTGTTCATGCAAACGCAGGCAGGCTATGTGATTACAACTTGATGAAGAACAGAATCTTACAATCATCATAGAAACCATCACCTCGGATACATCACTGGCCCCTTTTGATGGCAATGAACTAGCGAAGATGCTGGATCTAATGGACCGTATTGAGGGTTAGACTTACTCCGTATGTTTTCGACCCAAACTAAATGCTGAACCAGGCAGCATCGATAAAATGCATGCTTATTCTGTGTGTGTTGTAGGCGAGTTTTTCTTCCATGAATGACAGCAGTATATTGATCTACTCTTTACAGCTCGGTTCATGAGATTGTTCAGTACGGATGTATCCTTCGATTCACGAAAAATACTGACAAAGCCCAGCCAAAGTCAAATTCACAAACTTCTGTGGACAACCTGGCGTGCGCGTTGACGCCGACAGGTCCATCTATTACAAAGAGGGCCACGAACGCGAAACACTCATCTTCAGGCTCCTCAATCTAATACTCTGGTATGGGCCACGTAAACACTATAAGCGTGTACAGAGAGTATGGGTGGACGAGATCATCAATGCCCCACGCTGGAAAGACTTTATCAACCAACTAGATAACGAGTGGCTGGGGTTCACGATCTATGTAAGTGCTTGATACATATTGAGTGCAATTGAAGACTTAGCGTCGCTGGAGTCCACTGTTATGTTGGCTGTTGATGTCAGTTTCCTTGCGGTGCCTGGCATCATCGATTCCTCCTTACAGATATCGCCAGCTATCGCGGTATACATGTCATCTCTTTGTTCTGTGGGTTCGCTTGTGCTTGCTGTGCTACTTGTCGATCAAAGCAAAGACTATCAGACTGCCGAGGACGGGGTATGCAATCTTTTTTTAATTCAACGAGCCTCCCTGATCACACATGCAGGCTTTATACATGTCCCTGATGACCAACGGAATTCCTGGAATTGAAAACTTGGCATTGATGCATAGCTTGCCGTATGCACTCCTTGTATGGGCGTATGTCCTAATTTCCCCGCGTATCAATCCCAGAGTTCTGACCTTGTATCTCGTCAGGATGGTATTCTTCGGCCTCGCATTGTCTATCTTCATTTTCGATACCAATGACGTTGTAACGCTCGCGACGATGACCCCCGGATGGATAATAGTCTTGATATTCACGTTATGGCCTACGATATTCACGCTGTGGCCTACGATGAACACTGCTGTCGGATGGCTACCGAATTTTGCGAGATCCTTGCCTCGTCAGCCAGAGCGCGTCGTCCAATACCTGCGTGGTTCAAGACACCCAGAATTGGACCAGATACTTATTGGCAGAAACAGCGATCGAGTTGCGTAACGATGTATTGTGCCACTATGCTTCCTTACTCTTGCACTGCCGATGCTATTCTATATCTGTGGTTTGGTTGGTAGGCTTACAGGATAAGTCGAGAGTATATACTAGTATACACCCTCCGAATTCTATCGTGCAGCCACATGGTTTCTCCGATCTTATTACATCGGGTCTCAACGATGAAACCTGGTGGGACTTCGTGGAGTCAGGAGATCATGAGAAATAGTTCTCGTTTCAAATTTCGCTTACAGCTATTCCATAAGCACTAACGTGAAACACCATACTTCATCAGCTATTATTTATGTAAACTCAATCTAAACGGGTTGGCCACTGGGCTGTTTTTGAAACTCTCACTCTCACCAGCGGCATCTTTATGGACAACAGGACGTACTACAAAGCAGACAGTGGGTCTTCAGTACATCTTGGTAAACCCCACGATTCCAAATATGATATACAGTCATCGAAGCCTTGATCCCGAAGAAAGATTCCACCAAATCATCTGTATATTATGCCAAAATCCTTGTAGAAGGGCATCCACCGCTGAAGACCAATGAAGTGGCTAGAGAACTTGATGGCAAGGCTGTATGGAACAAACACTTCATGTTGTGAGTGTTCAGTAGTTCATACATGAAGAGAAACGTTGTCAACGTGCTATGTACGCCGTTAGACCCATAGATATGGAAACGCAACTTGAGATCAAGAGCAAACACAATTCAATTTTCAAACCTGGCTCCCGTTCTCTCGCCAAAGTCGGATTAGATGTGGCCACAATACTTAGGCAACCTGCTGTCGCAGTGTGTAAGTGATCTTTTTTTACATCGACAGCGTCGTGACGTCAACACAACGTTCCCTGCACATATCATTAGCACAGGAAATTCGGCTGAATTTCCCTTCGGACGACGTACTACACTATGACGCCTCACAACGAGGCTACATCTTAGTCCGTCTATACAGACCTGAAGAGCCTATATCAGAGCCTATATCAGTGGGGAAATCGTTTTCTGTACTCCTTTCGCAGCTAGATGCGTTTATTAAGATTGTGGGCGTAGCATCGCAGGTCAGTGGCTTTAGGCTCACTCATGACAAGCTAATATTTGAAAAATGCAGATACATCCATTTGTGAATTTGGCATGGCAGGTTGTATCATCACTTTACACGGTGAGCATTAACACACGAGACTCTTGAGTTTCTGATGAATGGTATAGATTGCCAGAGACCAACTGGACCGGGACAAAAGCATCGGAGAGCTGACGGAGATGATGGAGGACGTGTATACCTTTGTTGATGATATAAAAAGTTTTCCGAGTAGACTGGCATCTCAGGAAGAGACTATCAAGAAGATCATGTCCCAAACCATAGAATGTATGCTATTCATTCAGGAATACTCTGGCCATGGATTTTGTGGTGCGTGTGTTTTATCTTAAACCTGTCTCTTATTCTCATTCAGAATTTCAGGACGTGCGCTCAATCAACAATGGGCAGGCGAGCAAATTCGACGCTTTACGCGAACATTCACGATGCTGAAGGCATCTCTCAAAACTGGAGTCTGGGTCCAGATCGCTCTCACTGCACACCGCATGTACGAAGATGTGCAGTCGATAGGTCTGTATGCATGTTACATTCTCAGAGCTTCAAGCGCTCATCGGTATCTAGCTCAAACACAAACTCTTGCCAAGCTTCATCCGGTAGATATGGATGACCCATCCCGACCGACATGCTTGCCTCAAACTCGTAGCGACTTGCTCTTCAGTGTATTGTCTTGGGCAATGAATCCTTCCAGCAATCAGAATGTGCTTTGGCTCCACGGCCCTGCTGGCTCTGGAAAGAGCACCGTTGCTACAACGATTGCCAACATTACACGAGATCTGGGTCGGCTCGGCGCGTTTGTATTTTTCGACCGCCGCATGGCCGCAAGGAATGATCCAGCAGCCGTTGTACGAACTCTTGCCTTCCAGCTTGGCGAATTTGACCCTCGACTGGGAGCGTCCATCTCGACTGTGATAAAAGGCACTCCAAGCATCAGACAATCACCCCTACGACAGCAGTTTCACAAACTACTGGTGCAACCGCTGTCCGAATCCGAATTGGCAGTTTGGAGCCAAGAAGGTCCTGTGATCGTTGTTATCGATGCATTGGATGAGTGCGGACACGTCGGGAACCGGGAAGACCTTCTCAGTATCCTAGCGCTGGAGAGCGTGAAATTACCGCCGACGTTCCGCATCGTTGTTACAAGCCGGACAGAACTGGATATTCAGCAAGCATTGGAAGCACAGAAGAATATCTGTGGCACTCCAATCGACATCAACTCTCCTGCAAATGATAAGGATATCCACTTGTACCTATCCGATCGTCTGCAAAACATCCGTTCTAAAAACAAATATCTGTCACTCCCACAGGAATGGTCTGGGCATGACATAATTGATGCCCTGGCAGCCCGAGCGCACGGACTCTTTATATGGGCGTATACCGCCTGTCGCTACGTGGAAAATGGTCAATATCCAGAAGACAGGTTAGCGGACCTACTTCGTATTGATGTTTGCTCGAACGCCGAGTCATCCCTTGACCTTATGTACACCACCGCCCTAGAATCCGCTGGGAGATGGGAAGATCCAGCGTTTTCTGCCGACTTCCGCGACATTCTCGGCGTTGTGATAGCTGCCAAAAATCCTTTGACGGCGTTGACCATCGACCGTCTTAATGAGGTTGCTTCAGTCTCAAGAACGCGACCAAGTCTTCATACTATTCAGCATCTTGGTTGTGTTTTCCGAGGATCGACCAACGAGCCGATTCATGTTATTCATCCCTCGTTCGAGGATTTTCTAACAGATCGAGCTCGCTGCAAAAGGGATGAGTGGTTCATTGATGTATATCTATCCCATCAGAGACTTGCCCTCCAGTGCATTAGCTCCCTTCGCGCAAATTTGAAACGAAATATGTGCGACTTGACCCTCACGAGGAGTGGGGTCGTCGATGTTAGGATCCTACCAGAGGATGTTACCTACTCATGTATCTTCTGGATCGATCACGTCTGCGAGTTAGAGGGCACCGAGGAATCGCTCTCTATTGTGGTATATGATCTTCTCGTGAAGCATCTGCTTCACTGGATCCAGACAATGAGTTTGTTGAAGAAGGCTAGACATACGATTAAGTTACTCATGCGACTAGAAGATTGGAGCCGGGTGAGTTAAAGTTCCATCCTATTTTTCTCATTGCTGAAAGCAAGCCTACAGTCAATTCAAGGTCGCCATCAAGAACTTTGCGACCTTCTAGCAGATGCAGTGCGCTTTTGCCAAGCCTTCACCGCCGTCATTGAACAGCACCCACTTCTCGTATACAGCAGTGCATTGCCGTTTTCTCCAACCAACTCTGTCCTATATCAGTTATTCAAGGATGAAATATCAATACCAGTCGTAGTTGGAGGCTTTCGTGATGAATGGTCGCCTTTGCTCATGGACATTCCCAGACCAGGTGGAGAAGTGACATCACTCTCACTATCGTCTGATGGGTCCCAGTTGATCTCGACGGTCGCCCGCGGGTGCCATGTGTGGGACGTTATATCGGGAGAGCTACTGACCCAAGGGCCGAAGGGTGATGTGGCGATGACGGTCTTCGCGCCTGGTGGTCAGTTAGCTGCGTCATGTTTATTCAGTGGTTCAATAGTCCTCTGGGACACCTTCTCTGGGCAAACGATAGGTCAGCCACTACAACGTGATCAGGGAGCGATATATGCTCTTGCATTCTCCCCTGATGGAACCCGTTTGATCTCAGGCGGACAAAATTGCACCATCATCATGTGGAATGTTCAGACAGCATCAATTATTCTGGACCTCCCGGCGACGCACACGAAAACGGTCCTATGTCTTGCATTCTCGCCCGATGGTATGCGCTACGCTTCGGGCTCGCGTGATGGTGCTATCCGAATTTGGGATGCAGCATCAGGGAGAATGGTATTAGGACCCCTTCACGGTCATTCTGGGAGCGTATACTCTGTAGTCTTTACTCCTGATAGCACGAGGATAGTATCGGGCACAGATGACAAACATGTCTGTGTATGGGATATTCGGTCTGAGGAGGCGTCCATGCCAATCAAGCTGCGCGGACATCGCAGCACCGTGTTCTCTGTCGCCGTCTCTCCTGACGGGCGACTCATCGCATCCGCATCAAAAGATACCACTGTACGCCTCTGGAGTCTGGAGACAGGGGAAGAGTTAAGCCACCTCGTTCGCCGGCACAAAATGCCTGTGCGTTGCGTAGCATTTGGGAAGCAGTACGGGCGTCTCCGTCTGGTAACAGGCGCGAAAGATGCTACCATCCGCATCTGGGATATCGAGTCAGTCGGAAGCATGGGTGTGACTCGGAAGCACAAAGGCCTCGTTTCGCACCTCGCATTCTCGCAAGATGGCCAGCGCATTGTTTCGGGGTCGCTTGATCGTACTGTGCGGGTCTGGGATCCCATAACAGGCCAATGTTTGCTGGGTCCACTGAACCTCGAGCAACCAGTCCATTCTGTTGCTCTACCCGCAGATAATGTTAGGATTTTGGCGGCAGACCGCGAGGGTGCCATCTTCGCATGGGATGCAACGACAGGAGTGCATTTAGTTGCAACGCCGGCCGACGATCCCAGCAATCATTCTATCGTCGGGCCATTGTCTCTGGAGCGAAAGTGGATAGTAGATTCAAAGACTGGTACGGCCCTTACGATGCTTCCAACGATGTCACCTGTGAGATCCCAGGCATCGTTCGGCAATTGTATGGTTCTTGGACTGGCAAACGGTGGAATAGTAATTGTACGTTTTCCTGATACCCCACAGCTTCTCTAGCACACATCAGGGAAGCGTACTTCACTACAGAATGCTACAGAGCGCTCTGTAGCATTCCGTAGCACAATCCAACCCGCTGATGTATACCCAGATACCTATGCTTGTACGTATATAACCATATGTGATAGTTATCTAGAAGCTCGTGATGTACTTACATCTACTTTCATATTGATGATCCGGATTTCATTGTTTTTCGTATCACCGCTTCAATTTAGTTGTGGAGCTGGACAAACAAAAGGGCCCCACTTATTACGATGCTTTGGTCGGGCGAAACACCCTTGAATGGCGCTCAGAGCTGCCTGTATATGGGTAAGTACCGCCACATCCACCAATGGCTGTCAAATTTCGTGTCTGCCCACATGCCGTGGCTGGTTTGCGCACAGTAAACAGTTGTTGTGATTGTGGCCTCGTACAACTTCGAAACTGTACAATACATCAAGAAATGTGCGATAGTCGCGAGCCAAAGATTGGAAGTAACGAACTCCTGAGTACTTCAGGGGTATTGTGCCCTTGTTCCGCCCGAATAGTATCGTAAAAGGTGGAACCCTATTGTTTGTGAAGCTTAAGTTCCACAAGGAAATAGATCTAGAAGCGGCAAGATGGGGAAGAAAAGGAATCTGGTCTAACGATATGAAAATAACTGTAAAGTTGAAAGGGCATCTACATTTACGCACGTCCTTCGTCATCTGATCTATTTGGTAGTTTCCGAAGAACGTTCCGCGGGACCCCATCATCCTGTAAGACAGTCTCCTGCACGATACGGTATCCACGCTTCTTGGGTAACCAGTAGAAGCAAACAAACCAATATATAATGCCAATTAGACCGACTGACACCGCTATAACGACGTGGGACTGCATGACAAACCATCAGTTACGCATACAAAAAGATAGCGGCAAACGTACCCAATATGGGAGATGTTCATAAGTTTCGGATCCTGCAGTCGGCGGGATCATGGGTAAAATAGCAAGAACGACATGGGATACGAAAAAGAATACAACAACGGACTTCCACGCTCGGAACGGAGGACACCACTCGTAAGATTTGAATGCGGGGGTGTACAGAAGGAGAAGACCACCCGATATCAGCAGATTAAACATCGTCACGGGGTATAATGAGACTAAATTGTGGTTAGGTAGGTCCAAGATCAAGTCATGAGATACGAACAATTTACGACAAAGAGATAGGCATCTCCAGGAGGGGCAGCAATCATGATGATCATGGAAACGAGCCATTGGGTGAAAAGCCCGGCAAGGGGTGCACTGAAAGGTTTGTTGCTGGCGAAGAAAGACGAGAATGGTAGGACACCCTCTCTACCTAACTCTTGGACAACTGTGCCATGGTAAGCGCATATCCTCGTGTGCAAGTGAAGTAAATAACCTCTGCCTTGCGAGAACAGGATGCTCATAAGGTTTCCTAGTACTGACAGTGCAATGACAGCACTCAGAATCTGGGTTTAAGCTACATGAGAAAATACGCTGACTAGCGTAGTTGCCATTACTTACCCGTTCTGTAGCAGGACCGAAGATGTTCCTGAAAAATAGGGCTCTGGAAGAGTTTACATCAGCGTGAATGTATGTTTTCGTGATAAATGAGCCATACGCCGCCATGGTGCCACCTTCCAATATGTCTTGCTTGGATACAACAGCAAAGTACGCAACGTTCACAGACAAAAACGCGACCGCGACAAGGATCAAGGCAAGGGGTGCAGCGCGCCTGATGGTACGGACAGGATCTTGCACTTCAGATAAGGCATAGTTGGCATTAGAGTATCCGCTGTAAGCCCTGTGAAGAAGTTAGCAACCGGCCCGCGGGTGCACGACCAGATGAAACCTACCAGATAACATTATACATTCCAGTGATGAATGCATTCAAGCTAATGCCACTTCCCTCCCAAAAAGACGACCACGTGAAATTGTCTGGAACATCATATTCACCACGTACGGCGAATCCAGGGACACCGACGAGGCTGAAGAGCCCAGCAACAGCGATAATGAGTAATACAAATAATTTGAAGAAACCCAGTGCATCCTGTAGTTTCAGCCCATAGTCCAAGAATGCACCGTGTACGATGAGACAGAATGTCGAGCACAGAAAGCCGACTACTCGAACGTTAACAGTGGTAGGCTGGATTGCGAGGGCATTTAAGGTGTCTAGGGGGACCAGTTAGGAGTCGTCTAGTAACAGAAGGAGTGAAATTTACATTCCCCGAAAACAACGCTGTTTACCGCTAACCAACCCTTACCGATGATGATAATGATCAATGCATTCGCGGGACGGATAAGGACTTACTATGAGTAATCCGTATATCGCGTAGAAGCAAGTAGCCAAGAACCTTGGTCGGCGATAGATGAATTCCATGTAGGTCTTCTCCCCACCACTCTTCGGCAGTCCCTAGAACACGGCGAAATGAGAAGGGATAGCAACTGACAATCCGAGTCCCTGACCGTTCCAAACTCTACAAAAACAGCAGTACCTGCGCATGCGACAAGTGTACCGAGTATCCACATAACGAAAGTCATTCCTACACTCCCTGATGACCGCAAGATAACGCTAGGCGCTGCAAAAGCGCTGGACATGAACATTAGCCCTCCCTCACGAAGGATGCTTTCATTGCGACGAACCCAGTTCCAATCACTCTGTTGAATATAAGCATTACTGCACTAGCGAGTCCTGAAGCACGTTGGGTCAGCTTCATACCCTGGCGACACAACTGACATCAATGCCTACCGATCTGCTTCTTTGCATCAGGCACATCGTCAAATGCGTCTGTATCACAGAAGAAACCGGAGATGTGAGTAAGATGATGTCCAATGTATGTGGTCCCGAGCACCTACTACGTGTAGTGTCGTCTTGCACAGACAAATACCCTTCCACCGAGATATCGTCGGTCGCCTTCCGCTGGACCTGCGCGGGTCGCAGGAGAGGCTCCGTCTCTGAAAGACCATCCATCAGGCGAGCCGATAGCTTGTATATCCTGTTGAATACGAGTCAAAGAAAGGTCTTTTGTTGCGAAATTGAGTGCCGAACTAGTTGGAGCTTCAAAAAGTTGCTTGACGTCTTGCGTGATCCCAGTAGCACTCGCCCTATTCGGAATCATGAATTAGTACATCATTTACATGATATATCACTGGCCAGCGCACGGTCCAGTGTCAAGATATAAATAAGTTCGATAACTACTAGTAGACAGAACTAGTACTTTGAGGGAGTTCTGCCGGGAGAACCATATTCTGCCAGTGGAACCAAGGAAAATTTGAATGGCACTTGAAGCGTGCTACACTGATGCTGAGACGTACACGTATTAGATAGCGGGTCCAAGTCCTTAGTAGTAGTCGTTGTGGTTCCGTCCGGACTGCCGCCGGCTCGTCAACACGTGGACAGTCCCTTCTAATACTTCCGTCCCATCTCCATGCATCGTTAACCTTTCTGATTACGAATTTTGCCTTCTAGTCGAGCGAACTCAGTATTAATGTTGTCAAGCGAGATAGGTTCTGGACCTTCAAGCTTCAAGATCGTAGCTGACATTACTACTGTCGCAACTTACAAGTGATGGAACAAATGCCATGAAGTCACGTTCCATCTGTTTCACAGGCACTACATGATACACATTCACATTGTAGTCACTTGACTATAATTTCCTTGTCAACTGAGAAACTGCATCGATCAACGACAGATCGCCAGCTAAGATGCTTTTACTAGGGGTTCAATGACAGTACCCATCTAAAAGAGCAAGAGATAAGCAACCCAACCGGATATAAGAATAGGGTCAATGTGACTCGCCTTCTTCACAACACGAGGGAGAGTTCCTCTCTGGAACCCCACTCTAGTATTCCACTCGGCACCTACAGGTATGTCCATACTGCGGGCGTACTGGGCATGACTGGTATACGGATACGGCAACTCCTTGACGAGATACTTGGCTGCTTTTTTGTCCCGCTTCTCAGAGATGATGACATGTGCTTTTTTGTAGTCGGCTCGAGACGAAGGTTCGACGCCAGCGATTTTTTTGATCAAATTTGGTCTTGGTGGAAACTTCTTGGTGCCTGTACCTCCCCAGGAGCCCTGTAACGCGCATTGAGCTCGGCGAATTAAGAATATCACTTTCAGCTTACCCAACCAGGGAGAGTTGTATCAACTTCTCGTGGTGCATCTGCTTCGATCTCTGACTGCTTCAGGTCCTCGAATGCCTGAAACATATCAGTACCCGCGCGAACCCAACTGAAGAACAGCTTTCATACCTGAACGACGTTATCGCCGGCAAAAGCAAGGGTGACCAATTCTCGTTGCTTGAATGCAGTCACTCCTTTGCCTTTGCCTCCTTTGCGCTTCCTCTCGAGAGTACGCTCCTGTTCGTCCACCTCGCTATGTTCATCAGAGTCATCAGCATCGGCAGGTGATATCTGCACAGCGACACTGTCATTCTTCGGTTTCTCCTTTCCCTTTCCCTTTAGCTTGTGCTTGGTGTTTATGACAGCCGGTGTGGAGGCTGGCTCAAGAGCGGTGAGAACATTGTCGGCATCGATCTCCAATACTGCATCATCCTGAATACGTTCTTTCTCTTCCCCTCCCTTGGCAATTCGCTTCTTAAGTTTGTTGGTGGACTTCGCAAGGGCGTCAGAGCCCTTTTGCACAAGGACTTCGCTCCTCTTGCGGGATGGGCCTGAAGACGATGATGTGACGAGCCAAGGATTGCTTTCCTGCGTCGGAGAAGAGATTATTGGGCTAGAAATGGAGTTCAAACTTTTGGGACTGTCTTGCACCAGGTCGGCGGATTGGAGGGTGACACTAGAGGTCTCCGATGCGTGCGAGTCGACTGGTTTAGTATAAGGAATTGTGCCAGGATGGTATACCACGCGCCCGCCCACGCGCTGAACTGACGGGCCTTCTGTCACTGTTCTGTCACCGCAAGCGTCGTCGTCACTTTCTGACTCCACTCCTCCCATCTCGTTCAAAAAGTCATCCGCAGCTGCGTCCGCTTCTCGGATTTGCCTTTCGGCGGCATCGCGCATGAACTTCATATTGAAGACACTCTTACTTCCGATGTCTGCAGATAGGACGTCGGAGGCATTGAGCATGGCCAGCTCTTCGAATGCACCTTGCTTGATGGTCTCCACGTCTTGTTCTTCGTCGTCGCTCTCGTTTTCCTCAGACTCGTCACCGCTCATCTCGCCTTGTATGCGACGGCGAAGCTTCTCTCCGCGCTCCAGCATTTCTCCAATGGCCTGCCGTTGATCCACATCAAGCTCCTCGCGTCCCTGCATGGCTTTTGCCCACTTCCCAGTGGTCTTGTGTCTCAAAGTTGCCCTCTCCCTTGCCCTCTCCACCTCAGCTTTCAATCGTGCTTCTGCATCCTCAACATCCACATCCGCGTCTCCTTCTTCACCACCCAACCGCTCCCTCTGTTTCTTTCGAATGCGGCGGTACGCTTTGCTCTTAATTTTCGCTATTCGCTTCGCCTTCTTATCGACCCGGAATGCAAGTTCGCGCATCATGCGCAGTTCTGCGCGCCGCGCTGCGACCTCTTCGACCGATAGATGAGCCATCTTCAGAGCTTCAGTTCCGGCGATGTCCTGATCGCGAAGTTGAGCCGATTTTAAGAGATTGTCGACAGCCGACTCGAGCTCATTCGAGGGCTGGCAATGATTTAGTAGTCAAATAAGGTGAATTGAAGAAGTAGAAGTCGGACTAACCTTGAATTTTGCTGCAAGCTCCAAGTTGGAGACGCGACCTTCTGACTGTGCTTGCAACGGAAAACTCAGATGTTCTGCCTACAATCGCGAGTTAGTAACGAGATAGACACGATAAATTGAATAAATCATTGCCTGTTTGATGCGCTTCATCGTAGCGCTCCATTTGTCCACTTCCTCCTTGGTTTGCTCGTAAGCGGCTTCACGATCGAGACGCTCTTGAGCTCGCTGAGGAAGCGGCGCCGACAGGGTTTTGGTTTTGTTTGATGTAGAAGTGAGAACCTTGATCGATTTTTTGAGCGTCGTGAGTGCACTCGAAGATGCAAGCGGGGCAAGGAGGTCGTCTAGTTTAAGTGCTGTAGAGCCTGCGTGCGTGCATCGTGCTTAACACAAAGTCGCATGGGAACGTTGGGTTGGGACTCACCGCGAACAGAGACGCCAAATTCTCCCTCATCTCCAGCCTCAGTGCGCTCCTGCATCAAGCGGCGTTTTTTCGAAGCGGACTGTGTAGAGACATCGTTCGATTTGCGTTTTTTGTCGTCTGCGGAGTCTAGTGTTGATATGAAGTCTTGAAGTTCTTCGAGAGCTTCCGGGGCATCCTCCGATGTCGATAGGGCGTCTTCTTCCTCGTCATGGTCATTGCTGGGAAAATAAAAACCATACTTTTCCTCGTCACTCTCATCAAACGCATCATCACTCTCAATCTCTTCATCATCCCCACTGTCCATTCGTTCGTCATCTTCGTTTTCTCCTATTAATCTTACTCTTAGATCTTCACTCATGCCTCCAGGATCGATATCTGTTGTGATGCGTCGAATATGTGTGAGACCGGGTGCAGTTCCTGCTGCATCAAATTTTTCGACGAGTTTCTGAGTTTGGATGTGCTTATCCCATTCAGGAAGCCGACGTTAGTTCTTTTCGAAGGTAGTATTATTCCGAGCGCGCCTTACATAACATCTTTCCTATCCGTATACCCTTTCAACGACAGGACACCGGCAAAGCAACCTAGGCCACCGGCGTAACATATGGCGAGCCTGAGCAAGGTTGGTGATAAATGGTTCTAAATTAGGCGCTCGCACTAAGAGGTGTACAGACGACTAGAACGCCAAAGAGATTAGAAGTAAACCAGCGTGCGCTGGTCGACAAAGTACTCGCTCGATACCCCGAAGAGTTTACAGGTTCGTCAAGCCACTATGTTGGGTAGCGCGGTTGACTAAATGTGCTCAGTGTTCCGAGAATTGTTACAGAATGCCGACGACGCTAGAGCCAAGAAGGTCCTATTAGAGTTTCAGACGAAGGACTACGCTACACATCCTGCGGGAGCAAATGGAATTAATGGCACGACCCCCGGCCTTGCTCACAACGAAGGTGAGCTCGGGGTGGTGCTGCCCTCGGAATTACTAATGCTCAGCATCCCAACCGCTGTACAAATGAGTTGTTCGCAACAATGGTGATTATTTCGAAGATAAGGACTGGGTACGACTGACGCAGATTGATAAGATGGTTCAATTCCGAAATGATTCGCGCTGACTTTTACCCAACCCGGACGAACAGAAGATCGGGGCATTTGGAGTTGGTTCGTAGAGTTAAAGTTATCTTAGAAACGGCCACATTGCAAGTTTGTGCCAGCCTCTCGGTTGGTTCCCATTGAGGCGTATTGACAATTCACACAGAATGGAATCAGAAACCCTTGTATGTAGGTAGGTTCCTTGCGAGGCTCGTATATGAACAGGAGATCCACAAGGACAGTCAACGGTGTCGCTGTCCTAACTGCTGACGCTCGGGTGGCAGCTTCAAAAGAAAAGGCCTCATATGCTATGCGCTACTTCACGTCCCAACCGTCCACTCCGGATGCCAAAGTGTCGAAAATCTTGCAAGATGCATTTTATGACTGTTTCGACTATTCCTCCAACATCTATTTCCCCCATCTTGACGAATTCGGGCATCTGTCACACCAAGGACGTTCGGGAGATTCACCCTGACTTTACCTCTTTCATGAAAATGGTGCCTACACAACTTCCAACGTCACCTGGCGACCCACCTAATTTGGTTGACACTCCCTGAGAAGTATGGTGTCCGGATGTACACGTTTTCGGACGTGGTGAATGATCTACAGAGGATCTTACAAGAAGAAGAAATGATCGATTGTCTGCGGTGGTGGGTCAACTTCATAAGTTCACTTGAAGACGATAAAGAGCGCTCGCATTTCTGCCCAATCTGACCGATAATGCCACGTCGCGTCATAGAATTCCGCAATATTACCAATTTTCTCGATTCCAATATTTGGCTCCCTTAGCTTCAGTCGGACGATGCTCTTCTCCCAGACACCATCCCGTTCTCGTTTACCAGGCCTCTCGATCGACGACACATTTCTCCATCTTTTTTTGTGGCAGCCAATGGCACTTGTGGACTGGCTGACTCATCTGATAAGCCCTGAGATAGATGCAGCCCATGACATTCGCAAAAACTCTACGTGATCCAATCGTGTCTTGGGGGTTCTGGGGAACATCTGGTCCATGATGTCCAGTGACATAAAAACTCAGGCAAAGGATCTCATGCAGGACGTCCCAACGAATATGGGATTCCGGCCCCTTGGTGGAGCGTATTTTCCAGAAGCAGACGTTTTCCTTGGATCATGTTTGGTGACGTATCACATGAAAGACGAGGTATTTCGCTGCCGCAAGCACTTCCAGTAGGGAATAAAAATACACACAGCAAGCTATGTAGTAATTTTTTTATTTTTTTATTTTTTGTTTCCAATTTTTGTCCATTGAGAGTGAGACTCTATGTAGGACATTACTATCTAGTCTCGGGACCCCATGTCCCGGCCCCATCTCGAATCCCCAAGTGCAGTGATGTAGGGCGTGCCCCCATCACTTATGTAGTAATTATCCTTGAGAATTTTGTGCGAAGGAAACGAGTGAAAGATGATGATGATTGCAATTTGCAACTCTGGGCCAAAGATAGTACAGATAGTCTCACCTAAATGAACGGCGTTTCCTGACGTGTCCTTGCTGGGGGGTACTCGCACTGTCTGAATTTCCTCAATGTCACGGCATGTCTAGTTTTCATCAATGTACTACTAGTGTGATTAGAAAATGTGCGCGATTTCGAGAAGCTAATCGAGGTAGCTCGTTCCAACCGCTACCACTCATCCTCAATCCGCATACTCGTCCAAAGGTATTTTCTTTATCTGAGCAAACAGCAAGTACGTGGACCGTGTCAAAACCTTGCATTGAGTACCGAACGGCAAAAGTGAAGGCCATCTGGAGATTGCGAGACAAGTTTGTGAGTGCACATTAAGTGCGTTTTTGAGAACCGAGGGTCACGAATTGTTTCAATAACCCGAGGTAATCATCAGTTCAAGCGCATGATATCACTGTATATTAAAAGAACCATGGTATACATTGGTAGGCAGTGTCTATCGGTCCACCTCACTAAATGGATATACGTTAGCGTACATCGTATAGAACGAAAGATCAGAAACGCACCCAAACACAAGATCCTGTTCGGCAACAGCGATAAGCGACGGGAATAACAAAACCACGGGGTACATACCATAGTACCGATGATGGCGACAGCGTCAGCAAGCATGTGCTATAGAAGGAGGAACAGTTAGTGGTTCAATGGTAGGATCATATTTGTTGATCTCACATCTAGAAAACAAATCGTATCTCAGTCAATGTTTCGAATCAGGTGTGAATAACATACGTCTCATCATGAAGTCTGAACCCGCGAGATGGGCAAAGCCGGGAGCACGAATTTTGCATCGGTATGGGCGATTGGTACCGTCCCTGAATGTCGCTCAATTGATGATTTTTAAACAGAGCGTTGAAATGTTACGCACGAGACCAGGTAAACAGCCATCTCTCCCTTAGGAGCCTCAATGGCGTTGTAAGTCTCACCTGGTGGTACTGAGTAGCCTTCGCTGAAAAGCTATGAAAATGATCAGCGGCAGTCGGATGTAGTCGTGTAGAAGAAGTTACCTTGAAGTGATGAATCAGTGCCTCCATACTTTCTTTCATCGAAGCACGGGGTGGTGGAACGAGTTTGTTGTCGTCTACCTTGATGACGCCTATCGGCATTTTGTTCAAACACTGAAGATGAAAATGGTTGAATCTAAAATGATTAATTGACCGAACCTACGAACCTGGTGGATGATGCGCAGTGACTCGCGGAACTCCTGGACTCTGCAAAGGTACCGGTCGTAACAATCACCATTCTTTCCGACCGGGACATCGAATTCAACCTGTGACACGTGAGTAAACGTGGCTGTAGAACACGAAAGTCATACCTCATCATATTTGTCATAAGGCTGCACTTTTCTTAAATCCCAAGGGATACCACTACCTCGTAGCATGACACCCGTGAAGCCGTAATCCAGGGCTTCCTTGGCAGTTACTACACCAATCCCGACAGTTCGCTGTTTCCATATTCTGTTGCCGGTCACGACTTCTTCGATTTCATCGACACGAGAAGAGAATTGCGTTGCCCATATGTGTATATCCTCCAGGAGACCGTGCGGGATGTCAAAGGCGACACCACCGGGACGGACGTAGGCGGCGTGGAGTCGAGCACCAGATACACGCTCATAGAACTCCATGAGCTTTTCGCGTTCTTCAAAGCCCCACAAGAAGGGGGTAAGAGCACCAACGTCCATGGCATGGGATAAGACAGCCATCAAGTCTAAAACCAACTTTAAGCACAAGCTTCATGGAGCATTCTGTTTGTGACATACGACTAAGGATACGCGTGATTTCACCAAACAAGGTACGAATCCACTTTGCACGTTCGGGAACCTCGATATTGAGGAGCTTTTCGACTGCGAGCGAGTAGCATAGTTCGTTGGTCACTAGAATGGGGTCACTTGAGCACTGGGCAAGCCTCTTATCATAAACCTCGCTCACTCATGGAAACATAGTCGAGCCGATCGAAGTAGGGAAGAGCTTGGACATATGTCTTGTACTCAATCAGCTTTTCAGTTCCTCGGTGGAGGAGACCAACATGCTGGAGTGAAATCAGCAATCCTGTTCGGGCACTTGTACTGAAATGCGTACCGGATCAGCGCGCAGAATTTCCTCTCCATTCAATTCCAAGATCATTCGCAGCACCCCGTGAGCAGCAGGGTGTTGGGGGCTAAGAATTTAATCAAATTTTGGACGCAATGCAAATATTATAAATGACACTCACCCGAAGTTCACTGATCGAGTGGGTTTATTTGATTCGGTCAAAACAACATTCAAAAGAAATGCTCACCAGTAAAGTGCCGCAACTTCGCGTCTGCTCTTGTCCCGGTCTCTTTCAGAATTTCTGCCGCGCTCATGCCTTGTAAGTCTTCTACCGTATGAGTCTGATACAAATTGTTTGTTCCATTGGTATCGGGTTGTACGACCTCTGGCTGACGACGGGCGACTGAGGAGGAGAATGAGCGCAAAAGGGAGCGCCTCGGCAGCGCAAGTTGCCGCCGCAGGAGTGTACTGGCCATAACCGTCGTCGATGGAGACGAAGGGTGACTTTCTCGCAGGAAGGAGATTGTGATGAGGTTCGTCAACGAAACGCGGCGTAAATCGGCTAGTGCGGTGAACTGAATAGGGCACCCCCATGCGAGGGGTCATTTCCACAATATTCACACGTCTCCCCGCAACCACATCATGGTGGTGCTGGACTAGTCTTGCTGGCACCCTGCACCATGTTTTACGCCAATGGGCTGAGTGCTCTGTTGTGGGCTATATCCATGTTCCTTGGATCTGGCCTTATGGCGCTTGCAGATGAAGCTCCATGCACTTTGCACCATGAAGGCAACTACTACAACCTGAATCCGTTGAAGGCTAGGTATGCCCCAGGTGTAATCATGACATTGCATTTGTTTAGGCTATCTGTTCTGACAGTCAAGATTATGAGTTCAAGACTCTAGGTGGACATTCTTTCTACCTGAATGTCTGTCGACGTGTGACCACCGAGCCCTGGAGCACTGGAGTTCCCAACAATGTTGACATTGCTGGTCTAGTGCGGAAAGACCACCACGACTTTGCCGTAGGGTACGTAATATGCAGTTCTAACACCATCTCAACAGTTGACCGACATGGATGCAGACTTGTTAATACGACCCTGGAAATGAGGGACACGGGGCTAATGTTACATCTTTCCAATGGTTCACCCTGCCCGGGGGAAGACAACTTATATGGGAGCTCTTCCATCAGATTTCTTTGTAACCCATCTGTCTATGGAGCTGGTGGGCTGTTATATTTCTTAATGAGGGATGCAGTGATTGACGTTTCATCCAGGCAAACCGGTGGTAATATCCCAATTTCCGGAAGACGACAACGAAGCCTGCCAGTACACGGTTGAGTGGCAAACACATGTGCGGACTTGTGTGCACCTTCATCTTCCCTAATTGACAGCTTCCTATTGTGTAGTTTGCTTGTCCCACAGGTGAAAGGGGTCTTATCTCAGGATTAATTGTGTTCTTGGTGATCACGTACGTCATGTGGACGAAAACATTTATCTTATTGATGGGCTGAATAAAATTTTCTCAGCATGATGATCCTTCTGATGCTTCTCATTGTTTTCAGCACTCTGTACAACCGGTTTGTCCTGGGAAAACGCGGTTTTGATCAATTGGCCCGGCTTTCCAAAGTTCACCTGCTCGAAGTCATGGACTTTTGCATGGAGCTCTTCCGGTCCGCGTTAGACAATGTTCGCTCCAGTGGTAATAGATGGGCAAGATTGACGAGGGACGTCAACCCTGCATCCTATCAATGGTCATCAAGGGATGAGGAGCAGGCGATGATCGCTGCCGATCCCCTTGAAGATGAGCATAATCGGGAACTGCAAGATACTAATGTACGGAGAAATGATATGTCGAATGGCACGCAGGGTGTGGATGATTTGGGAACTATACGATCATGACTCATGTGTACGTTATATGCTGTATCTTTAGGATGGAACTTATTATTGGTTACCACTCACTCATGCACACCACCAGGTGGTCACCAAGCATGATCCAATCATTCACGTGCACGTTTGCAGGAAGTGGTCTACTCATAATCACTTTTGAACTCTGGAATAGTCGGCGCGTAGGAACGATAATTGTCTGCGATCACTATTCCTGAAGAGACGGAAGGAAAAATCACCCAGGCTCCCTCGACCAATATCAGTCTCCAGGGGGGAAGATTACCACTGCACATCGGTGTTGTATTGCTGAAATACATTTGAGGCACTGACGGTGGTATTGTCTACGCTTTACATGGCCATGCTTTGATTACACTGGTGATTCTACGGTTTTGGCCAAATTGCAAGACAGTTGACACTGCATTATCCTCTATGCAGGGCTTTTCTGACAATCTGCGTCGTATGATCGAGCATCGCAAAGGGCCAGCGGATCGGGATTCATGAAGGGAGTGTTTGAGACTACAGGTTGTGATAAACAATGGTCTTATGTGATACGTACGATGAAGATCGATTGTCAATGGGAATGAGATCTGAGACATGATTCTAAATTAGTTGCATCAAGAACAAACTGAAACGAACCTATTTACTGAAGCTGTGGCCATCATCGGAACTACATGAACAGCCACGGTCAACTGAATCAACGATACCATCGCCTTTATTTGCTCGTCTTGTGCCTCTTCACTCGCGTTAGCCACCGTCTGTACCTTGCAAACTGGAAGAAGCTTTGAGGGATTTGAGATGCGTTTTAACGTCGCCCCAAGTGTCCGCAAGCTGAACGTTGGGGAGCATGGTGAAAATGATGTGAGCGACAGCTTCAGCATTTACTGCCGGAGAGGAGTAATAGCCAATACTTTTCAAGGAGGTGTGTTGAAATGACTCGGTTTTAGGATTGATATCAATGTTTGCGACATCTATTTCTACATGCAAGGCATGCAAGTGGGGACATTGACTAAGCGCTGCGAAAAATCCGCGGAAGGTAACTTGAGGTGGTCGACGATGCGGGTCGGACAACGACAAACTGCGGATCTGGGGCCAACTTGACGTGGCTTCGAAAATAGAGACGTTATCAGGGTTGATGGAGCAACGAACATGAAGCCGAAGGGATCGCAACTGCGTGAAACAAAGAAGCTCCCTAGTCACTGCAAAAGAGTTGGCCGAGGGCTCGTCAACTTCAACTTCTGGATCATCGTCGGAAATGGCAATGTTTTCAAGGGTATTGCATGCTTTGCACTGTGACAGCGCTCGTAAAAGCGGTAGAAGTTCTGCCCCAGGTAAAATGTGGTCGACCAACTCAAATTCTTTTAGCGAGGGGAATTCTGAATGTTGTATGACTGCGATGATGTCTGTGATTGGTGCAAAACAAAACCGAAGAGTTGTAACGTTGAGGAAAGTTGAAAAAGTGAGATTGTGCGTGTCCAATCTGGACAGGGAACCCGAAAAGCTTTCTTGATATATCGACACATTAAGAAGGGTAGGGACAGTGGAGAGGTGCTTCCATGCTGCCGAGTTCAGCGGGGGACATTGCAGACGTACGAGCGCCTTGCATGAACGGATGGTTTCAGACAGATGTGGAGCCTGTGCCACGGTCCCCATTGTCACGATATCCAAGCCCTCCAGAGCAGGGCAGCGGGTCCCGATAGAATGCCGAGCTAAATCTGGTTGAATTATTGCGATATAACAACTGCGCAGCGTAGGGGACAGGAAGAAGCGCAAGTATCTTGTGAATATAATCACCCAGGACAATGATTGCAGTTTTGGAAACACGCATGTGTCGTAGGGGAACGAACGAAGGAGGTGAAAATCATCATCGGATGACACGCTCATGGTGCGCACACGGCAGGAATGACGGAGAAATTGACTGCGCTCGAGCTCAGATAGTGGCTCGATGCCCCGAGACCAGGATTGCTGTGTTGAGATGTTCGGTGAGCGAATGGACGAAAAAAGGACATTGATCTCGTGTGGACTCGTCCGCACTAACCTGTGTTGTAGGGTATATCATTGGATGCAACCTCGTTACACAGCCCAGCAGTGGTAGTAACCTATTCATGTCAGACCAAAGAAAATCCATTGCAGGCTCGTAGAAGGTTTTGCATGTGGTTGCAAGCGCTGCAAGAGTTTGTCGAGACAATGGTCTCTCGGCATATGATGGTTCCCCGATTCATTCACATGCGCGAAGATATGCAAGACAACTTCGGGGACAAGTAGAGCCTGATGCATACTGGTTGTACGTCGAATCGTAGATGAGGTTGCGGTTATCTGATTTATGTCACAGTAATGCCTGTGACACTGTCAAATGTGACGTGTGATTGTGGAAGCTGCAGTGGCAGAACCTCGTAGAACTCCAGGGTATCTGAGACCCGGTGATGTAAATTAGATCTGATAGCACAGATGACCTTCTTGCCGGTCAAGAGAGTATATCAGCTCATGATGTTGCGGCTGAATTTGCGGCTCTCAAGGAGTCGAAGAGGACCAGCTTTAACGAAGTTGAAGGGCTCTAGGAAATTTTAGAACGTTGATTCGGGTCGAATAAGGAATAATTCCACATGCTATTTTACATGAGGTTGGGGTGGTTCTGATTAGTTACAATATTGGTGAGGATAACAATAGGACAAGGCAACATCAATGCCGTAGTTGAGAATTTGCATAACCTATGGTTACACTGCCAAGACGGCGGCTTGGGCTTCTCACAAATGCGGGATAAAACGCCAGTTTTTCAGGTGTCGTAGATTATCTCCTGTAGTTGAGGATATTCTTGTATTGTCCCCAAGGGGAAAGAAAACAGTGGCCGAAGAAAGAACAAGAGAGAGGACTGTGGCATGACTCTGTGTGGGACTGGAGTTCTCGTGCGAGTTTCCAACTGACTGCAGGATATTCGGGCGAATTGAGTGGAGTAGAAATTCATTAAACTCATCACGTTGTGTCGGTGTGAGCTGTAAGCATATTGTCCTGGCTGCTGTGCCATGGTTGTCGATTATTAGAGGGGTTCGTAGGAGTCTAAACCACCCGGACCCGGGACTCCCACGCCGCATCGGTGACCTCGTGTCGTAGTGACTGTGACACGGTGCGAGTTACCATCTGACTTGAGTATGTCCCTCGACTCTTCGAGATACTTAATACCATCACCTCCAGATCCCTGTTCAAGCTTCCTCAAGCTTTACCTTGTGACGATCAACTGAAAGATAAACAACTTTCCACTAACGCGATTCCTATGCTCCAGACATCCTTGGGACCAATCCGAGTCGCTCAGCTCGGCGACCAAAAAATCACAGTCGCACGGTCAAGAGGCATCATTCACGATAACAAACAATTCTGCCAGACTCGTCTTCAACTAAGTCGTGCATGACCATCAATGCAATTTTCTTCCTTTAACATTGGAGACGAACAAGATTTCAGATTTGATGATCTGATCATTGTTTCCCGCTCTTGAGTCGCATCCGATCAAATGATTACTCTCAGGTGCATCTGAAGTCCCATCAGGTACGCATATCCTGCCCTCTGTCCAAGGTGTGATGACCATCTATTCGCTATGACTCAAGGACAATGCGGTCAGCTATAAGAATATGTTACTGAGAAACTCAAAACAACCTTATCCTGTATAGGTACCCAATACAAGTCCTACACCCGCGTCTCCACGAAGACGAATTTCCTTCAAAGTGTCGATCTTTTGCAGTGTCCGGAGCGCGAACGTTGAATACCCGCCTTATGACTTCTGTGTTCTAAGCAAAACACACATCAGACGACAAGCAGTTTTCTAGCAACATTCAGTTTCAATTACCAACTTAACTCTTGAATCTAGACCAAAAAATACCTTAACGTATCAATGACTATGCATGACCATCTCAGTCACAGGAGACAGCGTTCAAGCATTCGAACAAGGATCTCTCCCCCATCATCGAAGATACAGAAACTTTCACGACCTTAATTCTCTCTCCGTGATGTTCGATAGCTCTATGCTGTCTCTGCTCCGCGAAGCACCGGAAAGTCATCCACAGAGAGTACCACCAACGTTCCCGTCGAGACCCCCCACTACTTCACATATCAAGAGTGCGGATTGCTGTTCCTTGTCCTCACTAATGCCAAGTGTGCAACGGCAACGAGTACTCATACACCGACAGCTCTCCGCCATGAGCGAGCAAATACCCAGCAATAAAGCTGTGTGAATAATAGTAGTCAAGACTCGAGGCTAATGCATAGCATGCTCCTTTCCCTGGGATGATCGATCTGATCTTTGACGGAAGTAACCTCACTCAATGCATGTCGTGATCCTTGCAATGTCCTGACATACTCACGGACGGATAATCAACATGCCCGAGCTCGCGAGTTGACCGATGCAGAAGTTTGTCCGATTCCATCAGACGGCGAGCTTAGCATCTGTGATGAACGTGCGGATACCAGGTGGACTTTCGAACACATGTGTGGGCTAGAGTGCTAGTGGCATGTGGGATCCCATCATCAATAGTGCCGTTTCATGAAGAACTCAATCCAAAATGGAGGACGACGATCCAGATGCGAACGAGCTTTTTTTTCACGGCTTGGTGTTGGAGGTCTTCACGCGCCGGAGACGCATGTCCGAACATCTTGCGGGTCACGCCCAGAACGCTACCCTTGTCTGTATAGAGGCGAAGGAGTCTAGTCATCGGCTTCTGATGAGGACATTCTTCAGCGCATAGTGCTCGTCAGCATTGGCGTATGATTAATTGCGTGCGTCCTCCCACCTTATTTATTAAATCACTTTGCGTGTAGCGTCTAGTCGTGGCTATGCGCAACTTGTTGGCTAGAAAATAAATTTCGATATTTCAGACTTTGAGCCCTGCATATATACCTAGCCGTGGCTTCGATTCATCTCCCAGCCCATTGGTTCGGAGCCAAAGGCGACCGCTCCTAATGTGTACAGGTGCTTCGTTGGTAAGAATTACTTACATTCAAGGCGTCAAACCGTACTCAGATGACCATATATCTAAAGTGCGACTCTACAAAGTATGGAAACGTACTTGCGGCATGTCGTCCACTGGGGGTTCGCAACGTGCATCCAGGACTCTGGACATCGATGATCATGATGATTCGATACTGGACTACCGGTGGCGAAGTAGGGGTGCAACGCACGGCGAACCGGATCAGCATGGTGCAGTGGTGGAAATTTCTGTGCCTTTGCGATTGAAGGCGGACCTATCGCGATCTTGTAACGAAACGATCGAATGAGATGATGTTGTCTGTGTCGGATCATGTGAAATCTGTTTACTGTCTTACGCGAATCGTTGTGGGGGCGTTCTTAATGTCTTTTCAGCATGTAGCACCGAAATATATTAGTACTTAGTACTTACGGAGCGCTTGTCCCTGACAGAATAGACAGATCATAGAGGAATAGAATGGAATGGAAGTTGAAATGAATTTGGCCATAGTTTACGCTCGGCTCGATCGTCACATACGGCCGCCATCAACTCTGGGGCACCACGGCAATTTCCGACCACCCTCGATCCTCTTGGCTGAAGCTCCAGAGCGCCAGTTACCAAACTCATCACCATGCGTCTATCACTCCTCCTCGCATTCATCCTCCCCTTCGCAGTATCCGCTTCTCTCCAGGAGCAAATCATAATCCCACCAATGCCACAAACCATCGCATCACCGTTCACCAGCTCCCAGCCCACGCTCGCAGACCTGCTGACTATCGAGCCTTCAGCGAGCATTTATTACTCGTATGCTCGAGAAACGGAGTTGTCATCTAGATTCTCTTCTGAGTCTGTTTGGTTTACGATGCTCGTACCGACGAACAAGGCTGTCATGGCACTGGCACATAAACCGTGAGTATGACAATCGTGTGTATTACGGACATGATTAAAGGTGTGGCTTGGCAGACACCAAGGTCCGGAGCCGGTAGAGCCTCGTATTGGGATATCAGAACAAGAGTTGGATGAAAGCTCTAAGAGAAATGTAGAGCGATGGGTCTCTGCCCACATCATTCCTGTAAGTTATTTGTTGTCGCCTGTCGAATCTTCCCTCATATGTATTCGTCAAGTCTCGTATCTCTTTATCCGATATCCCTGTTTCGTATGAAACGCTGCAAGATGGGAAACTCGTTACCTTCAACCCTGTTTCCAACACAAGGCCTGACTCGCCTGAGTGGATGCGGGTGACTTTGGAGGATGGAGTGCGCATAATTGGGATGAAGGAGGTCGGTTTAGCCATCTTTTATGCACTGCGTTCTGCGTTGTTGATTGTATACTCAACAGGCACAGAACGGCGTATTGTATCTGATAGATGGTACTGTCGTTCCAAACTGATTACAATCTCTATCGTCGCTCGACATATAATATATCATATTGTACCACCTTGACGTGTGTTTGCGAGCCGTTCCCTCTGAAATCTTCAAGGGTCCAATAACTGGACAACGACTGATAACATTGTTGACAACAATGTGACGACAAAGTGATGCTACAAACGAAGGTGGGTGTAGTAGAACAGTTACAGATGCGATGATGCGTTTGGATTGGTAAAAGTAAAAGAAGTTGTTACAATAGAACTGAGCTGCTGTTCGATGGATCATGCGAGGAATTCTAGCTGGGCTTGACATAATGACGAAAATTTGATGGATTAACGCACATGATCCGCTCTCCATTCCGTGCTGAGAGCAGCAGCGAGCGGGGAAACAGGAGGCTTGACAACGGAAGTTGATGTGCACGGTATATATGGTGGAAAAAAGAAGCGAGGAAATTGATAGCGACGCAAATAAGCAGGCGTGAAATTCGATATCGAGAGAGTTGAGTGCGAAGATTGTTCGTGCAAGTGAGGCTGAGATGAAGACGGCGATGCGTAGTATACGATTACGGTTGCGAAATTGCGAATGCGACTTGAGACTTGATGATATTGATGTTGATGCGATTAGGACTGCTTTTGTTATTGCAATGCGAGACAGATGAGCTTTTTCTGGTACTTTTCCGAGATTAATGGTGGAGATGGGCCAGCCAGGTATTGACCGAAGTATTGCCTGTTATAAGAGACATTTTCAAATCGAGGAAGCGAAGACGCCGTGGATGAAGACGAGACGAAATGAGATGGGAAGAGAATATTGCAGTGGATGTCAAAAATCGGAATGGAGAGAATGCAGGACAGGGAATCCTCTCAATAGCCATAATAGGCACGCTAGACACGAGTCAGAATAAAAAAAGAGGTAGAAATGAACGATCGAACCATTCTATCGCTGCGGAAGGATCAGAATTCACATCAACAAAGAAGGAAGCAACGCATAGATAAAGCTTACAAGAGCCATATCACCTTCGACCCTGTCTTACAGCCGCGCAGGGTCACAATATGGCCGCGAATGCAGTCATAGAGCGTGGTACGCTGGTCCTTGTCCGCCTACAAAAGAACATGAGGCTGACAGTAGACACTAACGGCAACACGGCGTACCTGAGGCAACGTGCTAGCAATCAGTTGACTACCAGTGACCGACAGCGCTAAGTCCACGATCATCGCTCGACGGCCACTTTTGTGAGATCAGTGTCGTAATAGAAAGCGATCACAAAGTTCTTACCCCTTCGCAGGTTCACACATCCGCTTTACAATCCTGTCTAGAGTTTCGGGTCCTGTTTCCTTGAGAGCCTTTGTAACAGACTTGTACCCCTGTTCGTTTGTGGCATAATCCAGGAGGTCAGACATAATATGGTCCAGGCACATTTGACGGTGTTTCGGAGACCCGTGCTCTAGAACTAGATAAAAGAAGCAACGGTAAGACACCAGGAAGAGGTCCGTAATAGTAGAAGCACTTACTGTGTTGAATGCAGTACGAGCCCCACTGGTTCTTTGCAATCTCACCGAACGCGGTAGGTCCTTGATTGAGCAGCTCATCGATGATGCCGTCTTTAGCGGACTCTTCAAGGTTCTCAAATGCATGCTGTAGAGCATGAGAAATAAGTTATATGACATGCACCGACATCCTCACCTGGACAACGAGTGATCCTGTTTCGTGGCAAGCGAGAGACGCCCATTTCCCTTTAAGGGACTTATTGACGCTATATACATTTGTCAGAACGGTATTGACCCTCCAGCAAGAAATACCCTGACAATGCGAAAATCGGAGGCGCGGGGGCTGTCCATGTCAATTCCATGATCTGGATACATGTTGGTTAGGTTTCAACGGCATGCGAGTCATAACAGATCTCTTACCTTACTCCAGACATGAGACGCGTGCTTGTTCACCAAAGTCAATGCAGGGTCCCCGAGGAGAAGCTCGGAAACGATCAGGAGGCGAATATCCTCCTCACAATCAAGTGCCTTTTGGAGGACGTGACATCCGTAACAGTTGGTCGCAAGGTCGACGACCCGTCCCCTATTTACAATCAGGGACGCTGTTTAACGAAGGTGGTCGTAAGCCGAGAGCATACCTCATGCAGTTGACTATCTTCTTCCTTTCTTCGGGGGTCGCCGCAGCTTCAAGACATCTTTGGACTGCCCAATTGCCGAAACTAGCAGCCAGGCATATCAATATCAGGTTTAATTAGACCGTGTCTATGATTAGGACACTAACCGATGTGACATCATCTCGAAACCGCGTGCACAGATAGCATCGACAATCTTGTGACGTTCCTCAAGATCGGCAACCTTGAGCTTCTGTTGCAAAAAGATAGAAGCCTGCTGGTCAGATGACTTTATGATGCGCGCCACAAATACGTTGTATGGGGGAGACGATGATGGATGCAAAAGCGAAAGGAAGTTGATCGGCTATGAAAGGAACGTAAGTGCATATGCAATGGAAACAGAGTGGCGAAAGATAGCCTCACCTCGTGAACATGAACTCCGTTTTGACGAGATGGGAACGACGGCTGAGACGGCGAAGTCCTAAGAGAATTCTCTCCGATCGTGACGCCGGAGGGATAGTCGCTGCCAAGCTTCTCCTCGACTCTCAACCACTCGGAAGGGGCAGATAGCTGCTGTGGTTGCCGCCAAGAACCTCTTGATAGTTCTGGATGGTTGAGGTGAGCGAAAGCACTATCATAAAACTGCTGAGAGCTCAAAGCTGGGGAAGAATTCTCAGAAGACTGCTCAAAATAAGGCAACGGGCTGGGAGGCAGAAGGTTCGAAGAAGGAACGCTTGAAAAACGCTGGTGTACATTATGAGACATAAATTCGTGCGCCCTCAACGGCGAGCCGTTGTCAAACAGAAGGGACGAAGGAGATAAGGTAGAGTGCGAAGGCGCTAGTTCATGAGGTGGATTGATCTTCAAGTCAAAAGAAGCTTTCGCGGGAGAAAGATCTGTAGGCGTAAGGAGCGCAGATACAGTAGAACTCGGAGAAAAATCCGGAGAGCCGGTCGATACATTCTTGGAGTCGGGAATTTGTGGACGAGAAGGCTGCTGAGCATAAAGAGCGGGAGAGTTCAGATTAAGAGCGCGTAAGAGTTGCTCGACATGCTAATTAGTCGTTTTAATCAGCATATATGCGCTTTGTTTTGATAAGATCAACTCACACTATCGTCAAAATCGGGACTCTGTTTTTTCCTACCGTCACCGATCGCACCTATGTCTCTTTTGCGAGGCATACCGACAAGGCCGACAGGACCGAAGACATCTTCACTTCCGTTACCTGAGACGAAGAAGTTCCGGCCATACGGAACACAACCGGAGCGCTGCAGCTCCTTCTCAGCGTCACGAGAGAAGGAGTCTATAGCGTTTGGCCACGTCGAATCCAGCAGCTGAGGCTGGGGGGCCCAAATGGACGCAGCAGTGGTCCTGGAACGCGGTGGACTATATTCATGACTAAAAGAAATGAACGACTGGGCATTATCGGTACTCTGCATGACGGTAGGTGGGGGAAGGATTGTGGATGATAGTGGACACAAAGAAAGAGGGAAATATGGAGACGACGAGTTTTTATGTGCCCATCGACCCCGCGTTCTGTGACGACGTCAAGGAAAGCAGTCACATTCCATTTTCAGACGTGATTTGACCCGTTTTGGCAATAGGTTCTTCTGCTTCGATCCCGCCACACCTCTTGATTGACAGGCATTCACCAAGAACCCCGGTTAATTAGATGGACATAGGAGGTACGACCACTGGTTCATTTTTCAAAGCGTCATATGATCCACTAGACCACGTCCATCCAAACATCCAAAGCGCTGGGAAAAGTTGTGTTTCTTGACCTCAGGCAGTCGGTACGATGCTGCCTACACCATCGATCAATCACAAGATCACAATCAACCTCAAGGGAAGCACAGGAATCAAGGGACCTGAAAGAGACGATCAGATTGGAACATATATTGTGATTTCTATGCAACAAGTACCGTATGCACGCGTACAAATCACTCGGCAATGTGCGTTCACACATCTGCAGGAAAGAACCGCGTATTGTAGAACGAATCACAGCAGTGACGAAGGCTGCGTTCGAATATAAAAGTCGCAAGATAAGACCTTGGCTATAATACGAATAGACAACGGCAACAGGCAGCGTTGATACAAAGACCAGTACATTCCAATCCACCGACAAACGATACCAAGTACACCATCGCATCATCGATATGTACAACGAATCAAAGTCTCGTCACATCTAGAAGGATCGATAGCAGAAAGCCATATCTATTATATGAGATTTGAGCTCAATCAGAGTGCGGAGAACTTACGAGGTCACTGATCATAGACTCTCTTTCTCGCAAGAATCTTGACAAAGAGAACTGCCTAGTCGGACCCCACCGGAAAATGATATCAAGCGCTTCACTGCACCATCGATCTGTACCACGATTCACTAGACCTCATCGATCGACTCGGGAAAGACTACTCGCCGAAAGTCTTCAACGCATCTCTAAACCAACTCCAGCGTCAGTCACAAGTCGTTCAGAGACAAGTATGTACAGCTCACCATATTCCGCGGGTGAAAGCAGTCTCATCAGCTCCAAACAAGACCAGCAGTCTTTGCAGACAACTCTACAAAGAATCGGTCGACCTCGTCTCTCGATTCTGGGAAGGGCTAACACTGGAAGCCTTATCAACACGAACCAACAGTCGCTGATCTGGACGGATTCACAAAGCAGAATAGACGATCAGAAGAACACCAGTCTAGTCTCATCAACAGACGATGTTTAAAATGAGTCTTTGCATTACACTCTGCAAAGAATCATTAAACCTCTTCTGTTGAATCCGAAAGACTGAAGGCCCTGACAGTCGCCGACGACTCGGAGTCCTCAATGACATGAAGTCTGAAGACCACCACAATCAGATCCATCAACGAACGATGGTTCAATCGATCATCTCCCTGGAGACGAGATTAGAACCTCATCCATCGATCGACTCTGGGAATGATTGAAAACTGAGAACGAAAGCGTTATCTGTTTGAATCCAAAGTCAGCCACCAACTCAGCAAAGGTTTAATATAATCCTGAAAACTCCACCGGAAGGAAGAAGCGGGAGCATGAGAGTGAACATCCATCAGATACTAACCCTCCCAGGAAAGATCGAACCGAAGACAATTCTATCGATGATCAGTAGCACAGGAAGCCACCAATCACCCGCACGAAAAAAACAAACCATATGATGTGTACTCGGGAAAACCCGAGTCGAAGTCGAAGCTGCCTGTAACAAAATGCAAGAATAAGTACCCCATCGGTCAGTAACATCAATAGAAGCTTGAGGCATGAGCCCAAAGCCCAATGGCCCAAAGTAAAAGCCCACCAATCTCCCCATATCATGATAAAACCACGCACCCTTTTTCGCGCCCAGTGGCGACTCACGGATCAACGCAGCGCACGTCGCGATCGCGAGCCAAAAAAGAAACAAGAACACTCGTCCAATAGCACAACGACAACTGTATCAAGCGGTAACATGAATTTAGCCTTCGCGCATATCCCCGGTGAGCCAAATCAGAATATCACCAAATAACAGGGTGTGCATACGGGAAGACCCGCCGCCCTTGCAGTAGTAAGGAGATAGGAAATAGGAGCGTGTGTGTCATGGCGGCGAAGTTTGAACAGGTAAACGCTCCGGGAAACCCCGAGCTGACGCGTTTCTACTAAGGTCGGTCACCGTCGCCAAACGACAGTAAGAGGACTAGGTACAAGCCCACCAATCACCCCCACGCGAGTAAATCAGAACACAGGATATTCCGGGGAACACCGAATTCGAAGGAAGCATTCTGACTGTAAACCCCATCGGTCCGACGCTGGCCGTCGCCGCCACCACCGCCGCCACCGCCACCACCACCATCACTAAATGACGACGGCGACACCGCCCCCATTAGAATGCAAACGCCAGCGACGACTAATCACTAAGAGCAAATAAAAGGACAAACACGAATTAGCCTTCATACTATACTTGAGACTTATCTCCACTGTGAGTCACGGCATCAACGAACTATATCCAAGTCAAGGCAATTCTCACCGACGACCGCCATATGACGGTAAGCTCTTGCCGATATTGATGCCCCCTGACCTAGTAATAGAAAGTAGAAAGTCAGTGTAACCGTCGGTACAGGGTATGCGGTATCATCTCATCATACAATACATAAACGAAAGGCCCGTTCGTACGCATCATACATAACCTGACGCAGATAATAGGTAAGGTCACACATAAGGAAAGAAGAAGGTTCTCAAAAAACAAAAACAAAAACAAAAACAAAAAAGGGAAGAAAAGCATAAAAGGAAAAACGGAAAACAGCCAAGGCCCTACAGTCCAAATACGCCACATCAGGTGCGGACCATATGATAACGATCACAACTCACACGGATATCAAGAGACTGCGCCTCAGGTCAAGACTAAATACTCCGCGTTCCGATTGAATGTTTTGGGTGACGGAGACCTGACTTGCGGCATTTTTGGAATCAGATTGTGCGCGGTAAGTCACAAGTCCAAAACTAAAGGCCCAGAATCTAGACCTAGAAACGAGTATCTCACGCACGTGCCAAATAGCTGCGGACCTACAGACAATGCAACTGTTCTCATCAGCGTGGATGGCGCCAACGGGAGACGCTAAGAGAGCCGTCACGGTACACACATACTTTTACATACATCCTTAAACCTCGGAAGACGATTATCAATAATCAAAAATGGCATGATATTGACTGAGGTGTACGTCAATAGCGGCTGGGTGTACGTCAATGATCGATGCATGGACGGATGGCGCATGGGGAAGACGAGCTCGGCGGAGATGAAGTAGTAAACGCGCATTTAAGATTGGCTTTGGTTTGGAATGAATGTTGTGAATGTGAAAAGGATTTCAGTGAGATAGGATGGTGGTGGGAACGGGAATGAGAACGGGAACGGGATGTAGTAATGGGAACGGGAATGGGATGGAATGGGGATGGAAGGAGATGAGATGAAGATGGCGTTGAACGGGAATGAGATGACGATAGACGGGAAAGAAAGCCTTGCTCCTCATCCTAAGAATCAGCCAATATTTGAAATCCCGGTCCTGCCAGATACAAGACACCGCGAGTGCGTGACAGCCAGAGACAAGCGATAAAAGGCTCAACGTTCTACGAACCCTGGGAAAAGTCGACCCAAACCCAAATGACCCTTGCTCCACCCGCCACTCATCTCACTCATCAGGCCTAGAACCAGGGAAGGCCTGCGACGTGTACGGATTCACAGACCGGGCCGCCAAATACGGGCGTTAAAGCAAATACTTAAAGTTAAGTGACGGTACGGCGTCCCGGACGCAAGAACACGACTCAGGAGGACTGAGCGCGGGGAAAAGTTATAAATGATACCACGGGCGGGAGAACATTTAACTGAAGGCAGGAGCCGGGGAACAGAGGACCTGAGGGCTGTTCACTTAAGCGCATGGGGGCTGATATGACGATACCTAACTTGGGTCAACTCAACTCTAACATTGATTTAGTTTTGGAACCCCGGTGGAGGGACACCGTCGGGATGGGCGAGGCCAGGCCCACGAGAATAGCGGAGTTGAGAGCTAATTCTGTGCCGTATACAGCAAGATCCGCGTCAGTTTTGAGGGTGGTATTGAATTGTGTATGTGGAGTGGTGAGTGCTGGATTCAAGCTGGAGTGGAGCAGAGATCATAGAACTGGTCTAGGAGTGCCATACACGTTCATTGCATGCTGGATGCTGTGGAGCGAAAGGTAAGTTGAGTTAAATACAGGCAAGGCACGAAACGATCGCGGCAAGATGGATGAACTGTACAGCCCAGGAAGATGAGAAAACTAGATTACGATGTTGAGAGCTCAGGGAGTGTGATACAAAGTTGTAACCAAAAGGATTACCGGTTATACTGAGTATGCGATCGCACTCAGGCTGGGCCAGTACATGAATTAGTAATAGGGTCGATGAGTAGAGGATGACCGCTGGGGAAACCTTTGAGGAAATGTTTTATGGCGGAAATGAGGAGGAAAGGAAGAGGAGCCGAGAAGTGAACCGAAATGGGAAGAAAAGAGAGGGCAGGAGGGTCCGATCGTGATCGCCGTGGATATGCGGCCTCTAAATTGAGCCGGGGCCGGGATAACGGTCTTACGGAGATAATAATTGTCTGTGTGTATGCAAGGTACAAGGGTTTATAAACGTAAGGATGATTATTATTGGTTGAGAAGAAACGGCGTTCATGAACTGGTTCAAAACGGGTGACAGACGCCCATATGACGAAATGGATCGGAATCCCCGATCTCTGGGTTATCACGGAGATATCAACCTGCTTATATTATAATACATTCCTCTCACACAAAAATCAATATACCCCCCCTCATCATGTTCATCCAGTCCTCTTCCCTTTGCAAACTACCACATGAAATATTCGAGAATATCGTCCTAGAACTCATCTCAGACGATGGCCCCATCCTCCCACTTCTCCAATCTTGCAAACAAATAAATAATATCCTCGCTTTCACTCAAAATACCCATCTATACTCTCGCATCTTTCGCTATAGATTCAACTCAGCCGCATCAGCCAGACGACTCGGTGCTCGTACTCACCACTCTCGCCATCTTGCTCACCAGTTGGCGTGGTACTCGAACGCTTTAAAATGCATCAGAAGGGCGGATATTTACGATAACGGCGTCCTAGACGCTTTCTGGGCTTCTTTCGCACTCATGTCTGAGAATGACGGAAAGAATCGTCATCTCCTCGAGGCAGCGGGTCTCCCAGATTTCGTAGATGAGTTTGTTCGCAACCGCCTATACCAAGACTCCGCCAATACCAATGGCTGGCCCAACGAATCTCCCATCAACTGTCTTGCATTATGGCTGCTTTGGTTCACCAGTACAGAAGGTATGTCTTCCTACCTTTCCTCGATCCCTTTCTCACAATACACCCTCAGAGCGTCTCAAAGCCGAGTCGACCGTCCGACGCAACGAGATAATCAGACTCGTCCTCCCTTTTGTCATCGTTCCCTTTCGCGTAAGCCACTTTCAATCGTCCAAGTATACCTCATAACGCTCCCCTAGTATCCTTCAGCTCATGCTCCCCACAATCACTTCACCATGCCCCTCACAGAAAACTCGAACGGCCACCTCCGTCAGTCCATTATCCCCGCACATGGCACCTTCCCAATCTACCGTGCCGGCAGAGCCCACACAACCCACTTCTACGACCGCACAGACTTCGAGATTGGCATTCCACTTTCTTCCACGGCTGCAAAATTGATCTTCTTTTCACGTCGCCAAGTAACACCTATCGGAATCCCAATCCATCTCCCACTCACTCGTCAACATGCTTTCCAACTCGGTTTTGGCGACCAAATCGGTCCCACTCAAGAAGACGTCCACGAACTCAACCAACATAAAGTCGTCAAGCACCCTTCTCTTGCCTCCGACTCCATTCGAACTCCCAGTTCCCAACTCGACGACGACTGGTACCGCCTCACAGACTGCATCTATCCAATGCAAAAATCATCCCTCAAGAACGCCCATTACACCTACGGCTCCGCAACAGGTCTCTGGCAAGGTCGTATCTTAGTCCCCACCGATAATGCATTCGCCGCAATCCTCCAGCATGTTCAAATGCCGGAAGAATTCACAGAACAACAGCTCTTCCTGAACGCTTACCCTCTCTTCATGCGCCTTCGTGAATATCACTGCGTGGACCCCCAGGACCCTGTACCGACTGGTGGGGCAGATGATGGGTTTGATGATGGCATTTCGAACGCTTGGATACCCAGGGGCGTGCATTTACACGAGGATTTGGCGAGTCGCTTTCTTTCCACTGGTGTGATACTGATCCCAATACTGATTATCGACCAACAGTCCGAAGGCAAACTCAAACTCCAACATCACGATCGCACATACACATACGAAGCTTATCGTCCAGGCTTAGCAAATTCTCATGACGAAGCTACTTGTCGCGGATGTCAATACCGTGGGACGTGCAATATCGTTTATAGGGAGCATGATGATCAGTTCTTAGCCGAGCGATCTCAGGGTGACGAGAGCGATACAGATGCTGATGTTGATGTGGGTGACGACGATGGTCAATTCCTACAAGACGCTTCTGCACAGTACGATACGGTCATCGACGACATCTTCGAAGCGATGGACGAAGATTCAGACTACGAGAGCGACGAGGAGTACTGTGTGGAGAGGAAATGTAACGGTGTGCTTGATATCGCACTCGTCGGCGAGGTAAGCCTCTTCCCAAGCCCATCTTCTACCACCTAATTCATCCCTCACAGACCGACTACCAACATGGCCAGGCGTGGAACCACTACAAATTCTATGGCCGCGTCCGCGAATGGGACGGACTCGTTGCGCTCGTTCGTATCCCTGCACACCAGCACTCGCATCCTGCGGTCGGACTCGGATTGTGGGTATTCAGCGGGTATATTGTTGGAGGACAAAATTTCGTGGGGACGTGGCGGGCATTGGGGGAGGTGAACCCCGTTACCCCTACCCTTGAGAGCGCGTTTGCCATGACAAGGAGGGAGGAGGGGTCGTGAGGGGGTAATGCGGAGAGGAGGGTTTGCGATACCTTACCGAGGTTTCCAAGGCCTCTCATACCCCGCATGCCGACAATTCAGGACCCAAGAACCACGACTAAGAAAGCACTCATCAAGACATGACACGCCACGCCACGCCACGCCATCCATTGACCTGACCTGACGCACCACAAACCTAACTTTATTATTTCCCGATGTCCCGCGTTCTATCGCCTCGCCTTGCAGCGCTGTGTATATCCAAGCTTCATCCGAATACGCTGACACTGTACTATCACCATCAACGACGTCGACTCGCCGCGGGTGTTAGATATACCCTTGCGTTTTTTTTTCCCACTGCAATTACTTGCACATATACGTACATATCATGGTTCGTCATCATTTCATTTCATTCTGTCTCGGTTTTGGTTGGTTTTACACATGCTACTATCTCACATGTTGCTCGCTGACTGTTTCGTTCACATCGCATTGCTTCCACACACAACTTTTGACACTGACTACCGCACTCGCGCACGCACACTTCGAGACTCTTGTACCATTCATTGCCCCTTCTTAATTGTAGTTTACACCTTGTTCATTTAGTACTTCATCAATCAATGTTTTTGTCCTTGTGTTCACGTTGACGGTTGGAGCTTGGGACCGTCTTATCTTATCTACAGCCTGAACACACGCTTCAGGCCTGCCTCGTCACTCGCTTCTGAACAGCTCACTCGTACCGGTGTTCTAGCTCCATAACGCTGCTACCCACACACGTTGGTCACGGCGTCTTATAAAACTCGGATAGCCTGTCATGCCAGCTACTTCATTAATATTGAAACGTGTATTCAGTCATCAGCCTGAGGCTGTCGCGACTTCGCACCCGACCGGCGTCTAATTAACTCGAAGTTGGACTTGACCTTTTGAACTTTTTTTACTTATCTCGCATCGGTAAGTTTGCGCCATCGTTACCATGAGAGTACTAGTACTTACCAGTACTTTGAATTCAAGTTTGATGTCGATTATGTATCACGTCACTGCACAGGATCTTCTGCGCATTACTGCAGCGGCGCTGTCAGCGGCGGCGTATGATCATATGTACCTTGAAACTTGAAGCAAAGCATTCGCAGGCTAACATGACCGATTCGGAGGAGAGCCAGAAACCCAAACCAAATGCTTCTGGTGTCCTTTACTGTGACTGCCCAGTGGGTTCTCGATCCTGGGGAATCCCCAATTAGACCTGACTAAGCTCCAAGGGCATGCCATCGAGCTGGCATCGATCTCATTGTTGTTTGCTAATAGCCTCATCGTGATCACCGCGATCAGCCCTAGCTGGGCTGAGTAAGTTACGAACAAGTAGCGTTCCGTCAATTAATGTTCCCTGTCATTCAACGTTTCAGCGCTGATCGTCTATTTCTGCTAGGCTCAGTAAGGACTGGAACGAGTAGCTGCCGTCGCGTTCTTCCTCAAGAAAGTTACTGTGGAAAATCCCCATCCCCATGAGAACTAAGCATGCCGCAAGTAGTGACTACTCAGCGCTCTGCACCCCAGGACTCAGTAAAATGCTACCTGCTGACGTCACATCTCATCTCGTCTTATCTCACGAGTAGGGGACTTGGAACTTTCTCAGGCTTTGCCATTTGGATGCAGAAGAAGTCGAAGCAGTGTCGGAGCTACGATTTTAAGCGCGTTTCTATCATTCGTTCCTTATTCGCCTGCCATGGGTGCTTGGCCAAATTCCTTGGAACTGCGCTTCATAATGCATAAAGGTACGGCGGTACGGGACGTGGGCTGCAGGTTCAAGTTTTATTCCGAACTCGACTCGGAGCCTCGTTGCCAGTTGCGTGCGTGCGTTGATCGGGCCGTGCGAGTGAACTGCTACTGGTGGGTCGGAACGATGACTTCGAGTTGGAAAAAACTCATGACACAGATGGACTTGGTCAGAAAGTTTTTGTGCTGTTTTTGTGCACTGAGATGCGACCCTGAGTTCTGGACAGATCTGTCCGCCGCCCGGCGGAACATCGATCGTGAATCATACGCACGCCCGTACGTACGGATGCCCTTTAGAGGGATGCTGCCATGCGCGCAGCAGATGCTTGGCTGTGTATGGTACCAGACGCGATATCTACTAATCCTTTCCAGGTATTTGTCTACCGCCGGCCGCCTGTACGTACGTACAAATGCGTGAAATGTGTATGATGGTTTGGCAAAATGGTTATGACGCCAATACAGCATACACGGTACGCTACGATGCGTGTAAAAGATGCTGTGTAGACGGACAAGCCTTGTACTTGCCGTTTCCACTGTATCTTTTGTGCCGTGTCCTCTTGGGTCTGGTGTACTCATGCGTCTCCGAAGTTCTGCTCGTGCATCCCCTTCTAGTACTCGCGTATCTCATGGTATTAACCCATCTTCTTGTAATGGGCCACAAAAGGTACGTATTTACGAGGAATGACGGCACGAGGAGGCTGAACTTTGTAGCAAGCGGGAGAAGGTCGATAACATATCACGGTGGCAGTTACGCAAGTATCTTTTACGCGTGCTGGAAGTTCTACTACTACTAGCGCGTCCTCTTTCATTAATCCATTGCATTATTAGCGTCACTTCCTGCGATACGCCACACAAGCTAGCGAAATCCGAGGAGAAAGACCGACTTACTTGAACTATTGGTTCTCTTTCATGGTTGCCAAGCACCACATTTAATGCATCTGGGGTATTGAGCTGTGATTACTGCACTTCGACTTCTTCGACGCTCGAAACGCCACAAAGCTCTCATGGAGCACTTCGACTTCGTTGATGCGTCACCAATTACATTTGTATATTCGGACACTAGATGGTCGCTGACCCTGCACAAGTCGAGGCACCCGCGGCCGAAATAGACCGACAGTTTTGACGATGAGCTTCTGAATGTTTCGAGGTAACGATATTTGCTAAAAATATTATATTATGGTGTTCTGCATCTGTATCATGATGCTCGTGTTTCATTCAACACATACCTCGAGGTTCTCTCTGGAACGCCACGAAGCTCGCCTATGGAGCTCGTTGGAACTCTTCGAAACATATTCCAATTTGATATTCTCGAGGAACACTAGTTGCTGTGCTCGTGTTCCCGGCGTTTATCAAGACCCCCACGACCGACATCACGCGCTTGCTAAAAATACCATGTTCTTTATATATTACACACCGAATAGATCTGGGGGACCTCCGTCGTCTGTTTCTGGAAACTGGATAAGTATTTCGAAAAACGGCGATCCTTCAAGTCACCTCGCCAAGCACCTGGAATAAAATGAGAGTCTGGAAGTAGGTGCGTGGCAGCTCCTAAACCTCTAGCCGCACACTTTGGGGGCACATCACCCAATAGCATTTCGACGATGCGAGCTGCTATAGGGCCCTAGTGCTGTGACTTATCTTGTGCCACGCCATCAATCAAATATGCAGATGAGGCGTTCTAACCTTCGAGAACAAACGGCAACCAAGATCTCCGTCGGCAACTCCCGAAGCAGGTTGGACAATGGAGCCACAACACAGCTCGCACTATCATAGGCACTTTGAGAAAAAATGGAAAGTTATGGTATGGTCGGTAGCAGTCGCGGCATTGTCCTTGTTCCCGGCCGCCACACGCAGTTGGCCTGTCTTCCGTAGAATTCCACAAGTCATTTCTCAGGGGCACCTTGTTCCCCAGTTGAACGCCTCACAAACACTAGCTAAACTTCATTCAGATAAATGCAGCTCACAGCATCCGCCCCCACGCTAGAAGACCAAGCACAACCTGCTGCGCCGACCAAGATAGTCCTCGCTGGGAGACTGTTTGATCCGTACACGCTCGAACTTCTTGATAATCAAGCTATAACGATATGCAACGACTCTGGAATGATCCTCGATGTTTCACCATTGTCAGCAATCAGTAGTAATTTTGCGTCTTTTGATGGGGAAGTAATAGACCTGCGGCACTTGACGGTACTACCAGGTTTCGTCGACACTCACGTTCACTGTAAGCGCATCACTTTCATTTCCGGGACCGGAATTCATCTCAGGCTGCCACCTGCTGTTAGTCTTCTTACATCCGTACGCGGAGACCTCATGGGTGGATCAGGTTACCAAAGAGAGCATCGTCGAGCGCACCATTAAGGCCACGGTACACGCTAAACGTACCTTGATGGCAGGCTTCACGGCTGTGCGGTGCGTCCATCAGCCGTTCTAGCGTAGTTCTCCATTTAACGTTGGCGGCCTGTTCCTAGTGATCTAGGTACGGAGGGTGCAGGGGACGCAGATATTGCGCTACGGAAATGTGTATCGAGCCCTGGTGCCCTCATACCCGGCCCGAGATATTTTTGTGTCACGAGGGCAATTGCACCCACGGGAACGTATGGTTCGTATTTTTGCTGATTTATGTATTTTCATACATGTGCTTTTCCATCGCGCACATATGACTCATGCGAGGGCCTGTCCAGGTCCAAAGAGTTCCCTCTATGTAAACAAAGAAGGTATCGATGATGTGACCGGCGTCGATGTGGCAGATGGAACTCAAGAGTGTATCAAGGCCGTCCGGAGGCAGATTGGCGCGGGGGCTGATTGGATCAAGGTGATCGTCACGTTCTGCCATCATAATTGCGGCAAGGCGCTCATATATACTCGCTCGTTCCCGTTATGATTGCAACGATATACAGATCTATGCAGGTAAATGAATCCTGGTTTGGATTAGATCTTTCGGTCATCTCCGTTGATGCTTTCTTAGACTACGCCGTTCGATCGCGGGCTTCTGAAGTCTCGTGCAGGGTTGGGGCTGCGTCCATGGCCACATTCGATTACGATGAGCTGAAGGCAATGATCTGCACTGCCCATGCGTATGGGGTCAAGGTCGCCGCTCATGCAACGAATAGGTCAACCATTATACCTCTGATAAGTCTCGGGGTGGACTCCATTGAGCACGCATATGATATGTTCGCTCCTGATTCAACTGCGGTAGAAATGTTTGAAGAATATGCAGGCCATAAAACCAAATATGTCCCGACCCTCGCGGCATATTATACCATAACCCAGGGGAAAGGAGAGATCTGGGATCGCGCTGCCAATTCTTTCAAGGCAGCTTTAGAACTAGACTTGGACAATATTTCATGCGGGGGCGATACCGGGGTTTTCGCTCATGGGGCCAATGCGTTGGAGCTCTCACTCATGGTTCGTTTGGGTGCTGATTGGAAGAAGGTGCTAAGATGGGCGACTTTAGGTGGCTGGGAGTGTATACGATCAAGGATGTGGGAAGGCGAGGCAGGAAAGACCCGACTCGCCCAGGTAGGTGATCTCAAAGAGGACCCGAGGATTGTTGGTGATAATGAGGTACCGTTTGGGGCGGTGAGGAAAGGGTTTATTGCTGACTTGATTGCAACACCGGGAAACTTTGCGGCAGATTTCGAAGGTGCGGTATCCGCGGAAAACATACATTTTGTCATGAAGGGTGGCAAAATCTATAAACGTGACGGTTTACCTCTTGTGTAACAGGTACTTGCAGTACATAGCTTTCGCGCTACGCACGGCAGTTTTTAAGATGGCGAACTCCTCGGGTAACGTTAGAAGTGCGTATGAAGTTGACCACACGGCGATCATTTGCAGTGCGATATGCCACCTGGACGACAATTTACCGGTAATGTTTGAAAATACAGAATTAGTTTATATCCGTCAGTCATGAAAGGAGGGTTTCAGCTGGGCGGTTAGTCCTCTAGCCTCGACCGCGATGTGGCAGATTCCATGAAGTCACTGTAAACTATATATACCTGACTTTAAGACCAGTTGCCGATTTGAAATTGAGGATAGCCGTGAGATAGCTTTGTCAGCAACTATACAGCTCTTCGGGTTTTCTCTTCAAATCCCAACACTTTAGTTTCCTTGCATACCGACTCACAAGAAATATTGTTTGAAGCTCTCTCGCGATCGTAGCAAAATGCTTGTTCTTGCTCCTCACCAATTTCAGCACACAACGTTAAACCAGTTATAACCAACGACACTCGACAACCTCGACAGTCTCCCACAAACAAGTCAAGGCCCCTCGTTTGCATCTCACAGCAGGGGCCTGTTACGTTCGTGGAATATGAAGTTGGTCCGGTCTGCTTGCTGCGAGGCCTCGTTATGAGGTTGAGCAGGTCAACAGGTGGCTGGGTCAGATGCGTCTCTGCAGAGTTGAGGTCGGCGGCTTTTTTTCGTCGAGCTCGTAGTTTTGGGACAGACATTTTTGTAATTATATATTTATCTGGAATTGTGCTTGAATTTGAGCTCCCACCTGGAGATCCACAAAATTTGTTGTTATCCTTGTAGGTCGAAATGGTTGATCACTCAATGATGTTGCTCTAGATAGACGTTCTCGTCTCCCACAGGAAATGGTCGATGACTGCGATATACACAGTCAGATTTTCGGAAGGACTCTTACTGCGCAATTGCAACAGTGGACTTACCAAAACATTGCGAAGTCTTCGAATTTCTAAGGTCTTTACTTATCCACTTGTTATTTGACTAGTCTTCATGGCAACGCACTACGAGAACTTTCAGGCTTGGATGCTGAAATTCCTACTACTGTGTTTCGAAGATATCAAAACTTCAAGACAACAACTTCGGTAGTGCACGGGATAGTTATAATGCCTTGAGCACTTCACGGTTTGCAAAAGTTTAACACCGACAAAAATGCGTATCAAACGGCAGCGGTTACATCACATCCACCTTGAGCGCACGGTTTGGAATTTCGCTGACGATGGGTTATGTGATCTTTATTTTGTGACTGTTCAACTGGACCACGGTGCCACGGCAATTCTCGTCAAGAATCACAGCTCTAGTGCTCTTCGCCTTCTCTGCAGATTTCGATGTACGTCCATAGTCCAAGCACCTCAATTCCTTCGTTGTGGGGATGATTTTTCAGATACTCCATATCGATTAGGCCAGTGGACTATCATGGTTCTGTTCCGTGGCATCGGTCAAACTCGTTTAATTTTCGCTAGGCATGCTACACCCATGTCATTTTGTTTGGTTTGCACAGTGGGACACAAGATATCACGTACGAGTTATGTAATTTGGGGTTACGTTTGGGGTACACGCTGGTGTGCGGAGAACATCAACAGGTTCGAGCAGTTGGGTTCGATGATTCGAAGCAGTACCGTTGACTGAGGCAGGGACCCCCGAGGCCAGTAACAAAGACCAGATCCTGCCACAAGCCAAGTGCAAGTTTCGAACTCAGACAAGCGACAGCCCGCCATTTCCTGAACGAGATGACCGAAGCTTCAGATTTAGCTAATTCAACGTTACTCGCTTAAACTGAAACGCTAACAACTATGGGGCGTATGACCACTTGGCGGGACCGAGGAGGTACGGGACAGCCTTTTGCCGCCACGGACAGCTACTATTTCTCTTTTATTTCCTCACTGTCTTCCTCCTGTTTCCCGATGATTTCTCTCCCCCTTGTAGCCATCGTACTGCTTCCATTTGCTTTTGCTGCTCGCCAACCAGATGGAGGTGTAGTTCATGTTCCAATCACGCGACGAAGTCATTCCAACCGAGTTGCGAACTTACCAAAAGCCGTCGAAGCATTGCGGAAAAAGTATGGTCACCAATTAACGAATGTGAAGAGCACGGATTCGAAGCGAGCAAGCACTGCTGCAATTCCCGTC